TTCACGTATCGCTACACTCCCCCTTGGAATGGACTTCTGATAATACTTATATGCTTCAACATATAGTAAGTGATTGATCCTAAAGCTCATTAAGGTTATAGCCAAAATTGCCTGGAACACTATAGATGATCATCTCGTCTCGTGGTATCATGCGGCTCTCAAATTCAGGATTATGTGAAGTAACTTCCCTCTTGGAACACCGGTTCTTGGAATACAACTTTAAAAAGAGTAACTCGAATAATTCAGCGCCCTCTATCCACTACTGTTTTTGAAGGCAATGGAGTGATCGTAGTGATCGGAATATAACGACTGGATTATTCGGGATAAAAAAGAGTGGACCACAGTGTCTCCATTATTACTTTAAAGCGTCATTTCGGTTTAAATTTTATAAAACTATCTTGTGAAAATTTCGGCAAAATTTGAATTTGGTATTTTCCCTATAAAAACAAAGATGTTATAATGTCATCATTTATTTCAACTACTAACTGAAATTGATTCCTTTTTTGTCCACCGCGCAACGCATTGCGTGGGACATAGAAATACCGGGCGTCCGTACGTCCTGTCTTGTTAGCGCCATAACGTGTACAATTCTTGTCCGATTTTTTTGACAATTATATCATAGGTTTATATCAGCAATGTATTGCACAAGTTCGAAAATCAGTGCCGATCATTTATTTTTAAAAGAGTTATGCCCTTGGAAACATTAATTGTATGGAAAATTGCATCGTTAGCGCTCTCATTTGTACAATTCTTGCCAGATTTTTATGAAACTTATATCATAGGTTTATATGAGCAATGTCTCGAACGAGTTTGCAAATCAGTGCCGATCAATTATTCTTAAAAGAGTTATGCCCTTTGGAAACATTAATTATATGGAAAATTGCTTCGTTAGAGCTCTCATTTGTACAATTCTTGCTAGAATTTTATGAAACTTATATCATAGGTTTATATTAGCAATGTCTTTGACAAGTCCGAAAATCAGTGACGATCAATAATTTCTAAAAGAGTTATGCCCCTTGGAAATAGTAATTATTTGGAAAATTGCCTTATGAGCTCTCTAACGGTGAACAATTCTTGCCAGATTTTTATGAAATTTATATTTTAGGTTTATATCATCAATGTCTTTGACGAGTTCAAAAATCAGTGCCGAACAATTAATTTTAAAAGAGTTAGGCCCTTGGAAATAATGATTATATGGAAAATTACATTGTCAGCGTTCTCATGTGTACAATTATTGCAAGAATTTTATGAAACTCATATCATAGGTTTATATCAGAAAGTAACTTCCCTCTTGGAACAAAACTTTAAAACGAGTAACTCGAATAATTCAGCGACATCTATCCACTACTGTTTCTGGAGATAATGGAGTAATCGTAGTGATCGGAATTTAATGACTGGATTATTCGGGTTAATAAAAAAGTGGACCACAGTGTCTCCATTATTACTTTAAAGCGTCATTTGGGAGTAATTTTATAAAACTATTTTGTGAAAATTTCGGCAAAATTTGAGTTTGGTATTTTCCCTATAAAAACAAAGATGTTTTAATGTCATCAGTTATTTCAACCACTAACTGAAATTAATTCCTTTTTTGTCCCCCGCGCAACGCGTTGCGGGGACATAGAAATACCGGGCGTCCGTCCGGACTTGTTAGCGCTCTCATTTGTACAATTCTTGCCAGATTTTTATGAAACTTATATCATAGGTTTATATGAGTAATGTCTTGGACGAGTTCGAAAATCAGTGCCGATCAATTATTTTTAAAAGAGTTATGGCCCTTGGAAACATTAATTATATGGAAAATTGTATCGTTAGCGTTTCTTTTAAAAAAAACTCCAATCTTACCTTTGCTCTTCGTTGAGTATTTAATATTTGAAAAAAGGAATAAAAGTGACATTCATTACAAAAAAAAATATATTGGAAGTAAAGCTGTAAATTGTTTTTGTTTTCAAAAATAATTGAATTTGGGTTCATGTCGTATTGACCTGACTCCAACTCTCAAGTAAAAGATAAAACAGTCAAGCCTTAAAAGGTAATTTCAAATGGTAACTGTATACAATTTTCTATCTACAACTAAAATCCAACAGTGCAAGAATCTGCACATAATAACACATTTTCAAAAAATGTGTTTTAAGATCTTCATTACCTCATTCTATTACAGTTAATTATTTCAAATCAAAAGCAAAAATAGACTCAGCAAAACATATTTGGTGACCAGTCAGCGGTCTCGGGTTCACTTATTGCTTTTCGTTTTAAAAAGCAAAAATATAATTGAATTTGGGTTGCTGTCGTATTAACCTGACTCCAACTCTCATTTTATTCATACTGATATTAGTATACTATAATACAAAGCGTTACATGCCTTCATCAATAAACTGACTGATACGAATTGAAGGAATTATTCCTTTTGGAACCCTACATTTTATGTATAGCAGATGGACAATTCCGTAAATTTAAACAAAATTTCAATAGTCGAACAACCTCTGTGATTACGGACATTATTTCATATACATGTACAGTGATTTTAAACGTGCAGAAAGACATACTCATTTGATTATTGTGACAGATGATGTAGTCTATTTTTTAAATTTTCAGTTTTGTATACAGCTTTCATTACTTTGTATAAATGAAATTTGTATACAGATGTCATTACTTAAATCGATTAATCAGAAAGCGTTCATGTATTCATTCACTTACTCATAACAATATTGTATTTCAACGCTCTAACATTTTGATTGTCTCCGAGAACAGGTAATGCAATTATATATTCTTTTGAACATTTTTTCTGTTTTTGAAATTAGAAAATGTAAAGTGTACATATACTTCGAACGCACCGATTATTCTTATTCTGTGTTTGCAAAGGCGGGATGCCTTTTTAACATAATTTTTTCAAATACAGTGATTTTTAACGTGTAGAAAGACATACTCATTTTTGTAACAGATAATAGTCTTTTTTTTCAATGTTCAATTTTGTATACAGCTGTCATTACTTAAATCGATTAATCAGCAAGCGTTCATGTATTCATTTACTTGCTCATAACAATACTGTATTTCAACGCTCTAACATTTTGATTGTCTCCGAGAACAGGTAATGCAATTATATATTCTTTTGAACATTTTTTCTGTTTTTGAAATTAGAAAATGTAAAGTGTACATATATTTCGAACGCACCGATTATTCTTATTTTGTGTTTGCAAAGGCGGATGCCTTTTCAACATAATTTTTTCAAGTACAGTGATTTTAAACGTGTAGAAAGACATGCTCATTTTTGTAACAGATGATGTAGTTTTTTTTCTTTCAATGTTCAGTTTTGCATACAGCTGTCATTACCTAAATCGATTAGTCAGCAATTGTTCATGTATTCATTTACTTGATCATAACAATATTGTCTTTGAACGCTCTAACATGTTGATTGTCTCCGAGAACAGGTAATGCAATTATATGTTCTTTCGAACATTTTTTTTCAAATTAGAAAATTTAAAGTGTACATATCCTTCGAATGCACCGATCATTATTATTCTGTGTTTGCAAAGGCGGGATGCCTTCTTAACATAATGTTTTTTGTCAAACTGCTTTTTTTTTATCAAAGTTTAAAGTTGTGTGTCCCGAAAATACCCCTCCTCAAAAAAGGATTAAAGGTCTGTACCTAATATATTATGTTTGCGTTACATTCTGCTTCTGTTGAATGTGACGGGTGTTTGAGCATACTGTCTTTAAATTTGAAATCGATGTTCATTTTCTATAAATGTTTATAAAATATTGAAATATTCAAAGCAATTATGTTTTTCTATCAATAGGCATAGACTGCCTTAGCCGTGTTTGGCACAACTTCGAAGTTTTCAGTTTTGGTTGCTCTTCAAATTCGGCATTTCAACTGATCGTAATGAAGCTATGTGGATAAATTTATCAGTTTTCAAGAGCTAAATTGACAGCGCGTCATCCCTACGTCATCCCTACGATGGCTTCCATTTTCAAGATTAAAAAAATAGGTGGCGTTATGGGGAAGATAATTTTGTTGAAGTAGAATCCTTACTGATTCTTGTTTACAGAAATATAAACACACTACACACTAAGATCTGATACTGTTCATATGTGCAATATGACAACGTAAACATTCTTGTCTAAATTGATTTTGGAAATACGAATTGCTCTTGATTTGGATTAATATGTAACGATAAATGATAATTTTCAATTAAATCGGTGAGATCATTAACTCCACAAAATTTCAATACACACAATTTCATTTAATGTTCATCTTAAAGGCTATCTTTTTAGGATGTGTTTTATTTAATCGTAGTCTTTCAGATACATGTATCATGTTAATCTATTTTTCGATTGAGCTAATAGAAAATATGCAGCTTGACACTTTTCAAATGAGAATTTTTCTTTCTGCAAGAATACATGAAGTGCAGGCTAAAAGTTTACAGGCATATATGGTTGTTATAATGTAAATTATTTCCCAACATTTAATAGGATTTTTTCAGAGTAAACAAAGGACAAACAAATTCAATACCTAATTATGTTCAGCTACACATCTTTATTAAATTAATTTGGTTTCAAGATAAATTGTCATACAGTTACATCTGACTAGTTCCTGAGTATTATTGTGTTAATTGCCTTCATAATTAAAAGAATTTCTACCAATGGTCTAAATTTATTTAAGGCTAGAAATGTTTCGAACAAACTAACTGCTCCAAATATTCTGATTAAGAATTTATGCCGAATTTTTTATCCCAAGATCCCACAAAATATCGACCTCCACTCTCCCCATTTTTGGTTGAAATTTAAAATAAATTATGTCACGTTGCAATATGATAATTGTACGAGGGCTTGTCACTAGTGGGGAACGTGTCCATGTCTCCTTACTTGCATGCATTCGTCTATAGGTTATATTCATATCATCAGGTGCAAAAATATCTACCACAATGAAAAGTTATAAAAACAGGAAATGTAATAAGTCAATTTAGTACGATTCTTAATGTCACAAATAACTATATCTATTTCCTAGACTGTGTAATATTTCGGTCAAGGATTGGTCTTCTCATCATAGGTAACGGCGTTAGGCTTTTTTTTTTATGTCTAGGCCTTTTACTCGCAGTTTTTAAGTAAGCTGGTCAAGTTATTACATAAAAAAACTCCTTTTTAACATGTGATCTATCTCTGCTTCTCCGCATTGACTTTCCTGAAACAAAAATGCAAGAATATCTCCTTTTGGCAAAATGTACTGAAATATGTATTTCGCTTTCGCAGACAGCAAATCATATAAAAATGTGAATAAATTAATTTTATCATTAAACGGTCATAAATTATTGATCTGGTCATTGCCTATATATAAAATAAGTGACAAAATGACCATTATGATAAATCAATGAGGTCATTATAGTGTTAATTAACATTTGAAGACAACACGATCTGACCAATTTTTACGGTTAACTGAACGAGACAATACTTTTCATTGTGTCAGTTTTCTTACTTTCCAAAAAGAAAACGCCACAATTCCAACCTGGAAAAGTTAACTTTTGAGTTTTTATATAAAAAAGAAGATTTTGTCTATTAAGGAAAATTAATAATAATAATAATTAAACCTGTTATTCTTCGAAAGGTAAGTTTTATAATTCAAATTAATATCTACTTGTATTTTTTACATTTTACAGCATATTTCTGTACTTCTTTTTATATTGAGTCTTTTAATTAATTCCTTACGTCGATTTTATTGACGCCATTTTATATTATACTAGTACAGTTGGTTTAATTCTTAAACATTAAGTGTAATAACAGTAAGTATAACTATTCTCTGAAAGTCAGACAAATATTTAACCTTTATTTAAAACAAATAAACAAAGCTGGATTTTTTTGGTACAAAAGTGTCTCTGAACACGTGACTTTTAAAACGGCGAAGGATGTTCTGATTGTATGGTCATGATTCAACAAATGTATGTAAAAGACAAGATCAAGCCATAAAAAGTGCTTTTCACGTAACTAAATGTCACAAATCTACTTTTTATTAGCATACAATACACAAATAACAAAAACAGTGTTGCAAATTAATTGTTTTATTGCCATATATGAGGATCTGGATGGGGTTTCTTCATTTCTGTATTCTTTAATTGCTAATGCCATTTTTTTCTATTCTTTAATTTTTTTTTTGTATAAAATTCTCCTTTCTCTATACTTGAACACCACATTATTTTCTTTTCTTTTTGCCTATTTTTCTCTAAATTCTTAATTTTTGGCCCTTTGATTCTCTATGTCTGCCCATTATTCTCTTTTCTGTAAAACCCATACAAACCCTCATATATTTTGTCAAATCATATCAACCTGACCATCTTAGATAACATATAATATTTATTTACAGAGTCAAGATGTTGTTTACTTTATTTGCCATTGTCTCTTCTTTGGTTATATTCAACAAAGTACATGGTAAGTGTTAAATTATTATACTTTAAAATTTTGCATGATTTGCTTCCACAACAACCAAACGAAAGGAAAGGAAAAATATTATCATTATGGTTTGAAATTAAGGTGGTACCCAACACCTTGACTAATATTCATTTGGCTCGTTTAATTTTCATAAAATTTTGACAAAATGTTTACTTTGACCCTTTGACAAAAATATAATCAAAGTACTGAAGTACTGAACATCGGATGACCACAAGTTCTTGAGGATGGTCAAAAGCACTTGTCTCAGAAAAAAACAACATATCTCTTTACCTGAAACTGAGGTTAATGTACAGAGATATATTTTTTTCTGAGACAAGTTCGTGCGTGGATGATGAATAAATTACAGGAAATTCAACTTCACCGTAATAACTATTATATTGTAGTGATACAAATCAGTATACATGGTGGACACTTTTCTGTAAAAATTCGATTTTTCTAAGATTGGATACGAGTAGGCATTCATATTTTCCCGCAATAACAATTACAGAGTTACCGGTCCTCGCAAAAAGTTCTCTGAGATATTCTTCCGCATGCTTTAACACAATTTTTCGGTACGTCTGCATTGATATTATCAATGATTTTTTACTTATATATATATATCTAACTACAAAACATTTTCATATTATTAATTTATGTTGTAAACAAAAATATTTTTATCAGTATTCATTGAAGAGATGTATTTATATCAAACGATAAGGAATGTTATTTTGCATTCGTTTATGTGCGCATATTTATCATGTTTATAGATCGGTTACAAACCCAAAACTAATTTACATAATGGAAATCTAGGCGATAGCAATACATCTGAATGACCCCAAGGTCATCTCGATGTAAAAATTTCAAAAAATTTGAACCAACCACTTTATCAGAAAAATTTCATTGGTTATATAGCAGTTTGACAAATACTAATTTTGATCATTGAGAAGCTTAATATTTCCTACAACAATACAACGTGATTAAAACGTTTAGCTGATTTTTACAGAGTTATCTCCCTGTAGTGTTAGGTACCACCTTAAATTAGACAAACGTATAAAACCAGAAGCATTTGTATTATCTTATCATGGTTTTTATATGGTATTTATGAGTTTATATACACGAAAACTCTTGCAATTGTGTAGTTTACAGAAAATAAGTTACCTGTTATAACGTCATCTGTCATAAAAACCCTTTTCATGATGTCACATGTGGGCAAGAGAAACCAGATAACTGCATGGACATTTGACGACATAGCTGAAAACATGGAAATCCTAAATTGAACATAAAATGAAAGAAAACCTGATCGACAAAAGCATGAATCGGTCATGAATAAGACAACACAAACACAAATATGCCATTGAGACAGAAACCCCAAAATACGATATCATTTTACAGAGTAAATAAAAGATGTCTAACTAGATAACCTTGACGTACTCCAATTCATTGGTTACAACATAGTACAATGCTGTATTATACTCGTAATTGGTATTGTAAAAGATACAAGTTGACAAAGCCTTTATAAGTCAAATATTTCAAACTTAGCAAAATTGGTCGCATTATTTCAAGAACAGGATGAAATTTGACATTATATTAAAATATGAGCTCTGCCTTCAGACTTTAATAACCAATTTCATAATCAGCTTTATATTGTAAAATATCAAGTGTTTAAATTTAATCATATGCAATTGTCGTATATTCTTCCCTGACATTTCAATGAAAATAACACGTTTTACCTTTGGTGGCTCCGAAGCTCTATTCTAATTAACCTTCATCAGCAATGCTCAAATCACCCCCCCCCCCCTCCCTTCCCCCCCCCCCCCCCCCAAAAAAAAGAAGGATGTATAAGTACTTAAATAGATGAGAAGCTATATAACCAAAACGGGCTTCAAAAGAATAGCTAAATCCTTCTCTGGTCAATTAGAAGGAGTTTGAACCTAAGTTTCTTAATAATTTCTACATTTATCAAAGGAGAATGTAAGAAAGTACTGTTATAAATCATGTCAGTACCGAAGTCAAAAAGTATCGTCGCCAGAAGTCAATTTTAGATGCTGGAAATTTAATTAACATCCCATATTGCTATATTTCTATTTGTAGCCGATTGTGGAGGGAAGGCTGATATAATATTTGCTATTCCTGGGAACAATGAAATTCCTGGAGAAGAATTCTTTCCGTTTGAAAGATTCTTAACAATGCTTGTAGATTATTTTAAAATCGACAGAGACAATGTAAATATTGGTCTTATATTATATGGAAGAGAACCCGTGGCAATCAGTTGGCCGCAACCAATGAAAGACCAAACACAAACCAATACGAGAGTAAGCCTACTTGCGGAAAGAGAATTATACAATGGTAAACTTAAAGGCAGAGCAGATGTAAAGGGGGCACTTAATTTAATGAGACAAATGTTCAGAAATCCATCAGGTTATCATCATCTGCAGTTATCTCGACCTGATACCAAACAGATTGGAGTGATGTTCACGCATGGTTCAGTTCAGACAAATATCAGTCAAGATGTGATCACAGCTGCAAACCAGTTTAAGGAAGCAGGGATCGAAATGTATTCAGTAGGAAACATGCCAAATGGTGAATGGTATTCAGAGATAGCCTCTCATAAATGTAAAATTTTATCCGTGGAAAGTTACTCTGAGGGTTTAAAAGGCCTACTTCCTTATATAGGGAGCAGTATATGTACAGGTTAGTTTTATATATATACCCATATAACAACAATCAACATACTTTTCGTACTATAATCTTTAAAGCCTAATTCAAGCATCTGATACAACTCCCTTTTGTTTTTTGCTATGAATTAGTATCTTAATCTTTTTTCGTTCATCATCGGAACTTTCCATCCGATTGGTTCATTGTGTTTGATGTTTTTCTTTTAATCCACATAGTTCCTGATAATTTATATGCAGCAAATTCATAAACAAAAACTAAATTTCAAAATAAATACACCTTGAAGTCTATTATGTATGTAATTCCCTTGTTTTACTTGAAATGACATGCTTCATACCAAACAACGAAAATACGACACAAAGTAGAACAACGGTCTTCAAAATAATACATGTATATATGAACTAACGAGTGAACAACGCAAAGCCTACCAAAAGCCGGTGTGATCTCATTTTATCCGAAAGTGTATGCAGATTTTGCTCCACATTTGACAACCGTTGTTTTTGCTCATAGTAAAATGAATATAAAACATACAATTGTTTCATATAAAAATCTGTACATAGGAAAATTCCCCCCTTTAAATCAGACTGAAAAAAAGGTGAATTGCATATATACTTGATTCCAATTGATACATTTTTCTTTATTCCATTTACTGATGCATTATTGTCCTTTCAGCAATAGAAAATGTTGTAAATGTTACAGATGACAATTGTTTTCCAAGTAAGTAAAGCATGGTAGACATTTACCCTCAAAGACAGCAAAGGGATAAAGGAAAATCAAACTTGTGCCCCTATAAATTGTTTGAAAAAATATACAGTTTAAAGTTAACTATTGATATAGTAACATGTTACAGATTGCATATATATATCAGTTACATACATAAGTTAGATTATTACTATACAAATAGATAAATGATTTTGGAAACTTTAAATGTACGCTCTTGTAACGCAATTATGAAAGATCGATCTTACCTCAAAATGACAGGAATACAAAAATCCACAATCCACTCTCTTTTATCAATTTTTTTAATCCTATTTCAATTTGTTCAGTCGTCCTGAGCATGCATGAAATATTTGCCACTGGACGTTAAGCAAACAACAATCTATTTGTTCAGGAAAAACATAAATTCACCATTGATGTCAGAGAAACTCTGATTTGTCCACAACGTATGATTAACGCTGAAAATAAACTTATCATAGATACATGTACCAGGCTTAAAATTTTTTACGCCATGAACACGCGCGTTTTGTTCTGCAAAATACTCATCAGTTTCGGTAGAATAAAAGAAAGTTAAACATGGCCAAATAAAGTACGATGTTGACGAGCATTGAAGACCCAAAATTCCGAAATGTTTTGCCAAATACATTCCTGGGGTAAACAAATCCTTAGTATTTCGAAAAATTCAATTTTTTTAAACACTTAATTCATAATCATGACCATATAAAAAAGGAATAGAAAGGGTTGTTGATTTTTCGGTGCTATTTCAGGAAATTTTGGCTAACATTCAGGATTCTTGACGCAATAACATTAACGATACCAATGTTTCTGCACCAGATGCGCATTTCGACAATAAATGTCTCTTCAGTGATGCTCGAGACCAAAATATTTATGTGTAGCGTGTGCCAAAATAACTTTTCGTTAAAATATAATTTACGAAGAAATGTGCGATAAAAGCATAATAGCTTGATGAATAAACCGGTTATACTCAAGGAATTGAAATGCAACCGTTGTCTTTTACATAAACAGATAAACCAATATCATCTTTACGATATGTTTTTATCAAATGTTTGTTCTTTTCAGAATTTTGGAAGCCCAGTCCAAACCCGCCAGTTACTTGCCCCTCTCTGAATGCAATATTTCAGGATCCTTATAATTGTGCCTATTTATTCAAATGTGATATGAATATTCCTGTTCGTGAAAGATGCCCAACAGGAATGCTCTTTGACAACTCGATCAAAGCTTGCAATCATAAAGATGCCGTTCCGTGTTACTCGATGATAACATGTCCGAATCATACAGGTCTTTTTCCGCATCCAGAAGCCTGCAATAAATTCTTGAATTGTTTCGACAACATTCCATATGTACAAAAGTGCCCGTCTAACTTGTATTTTAACAATGAAACCAAAATCTGCGATGAGGAGTACAAAGTTAATTGCACGTTTCATTGAGAAGACAAACAATTCCGTTAAATGACCTTTGAAAGGATAATGTATAAAAAAAACTTAAGATAATGAAATCCTGAATAAATGAAGTTTGTCATTTGCCTTAAACACGACAACTGATATAAGTTGGTGAATGTTGGTAAATGTAAGAGAAATGTGATCAGCCTAGGGTTAAATAAATTGAATTTGTAGTAATACGACTTTGTTGTTTATAAAAATATGCCAAACTATCTGGCAATATTTAACTAATATGTAGCTTTCGGCTGTCTATACCCATAAGGTTCAAATATTGAACGTTTTAAGTGATGCTTCAGTGTTAAAAATGTGTTGTATGTTTAAAAAAACTTCTCCGTTTATTCGTTTGTCAACGATATGCAGCTTTCTTTATCGGTAACAATTAGCTTTGCTTATCAGCGATATGTAGTTTTCTTTATAAACCACCGTGATATGTAGCATTCATTATCAGCGATAAGGAGTGTTTTTAACAGTGATTAGTAGCTTCATAAAATAAGGAGATTCGGGGTGCATTTCTTTCTAACCAAAATTTTGTAAACGTTGTGTGCCGTTTGTTATCGTTTGCTAAACGCTACAAAAGTAGAAACAAATACAGCGTTTAATCAGTGTTTACTGACCCTGTTTGAACTTTCAATAATGCATGCACATGTTGTTGGTAAACAGACTTATAACAAAAGTTGAAACAAACACATCGTTTAATAAGGCTGAAGTTAGAAACAAATATAGCGTTTGTACTAACAAACGATGAACGACTAACTGTAGACGCAGTTTTAGCGAGTGCATAGTTTGTCAAAGTTTAGGTTAACTTTGCAAACGTATGTTAGAAACAAATGATCAAAACATGTGCTCGCTTAGCCGTTTGTATCGTTTGTGTTAGAAAGAAATGCACTCTTGGTATGATGGTCAATAAGACAACTATCAAACATATGTTCCAATGGCGTGAATTAAATCCTTGGTCACCAAACGGTTTTCAACAATGAGCAAAACCAATACCGCATAGTCAGCTATAAAAGTCCCGACATGACAACATGTGAATCAATTCAAACAAAAAAAAAAACAAAAAGGACGGATTTATGACAAATGATAAACGAACCACAAATATATAACAGACAGCAACCAACGACAATCACTGAATTACAGGCTCTTGAAATTGGACAGGCACATATAAAGTGCGCTTTGGTTACACATGTGTTTGAGCTCTCAACCCCCTAACCTTTGGCAGTGGTGTAATCAGCGATAAGCAGCTTTATGAAAATAAGATGTGGTACGATTGTCAATGAGACAAATCTCACCCAGATACCAAATAACGTAGAAGTTAACAACTATAAGTCACATCTTGCTCTTTTGGTTAAAATATGTTTGTACCTGGTTTTGCCAACGGTTGGAATATGGCATACATGTGTTTCTACGGAAGGCCATACATCCCTTAATCTATTAATTATAAACAATTTTCTGTCCAGTTTTGATATTACTTCGCTTTGTTAACTGCAATGGTTTTGTTTGATTTGTTATGATACAATTTGTTATCAAGTGTTACTACTGATGAAAATAAAAAACTGTATGAGGAAGATATTTGTATGCACCTGTCCTAAGTCAGGAGCCTGTTGTTCAGTGGTTGTCATTTGTTGATGTGGTTCATAAGTGTTTCTCGTTTCTCGTTTTATTATTTAGATTAGACCGTTGGTTTTCCTATTTGAATTGTTTTACACAAGTCATTTTTGGGCCCTACATAGCTTGCTGTTCGGTGTGAGCCAAGGCTCCGTGTTGAAGGCCGTACTTTGACTTATAGTTGTTTACTTTTTACACATTGTGACTTCGATGGAGAGTTGTCTCATTGGAATTCATACCATATCTTTTTATTTCTATATGACGGTGTAATTCGGAAATTTGATGGTCGAAAACCTAGTTTAATATTTGCTATTGCCAGGTAAGATATTGACGCCGGTAACTGTAATAGCAATGCTGTTATTCTTATTCAATTCATGATGACATTTAAAACGAGCATAAATTTCAATGAAATAACATTTTTGCCAAATTCTTGACACATTAAGTCAGCCATCATTTCCTGGCATCATATAAATGACCACTTGATCATACTGTATGTATTTTCACAATAGGGACGCGTATGAATATGAACTTGCATACTTCGCCGTCTCAAGTAGTTAGTGGAGTATACCCGTAAACTGAAAGGACTTACAAATTCTAAATACCATATTAAATGTACATTTGTATACTAGTTGTCTGTTCTATGGTCGGGTTGTTGTCTCTTTGACACATTCCCCATTTCCATTCTCAATTTTAGTAAATCTTGTAGATAATATAATGACGCATCTTCTAACCTGAATGGACAATATCATGGAAGAGATTGTCTATTTTATTGTACAGTTATTTGTTCCGCAATAAAAACAATGAATAACGGCTATAAAATCATTTTTTGTCACAATGACAGCTAGCCATCATGATATTTTATAGACATGAAAGGCTTAAATGACAAATCCCAAGTTTACATGGAAGTTACACATTGTTAAAACAAACACTCGCATAAATCAAATTCGGCCAAACCAAATGACAGAAAGTATACATGTGAGATAAGGATTCCCTCCCTTTACCTATGGAAAAAGTAGAAATTAAATAGAATGAACAAAGGTTTGATTTTCTCCTACTCGATCACATGACATCTTCTATGCTCTTAGAAATTCCAAAATATACCCAATGTATAATAATAGGAGATGTGGTATGATTGCCAATGAGACAACTTTCCTCCTAAGTTCAAATGAAGTGGATGTAAGGCAATTATAGGTAACAGTACGGCCTTCAACAATGAGAAAAACCCATACCGTATAGCCGAATATAAAAGGCCCAGACATGAAAAATATGAATCAATTCAATTGAGAAAACTAACGGCCTAATTTATAACAAAGCAATTAACGAAAAACAAATATGACAGACATGAACCAACAATAACCACTGAACTACAGGTTCTTGACTGAGAACCGACACATAAAGAATGTGGCGGGGTTAAACATGTTTGTAAGCGCTTAACCTTCCCCCTATAACCTGGAACAGTAGCGTAACAGCACAACATAAGAACTAACTATAAAAATCAGTTGAAAAAGGCTTGTATGTTTACTTGTGAATCACAAATATGCTTATATGTTTACTTGTGAATCACAAATATGTTTATATGTTTACTTGTGAATCACAAATATGTTTATATGATTGTTTACTTGTGAATCACAAATATGATTATCTTCCTTTGTCATCAATGACCAAATATCTATTTTATTGAAAGGTTCACCTTTTGTTAAATTTAGATAAAATGGTAATTACAATAGTATGTGGGACAATCAGGAAAGTGAAAGTTGGACAAAGGCAGATATTTTAAATGTTGGATGATATCAAATTCATTAAGTCTAGTGGTTATATAGAAACATTTCCGTCAGTTAAATAGAGCGAGGATGCTTTTATAAAATATAATGATTTTGCCAGCGTTTTATCAGATTAAGAAGTATGCATAAATACATATCTCACAATGTTATCATAATTCATATGAATTTAAAAAAAAAGAAAGATACGTTTCACTAAATCACCCAAAGCACCATTTGAAAGAGAGTAATACATCATACAAAAAACAGATTAAAACAGTTCATCATACATGTACTTAGTACAGTTAGCTATAGAAGAACAGTGCAGCACAATACATAAATGTAACAATGTTTGATTAATCACCACACATCTATTAAAAAAGCACAAAAAATTATAGTTCATTACAAATCACAGTACAGAACACAAGGATCAACAGTTTTCCTTGGTGTTGCAGAAACGCATTGCAGACAGAATACTAGTACTTGAAAATACTTAGCTCAACACTAATTCCGAAGTCTGGGTTTGACTTGTTTAACGAATATAAATGAACCCTTACATCTCCTGTACTTATTAAATGATTGTAGAATCGTATCTCTGTCAGATGATTCAGTAAAAAAAATATATAAGATTGGGATTTTACGTTGAATCACATTCAGCATCCTCTTGGGTGTTTCTCGGAGTCTCGGTCCAGTAATAGCTCAGTAGTTGTCGACTGAATTCCACACAAAAAGAGGTAATACAATCTAAGATTTGAGCAATGGTATTTGCTGTATCTTAATGTTATATGTCATGAAAGCTTGATGCTATGGCGGTAAAGAAAGAATTGTAGTCGTGCGTTCTAGATGATAAATCACAGGCATCTTTCAACATTATTTATTGAGGCCGTTGTGGTTTAATCTTGCGCTCGTATAGATCGTTTTGGGCAGTTATATAACAATTATATTTATATTAATTCATATTGATATAATTGTAGTGATGCTTTAATTATCGAGTTGATAGAATTAAAATGAAAGAATGCAGATTCAAATTCTTTTACATATTACATCAGAAATTGTATGTAGACAATTTTTTTTTTTTAAATTATAAACATAAAAATACAAAGAATCATGATGATATATGGATTGACATTTTTTTAACAACCAACCTGGTGATGTGTTAATTTATTGCATAACTCCTTCAAAATGTTGTGGAACAATCATACATTTCCTTGTGGGACAATCGAAAATAAGGTAAATTGTTCCTGAATCTTTTTCATACACGGATCTATTTCTAACAGTCCTCCAATATTTCCTAAAATTCACAGCGTCACAGTTTCATTACTTGAAATTGTAACAGCCAATAATAAACGTCCAAATATAGCACAGAATTGCAATTATGAAGTTTTTATGATCTTTATGTCATATCCTGTTTGTCTGGCGTTTCATGGTCAAATCTCACTTTATATGTTTCATTGAAAATGTTTTTCGGCGCTACACATTGCTATAGAGGCAGTAATGAAACAATATTGCATTTTATATTTTCATTGTGCATATTCTAGGGGGATTACTGATATCATCTTGATATCATCTTGATGTTTTATAAGATCTCTGAAACAAATAAGTAAGAGTTGTAGTTCGTTGGTAGATATCTATCAAATAGTTTCTTGTGACAAAATGTTGCATTTTCATGGCTTTTATTAACTAAAAACAATTTCAACAAATGGTGAAATTAAGACAACCATTGTTTATTGTGATTAATTATAATTGAATTCTAAGAATCGTCATATCCTGACATTAAATATAAGTTTGAAACACAAAATGAAATAAATCCCACAACGGAGATGAAAAGAAATAAAAGAATATGTTGATAATGCGTCAAGGAGACAACCCCTATTTGTTATTCAAACATTTCAAACACATTTTCAATTTGATTATTAACTAACTGTATTTGCAAAGTAACTTATTTCAGTCTGACTTTCCTGAATTGATTTCCTATCCTTTTGATTTCTTCTTCAGCATTGAAATTTCATTTTGATATTCATTTATACATGTATTTTCTGTATTCACTAGACCAGTTTTGACACTTCCAAACCTCTTCAAATACTTGTATACGGTTTTACTTTTACATTAAAAAAGATGCCATTTTGACATAATTTTCCTTTCGATATTCGATCACCGATTCAAAAATAAATTTCGCTTACATGCTTACATTATGTACAACATAACCGTGATACAGATCTCAACATTTTTCTGTTTTAAAATTATGTACAGTTTGTTCTTGACATGGCACAACATTGTGTCTCCCCCTTCTATTGATGACATTACTGTGTGAAATCATCTATGAAATATTACAACCGATATTAGAATGTTATTTCATATCAGCAGACGAAGTACTTTCAGCCTGCTTTTGTGACTTCGATATGAAATTAGGGATATATGTAGTGATTGATAACGAGACAGCTATCCAACATAAACTAACGATCAAAGATGTAAACAACTACAGGTCACCATACGTCCTTCAACAACGAACAAAAAACCTGTACAATAATAAAAAGTAAGCTATACGGAAGATTCAAGGATAACACAATGTGAAATATTTCAAAATAGAAAACTAACAGATTATCTTATGTTGGTAAACTTAAATGAAAACAGTTGTGACAGACGGCAACTGACGACACCCACTTTGCTAAATGCTCTGGGTTTTGGACAGGTACATATAGAAAGCAGGAAGGGTAAACATGGTTATGAGTGGTCATCCTTTCGATAACAATGGACATTGGTGTAGAAGCATAAAGTCAAATCGTTTTCTTAACAAAACAAAAAAATACAAAACAAAACAAAACAAAACAAAACAAAACAAAACAAAAAACAAAACAAAACAAAACAAAACAAAACAAAACAAAACAAAACAAAACAAAACAAAACAAAACCAATACAAGAGTATGAGCTGTTACTGAAAGCTAGTTTAAGACCCCATTTCGACTTATAAATCGATCATATTTTCACAAACTATATAATCAGTCAGTACACCTCATCAAATTTAGTATAAAGACGTCACAATCAGTTTGAAAGAAAAAACCACGACCTTGTGCATTGCTAAAATAAATATAAATAGAATTTAGGACCATAAATGTTAATAATTATATAGCAGTATAATTGTGCTTAGTTATGTATAAAACCTTTAAAAATCAAATCAGTGTTAAAAATAACATTCAAAGATCTCAACACAACACAACGATAAATTGAGGATCTCAATCAAAGAATATGTTTATTTAAAGGACCAATAAGTTTACAAGGATCGTTTCGAAATATACGAGATCTATAAAGAGCGAGCAATATTTGAAACGCGTATCATATTGTTTATCATTTAATATATGTACTTGTGTTCTTGTTTTCTTTTAAAAAATTATTGTAGAGATTAGTGCAGTGTATGTCTACTAGTTATCATTGCATGTAGATTTTGTAATAAAATTGAGAATGGAAATTGGAAAAGTGTCAAAGAGACAACAACCCGACCAAAGAGCAGACAACAGCCGAAGTCCTACAATGGGTCTTCAACATAGCGAGAAAATCCCGCACCCGGAGGCGGACTTTAGCTGGTCCCTAAACAAAAATGTGTACTAGTTCAGTGAAAATGGACGTCACACTAAACTCCAAAACATATAAATGAACAAAAATTAAAAAAAACATACAAGACTAACAAAGGCCAGAGGCTCCTGACTTGGGACAGGCGCAAAAATGCGGCGGGGTTAAACATGTTTTGTGAGATCTCAACTCACCCCTATACTTCTAGCCAATGTAGAATAAACAAACACACAGCAATAAGTCCACTTCTTAAGATTAAAATAGAGGTAGGGTTAAAAAAGAGAGGCGAACGATACCAAAGGGATATCCAAACTAATAAGTCTAAAATAAACTGACACCATGGCAAAAAAGAAAAAGACCAAAGGACGAACAACAGTACACAAAATACAAGTTGTTAACATAGAAAAATAAAGACTGAGCAAACGAACACCACCACAAACCGGGGTAATAAAAAAAGATTTCAAAAACAATGTTACCCCTTCCATATATTTATCCTGCAATCAGCCAAGTATTGTACAAATAACAGGTACACAAATAAATGTTTGCTTTATGTGTACTTGTACAAATAAAGTCTCCTGTTACCCCTCTTCATGTTGAGCAAGCGGTAATGTGGATATTTCTTTTTGCGTACCAGTTCATTTTGGGGGTCCTCTTCGCGGTCCGCGTTTAAACTATGTCGATTTCTCTGAAAAATTGAGACAATGATTTAAATTTTAACAACTAAAGTTTCAAGTGTTGGGTGTAAATTTCAGGATAAAAACAATATATGTACATTGTCGGAAAATATAAAATGTAGGTGTACTCGCTGCGAAACAGGAGAAAAGCTCAGCGAGCCTCGCTTTTCGTCCTGTTTCTAAAGCTCATACAAATAAATTTTATATTTTCCGACAATGTACATATATTGTACATTTACTTGTGTCCCAAATCAGAAACCTCGTTTGTGGTTGCCTTTTGTCAGATATGAATGCGTTTTGTTTTGTTATGTGGAAAATGTGTTGTCGATGGCGGATATTTGTATCTTTTTCATCTATTCATAACGTTATGATGATTATTAAAAGATCTTGCTTTCCTATTATATTGCTATTTGTCTGTTCTCGTTTGGTGTAGTACACTTGGTACCGTAGATATAATTTACTTTGTCTATTGCTGAAGTCTCTATATGTTGCACATTAGATGTTTTTGATTATTTGTGTAGGTGGATTGCTGTCTACAAGATATATATTTTTTCTTCATATGTGCACGGCACGTTTTTCTGAAATAAACTTCGTCAGGTTTCAGAAGGGATAAAAAAGATTACTTTGACAGTGAAATTTAGTAGTTTCAGGGAGACTAATTAGAAAATAATAAGATAACCTAAACTGTCATTACATATTGTGGCATTTCATTATGCGCTTGGAGTTTCCTTTAAATAATATTGACCATCCTATTTAGTCTAAGGTAAATGAATTTAACCTTTTTGTTCGATAAAAAGATACCATGAGTCTGGATGGGCAGTGTATTTTTTTAACGAATAAACGCCTATCAATTGTTTATCTTTCATGAAATGTTATTTTGAAGTCTTTTCCAATTTACAGTTGTTTTTTTTAAACATACCTTGTACGTTTTGTAATTAGTGAACTCAAATATCCACTTAATTCTCGTGAATCATGCATTAGCATTTACAAAGATTAATTAAGAGTAAACAGTCACGTTGTTGGTTTAAATCGTGGATTATGCTGACATTTTAGATTAATGAATAGGATTTATAAATATGTCCGATATTAACTAAATAAAGCGACGAACGCAAAGTGATGGCAACAGAAAACTGAACTATATAGGTCTACACAATTCCCAACTTAAAATAATACAAACATTAACTTATATCATTAATATCTAAATGTAAACTCGACTTAAAACTATCAACCAATTGGCAGCAGAGAGGTTTCGTAGATACAATAATGAACATTCACACATTATAGACTTCAAGGAAAGAGTTGGATTCCCAGTGACGGGGGATGAAAATTTCAAAGATTAAAGGTAAGAAAAATCATAAAATTATTCAGGTTAGATTTGGCGAATATAATTAGTGAATCTATTTCAGTGACCGATTTAAGACGAGTTGATACTATAAAACAAGACACCACAGTAATTGAATAGACTGACGTCACCAGGAATACTCGAGACCTAGACTGGTACCCTGCCATTATTTTGTATATTCCGAATTCATACTGAATATTTTACGGAGGGAACCAACATAGCTCGAGATCTAACTTTGGAAAGCAAAAATATAAAACGTTGTAGAGCTTAAAAACAATTCAACTTTAGTTGAACAAGCAAACCCGTCGATGGTCAACTGTTCCCGAGGGATTTGCAACTTTTGCTTTAGAACAAATGACTTTAGCAAATAAATTTAAACTGGAACTGGACGTCGTGATAGAATTGTGTTATCTTTGGTTGACTCCGCTTACTGGTAACCTTTTGATTGTCCTATGTTAAACATGTAAAACTGAAGCATAAAAAACAAAAATGTGAATTTATATATTGAAATAATAACATAGGATTTTAGACAAACTTATCACACTTTTCAACGCATTGCATAACACGAGGGGTTTCATCATTGAAGACGGAATTACTTATTCATTCTCAAAGCCAGAGTTCATCCACTGCGGTTTATATTTCCCTGTTTTCTGTTTTTGTGATTTATTAAATTTCGAAATATCTTCAGGATAGACATGATACTTCAACAATTCCACTATTATTTGATGTCGTAACACTTACTATGACTAATCATTTAACTTTAACACAAGTTACACAAGAGAAGTTACTAGTGGAACCCGGACCGCATATCCTTTTGGAGCATCTTCGATGATATTGTAAAAAGAAGAAACAGATTTACTTCCGAATCAATATTGCCAAAAGATATTGTCATAATGTAACTGCTGTTCAAACTCATCCTAGCAAAATGAATAAAGTAGAAAGAACACTCGGAAAAGGAATTTTGTGAAATTTTCGTAGATGTTGCATCCACAGATAAACAAGAGTCAAAATGACACATACGGAGATTGTAGTCTCAGTGAATTTTCTTGTCAGAAATTAAAACAAATATGTTTAAGTATCGTATCCATGTATCAACTTTAATGGCATATGTTTTCCTACAAAAATGGAATCAGGTTAGTCAGTGAAAATTTATTATATATTTGTATTCAAAACTGCCTTGTATAAATTAGGCCGTTTGTTTTCTAAACTGAAATGTTTCACATTTCTCATGTCGGGGCCTTTTATAGCCGACTATACAGTATACGTTTTTTCATTGTTGAAGGCCTTAGGTTGCCTATAATTGCTTACATCCACTTCATTTGAACTTTGATGGATAGTTGTTTCATTGGCAATCATACTGCATCTCCTTATTTTTACATTGCCATTCCTGTTGCCCGTAATTTGTTGACATATGTTCTATAAATCTCGACTTATTATTACTAATCTCTGGGGGTCTGGATGGGGTTTACAGAACAGAGAATAAAGGGACAAAATAGAGAAAAAAAGACAAAAATATAAAATAAAGGATACAGAACAATAAGCAAAAAAAGAAGTACAGAAAATAATGGGGTGCTAAATATAAAGTGTAGAGTAAAGTGAGCAGACAAAATAAAGTATTGATAATAATGTTGTGCTAGAATATAAAGAATAAAGATTATTGAGCAAGGAAATAAAGTAAACAGAAATGAAGACTCCATCCAGACCCTCAACTATCATTGAATTATGGATATTATATAGAAACGTGTTCTAGCTTATCATAAAAAAAATGGCCAGTATACAATCCTATAATAAAAAAATAAGGAGATGTGGTATGATTGCCTATACGACCACTATCTACCAAAGACCAAAGGACAAGGATCGTATTGGTCACATAACGGCATTGGATAATGATCAAAACCCATACTGATGATAAGCTATTAAAAAACTCAGCAACGATACCAGGCTTATACGCCAGACTTGTGTTTCGTTAACAAAAAACTTACCAGTGACGCTCGAATAAAAAAAGTTAAAAGGCCAAATAAATAACAAAGTTGAAGAGCATTGAGGACCCAAAATTCAAAAAGTACAAGGTACGATAGGATTTAAAACAGTGCAATAGAGAAAACCAATCGCCTGATGTTGATCTTCCATGCAAGAATTAATTTTTATGGTATCTTTGATAGGATGATGACTGCTTTTATTAATTTTAGTCTTGTGGTCTAACTAATAAAAAAAAGGATACCAAACCAGCAATGATGAAAGGAAATAAAAAATATCAAAATCTCGAGGACAATATTAGAACGGGAACTTTGCAATTGCGCCAATTTTTTTTTAATACAGTATTTCATTTGCACCAAAAATAAATACTGCTTCTTTGACATTTTAATTTACATTGAATCCAGAATACACTGCTCGTCAAAGAAACTCACCTTCCTTTAATACTTAAGTTAGTCCATTTTTCATGACCATACATATAGTTTATCTGAGAATTGAAAAGCTTGCAAAGCCAGAATCACAAACCATATAGACAGCAAAACTATTATACAGAGATTGAATGAACACAACAGCGGTCTTGACTGGCAGACAGCAGAATCTCAGAAATCTCAGCAATTAAGAAGAGTTCGATAAGCAACCGCTGACATTTCGGAAAGACCATCAAACTTTATCCTGCTTTACCGGAAAAATAGCAGATGAATACATATCTTTATATATTATACTATTAACCTCTTTTATTGGCGTAAATGAAATATGGTTTCTGGCACAAATGAAAGATTTTAGGCACAAAAGTAAAGCACCGATAAGAACGAAACAAATTAAAAGCAGCGAGGTGACAGTTGTACGATCGAGCAAAGTAGTATGTGTACGAACGTCCAATACTTAAAATTGACGCTTTGAGCAACAACAACAACAAAAAATGAAAAAAAAGAAGAACAAAATCTATATGAAAAAAGAAGTGCAGTTCATATTTTTATATAAAAAAGTAGACAACAAAAATACCGAACTCCAAGGAAAATTCAAAACGGAAAGTCCCTTATCAAATGGCAAAATCAAAAGCTCAAACACATCAAATGAACGGAAAACAACTGTCATATTCCTGACTTGGTACAGGCATTTCCTTAAGTAGAAAATGGTAGATTAAACAAAACAGAACATAAATCTAGTAATGATATAATAAATTATGTATCCAATAAATCACTACATCAACTTAAATAAGGTTACACCATAGTAAATCTGACCAAATAAATCCAAATGTTCGCTTGCTGAAGGAATAAAATTCTTGACATGTAATATTTATTCATATTATGTTACGATTCCGCAGTAAATAATGACAGATTTGTCTCCCGTGAAGTCAGTTTTACACATTTATACTCTCTGTACATATATTTTATTTCACAGTATGCACATCTAACTGCATATACCGTAGTAGAATGCGGTAATAATATTGTCTTCCTTTAGCTAAAACATGACAAGAGGTGATATATACATATCAAGACAATCATTGTCACGCGTAGTCAGACCTATCCATTATTACCTACTAGGAGTATCTGTCATTCAAGAAAAAAAAATATATTGATCATTTTCTATATGTATTGGGATTTTACTAAATAATAAGGTAAAGGAATTATTTAACTTTTTGTCATTTTTTGGTGATGGTTTTTATATTTGATATGCAGTAACGGGATAAAAATAAGAAAAAGAAAATATAAATTTTTCGAAATACATTTTGTGTTTAGTTGTTTACATGTAGCATCCATATAATGCACTCATCTATAAGTATCAGAATTCAGAAATCGCTATTTTATCTGAAGTAACGTCTTTCTAAAGTTGCTTTCCTTGCGTTTTACAAATGTAGCAATTCTGAGGCCATTGCTAATAGTTCTCAAAAATTAATGCCAAAAATATGGTCATGATAATTTTTTTTTTTTTTGCAATATGTAGAGAAAACATATCCACAATTAAAAAACGAGTTCGAAATATTTCGATTTTGTTACTGTTAACAAAGACATCTTATGTTACGCAATAAAACCAAACAAATTATAAAGAGGCGTCTGACATTTGGTACGGCAGTTCGCAAGCAAACAAATTAATTTCAAATGCTAATACTTGTCAACTTATATAGTGTTGTTATTTTTATTTTTATTCACGATAAGTCGTTAATGACAAATCTGCAATTATGAACATCATGATATTCAAATTTTATGTTTATATTAATATTCTAATTTAGCTTATACCTTGCCAAAAATATTTCATATTATTCAGTGATGTCAGTGACGAATCTAGAATAGAAAACCTGAATATGTCTTGAGTTAAATTGATATTCCTTTATGACGGACTTCTGTAAAGTACATCATTCTTAATTATCATATCAATACATCTATATATCATGATGCTAATAACCATTATAACAGCTAGAACTTTTAAGATTTGTTAACCTGGATTTGTTATGAAGTCTGGATGGCGGTCCTTCGTTTCTGTATTCTTTTATTTTCGGGTCCATTTTCTTTATCTTTAAAAACAACGCTTGTTCTGTAAATTCTCATGAAAATTATTTTCCAATTAAATCTATCTGTAATTATATGATATCTTTATTCGCCGGTACGTCGTTTATTCCTGTAATCAGTATTGTGTCACCGTAGCCTAATTCTTTTATTATCCACTGCTATTCTTTAATACTATTGCACCTCATTATTATCTATTCTTTACCTTTTTTGCAATTTTTTCTCTATTCTTTATTTTTTCTCTGTTCATTTTTTATTGCCATTATTCTCTTTTTCGTAAACCTGGGGCCTGTTTATCGAAGCTGTCCTAGGATTTCTAAGACCTCTCTTAGGAATAAATTAGGATAAAGTTAGGACCGACTTACGACATGTCTCAGCATGCACACCGAAGCTATCTTAGGACTATCTTAGTTAGGATGTCCTAACAGCTGTCCCAAGTGTTAGCGTAAAGAAAAATAGGAATTTTATAAATTTTAAGAATGCATTGAATTCATCAGTAGTAAATAATTACAAGATTAAAAATTAAAAATATTATTAGTATTATCATAAAGAAAATAAATAATATTTATCTAAAGAATGGTACATTCAAACTTTATGAAACAAAAACAAAAACACAAAAAAATGTGACGACGTTTTATATAATAATTGAAAAAAAAAATGTTTGTGAAAAGCAGTAACAGTGAAAACTAATAAAAGACCATCGGAAACAATCATTATATATTTTCGAGTGAGTTTAATTCGAAGTGTCACGGTTTTATACTTTATAGAGTTCAAAGGCAAATCTCGTGCATCTTTCATTAAAATAAGGAATACATTAAGTATTTCATTACGGATCATATGCGCTTGGGTAATGAACCCCCTTTTTCTGAACTTTTTTTCAAAGTGAATATTCTTTAATATTTTAACCTATGTACATTTATTTACATTAAAGGAGGATCCATACATAGGAGGCAATCGTATTTATTTACAAATTAACCATCATAAAATATTTCCTAAAGTTAAGATCATCCTAAGACCATCTTAAGACACCTATTGAGGTGTCTTAAAGTTAGGACGATTCCTACGACTTTTCCTAAGTTACGACATGTTTGATAAACCCACTTAAGACTAAGATACGTCCTAAGATGATCTTAGGACAAGTCTTAGTCCTAAGAGCGCTTCGATAAACAGGCCCCAGACCCCTAGTTTTAATTGCCTTAAAACTGCTCTTTCACTTGGAATATTGCATTGTACATATTAAAAATAATTAATTGGCAAATTGCACTCATATAGGTCAAGCAAAAAAACAAAACATATAAGATAGAATATGACACAATATTAACACAACAGTCAAGCATTACAAGTTTAAACATAATGACAGGATGTTGTTTTATACATAAAATTATACTAGAATAGAATACTTCGCTCAATTCTTTATGATTTTTTAATATCATTAAAACCCTTCTTTTAACATCTTCCATGCAAGTGTCTGATTTTAATAAATAAATAACTAAACGGATTAAAAATATGAGGTATAATGTTTAAAGATTAATAAATTGTTGATGTACATAATATACGAAATTATTAATTGCTTCCCGTATTGAAATTCTTAGAGACTACACACAGAAAAAACCATAAGGAACATCATGATATTTGTTTCAGTCAATTTGACGGATAACGTCCACCACAGGAAAATACTAGTATGTTTTTTGGTAAAGATATTTACACAAACATGACATCATTAAACTGTAAATTCTTTTGGTATACGTTTTTGCCCAACTTGTCCATGGTTTTTCTGTTAGACAAAAAAATATGCTGTGGTTCATTGACAAGACGATTAATATACATCATAGATGGAAGATTAATATAAGTAGGGATATCACAACGTGGGTTGTTCAGTTTATGATATTCATTGTTTACTCTTTCCCACTGTTAATCCAGATTTAATTATTCTGTTACATATTACTCTGGCTCTTGCTATCTTGCAAATGAGTTAAAACCCTTTCCCAAGAATTCCCTTCTTTCTCAATATATTCTAAATCATACATCTCAAATACAAACTGACTATTTTTTTGTTGCCATTTCTTCATTTTTCACTCAGAAAGACACCCGTTTCACCCGTTTAAAAATATTTATAATATACCTCATGTATTGTTGCTGCCGAAGGTATTTGAGCATTTATCAATAAGTATAATTTCATATTGGGTCTGAAGCTTAATAATGTAAAATTGTTCTAGATCGCTGTACAGCCATTTTCTAAATCCATTAATTTTTGTCAATTTTTTACAAACTTTTATAAGTAAGCATACTTCATTGTTTTGAATTTAATGACCACCGCTTCCGGTTTCATTCGATGTATTTTACGAATGCTGGGGCTGTATAGACAAGGGACATCTTTTGTGTAAACAAAGTTTGACATCTTATGCATCTTCGTGTTTTAATTTATTATTCCTCCTTACAGAACAGAAATTGATATATTAAGATTGTAAATATAAAATGAATGAATGTGACAATGAAAAATACAAAACTGTCAAAATTTGATATTGAGGTCAAAGTTAATTGATCTTTTCGGATCTATTTAAACGTATATAAAGAGATGAGTGCCTAATTTTAGTCGTAAATAATAATGTATTTTAGTCATTTTGTCAGCCTTAAAAACGGTTAACAAATTATGAAATTCATATATCAAGCAAGCTGTACCAGGAGAAAGAGGTTGATAACAGACCTTTAACTCATGCCAAACAAAGGCATTATGGACACCAATTTGTATTAGGTACACCTCAGAGCACCTCTGGATACACCTTATATCTCTTTCTTACAGTTATTTTATTTAAATAATAGCGTTCATTCCATTACAAAATAGAAAAAAAAAAGTATGTTTATAAAAGACAAGAAAAACCCGACTTCTGGTTGAATTCAGTATTTTCATAAAAGAAAAAATCCAAGAGGGGAAAATTTTGTTATGTATTACGAACTGAAATTGTTAAATACTAATTTTATTCATCTACACATTCATTTATTTTACCATAGAACAAGGAAGAGATTTCATTACATTATTTGATATCATACTTGAAGTACATCTTGTGAAAGGTAAATGGATAAACAATCAACGATTTATTGTTTGATGTTTTTTCTCGCCATTATGTTTACGATCAGAACCATTTTGTATAATTATGTGGCACTTGTAGATGTAACAATATGACAATAAAACGTTGTAATGTACTCGACGCCTATACATGTCATTTTTATATTTTGACATTTGTAGTAGAACATGTTATTGTCAACATGAAGTAAACGTTACAAACAATACACCTTCTTGGCTAATAAATGTTGCATACCACACAATATTGTTAAAACGTATCTCATTTGTTAATAGTTGACGAGATTCCTCATAACGGAAACTGTATCATGCAACATTCAAGTTAATGTGACAATTCTTGCTATCATACGCGTCATTTGGTCTCTGGTAGATAGTTGCCTCATTAAAAATCATACCACAAGCCCTTTTTCATACTTATACATACGAATAAACTAATGAATGTCATGTAAATACCAATAATTCAGGCTTCGGAAATTTTACAGAAATATTGAACACAAAATCTTGTAAGAAATATAGGGATCTACAGCATATCAAAAATATACATGTTTCGTAATATCTTATATGCCCAAATAAGAAAAGCATTTGTCTTGAATAAAAAAATGCAAGGACGTCAGTTTATGCTATTAAACGTCCTTTTGGTCCAAGCTACTATAATAGCTGAATAAATATATGGATGGTAATACCACAGGGTTGTCCCTTTCCTCGTCTATTATACCTCATGTATAGTATAGAATAGCCATAATATCATCAAGGGTGTTAACATTTAGAATATATAAGTATCGTAATACAATGTCAAGAGGAAGACGGTATTAAAACTAAATTATTTAAAAAAAAAATTTCAACCAAATTATTTTACTCCATCTTTAATGAACATTTGTTTTGTCTTCTAAAATAATGACAGTTGTGTCATATGTTGTATTAACATCTGCATTTTTGACATTGTTTATGGCGTAACTTATATATTATTAGATTTACCAACATTCTCCCCGTCTATTCAGAATGTGATCGTATGTTTAATCAATATAAATACTATCTCAGAAAATACTGTATCTCCTGTTTAACCATTTATGTGTGTTTGTGTGTGTGTGAAAAAAACGAAAGACACTTAATTGTTAATGTTTTGTGTAATCACCTTTGATTTAAAATTAATACCTTAAAGGCTCGAACAACAGGCTAAAAAACGAAACATTATGTACCATTCATCAATTACATAATATTTAATTTGCATATATAATTAATATTTGTATGTGTATTTTGTAATTTGTTCTTATTTGTGCTTTTATCGTACATTACGAAGTCAGTTTGAATTATAGAAAAGAAAAACAATAGTCATTCTTGTGTTGTTCCACAAATACCAAGGACAACTGATGAAAAGATATGGTGTGGTTCCCAACCACTTTCCCAACCACTGTAGCCACAATAGCGTCTTGCCATGCGGCGTATTAATTATTTGAGGAAAATTATTAAAAAAAAAAAAAAAAACAAACGTTGATTTACTTAAGTCAACTGTGCCACGATGTACTTTTTTTTCGCATAAATTTCATGTTATCGTGCCATCTTACTAAGTATTTGAGGAAATACTATAAATAATTCGTAAGGATTCCCAGTGTCTCGCCTACTTTTGCTGTTAATCGCAGGCTCAACAAAAATGAGGAAAAAAATAAATAAAAATATTCCTCTCTATACTATCTTTTGATTGTAAGTAGCTTCTTTCCAAGTTTGGTAAAAATCCAGGATAGTTTATGAATCTAATAAATGTTTTAAAAACTTAAACTGCAGACTGTATGTAATGTTAACTGGAAGAAAAACTAAGTCCATTTATAAGTAAAATACGGAAAAAATGGAACAAAATTTTAACAAAATTTCCTTCTAGATACTAGCTTTTAATCATAAATAAGCTTCTGTCCAAGTTTGGTAGAAATCCAAGATAGTTTAAGAAAGTTGTTAAAAATTTAAAAACTTTAACCACAGAGTGAATGTAATGTTAACTGGCAGAAAAACTAAGTCCATTTACAAGTAAAATACTGAAAAAATGATTTTTTTTTACAAAATTTACTTCTGGATACTATCTTATGATCATAAACAAGCTTCTTTCCAAGTTTGGTAGAAATCCAGGATAGTTTAAGAAAGTTATTAAAATTTTAAAAAACTTTAACCACAGAGTGAATGTAATGTTTCCCGGCAGAAAAACTAAGTCCATTTATGAGTAAAATACGGAAAAAAATGGATTTTTTTTTACAAAATTTACTTTTGAATATTATCTTATGATCATAAACAAGCTTCTGTCCAAGTTTGGTAGAAATCCAGGATAGTTTAAGAAAGTTATTAAAATTTCAAAAAAACTTTAACCACAGAGTGAATATTTGTGGACGCCGCCGCCGACGACAACGACGACGACGACAACGACGCCGACGACGGAATGTAGGATCGCTATGTCTCGCTTTTTCGACAAAAGTCGAAGGCTCGACAAAAAGATCACGTATCGATGGGATAAAACGTTGACTTACTCATGTCAACTTTACAAGAATGTACTTTTTTCCCTCATAAATCACATGTTCAAACTGTAAGTTATTTATATTCAAACGATCAGTGTAAATCTAGAGACAAAAACTTTCATTCAAAGATTTATTTGATAGAATAAAGAGAAACACCTGTGTGATTGTCTTGATTCATCATCCTAAAACAAAACCACACCTCTGGCAATGACCTCCGTCTATATCAGTACGCTATTAATTATTAGGTCAATACACACCATTGCGAGGCATTTTTTTATTTCATGCTATATTTAAACCGGTAGTTCGCAGTCACCATACCTAAACATGACATTATTAATAGTTCTACTGGTCACTAAGATGGTCAGCACAAAGACATTTTTGGGGTAAAATGACGTCCTTAAAATAAAAGCTTTTGTATATAAAGGTCTTTGCTGGAAGAAGAAATAAATTAAAAAAAAAATACCCAGATAACAATTATATGTGCTGACGAATTTAATATATCTTACAGATATTATTTAACGAAACTGTCTTAAGCATTAAATGTGTACATTTTTTAATTTCAGAAGTATGCAGGGACTATTTTTATCTGTTTGTATTGTCATATCATCGTATCTACACACATGTATATCACTAAGAATGAGTAAGTATTTCTTTTATAAATTCCTTTCATAAAACATTCTATCTGCATAATATGACGGTGAGCAAGACCTTCGTGAATAATAAATAGTAAAAACATTTTTTTTTTAAATCGGCACAATAAATCTGAAAAAAACATCATTTATGATTTTGGTCATACTAATATGCTTGCCGTTTTGTTCATTAATGTATTTGATGTAGATTAATGAATTTGGGTGGTTCCTGTTAAATTTATTCACTTCACAAAACTCTTGTCGATTCAGAGTTCGACATATGATATTGATCGGTGGTTTGCTTTTGCGTCAATTGGCAATTCAATTGCGCCACAAACTATGATATTTTATTTGCGCCATAATAAACATTTCATTTGCGCCAAAAATACAGGTAAAAAGTATAAATAAATAATAGATATAATTTATATTGAACAGAGACTCATAATAATAATGCAGTTACAGCATAGCTCTGTTAGCATAATACTATTTCTTTATTATCATATAGCAGTTTAAGTAAGCATAAAACTTGTGACAAATACAAATGAAAAAAAAACCTGATTTGGAAGCATACGTATAATACCGGTATACGAGGGTCTTGATGGGGGTCCTTTTTTCTGTATTCTTTAATTTTTTAGGTAATTTTTTTGCCCATTATTTTCTATTCTTTATATTTTAGCACCCAGTGTATTCTCTATTCTTTATTTTTTTGCCCTATTTTTCTCTATTCTTTACTTTTTTGGCCATTTATTCTGCACATTTTGCCAATTATTCACTATTCTGTAAACCCCATCCAGACCCTCATCAACTTTTGAGGTTTGCTGTCCGCATCTGTTGTAATTTTAGCTATGCAACTTTTTAGCGTACATCTATACGACTTGCCCCCGGTTTTCAATACATTAGATATCCTATATGTGTGGTCACTACACAAAACATAACTGTGTCACCTCTTTGGCTCCGAATGAATTACTAATATGTCCATCTTAAAATAAGCTCACTAGCGTACCTGATACTCTACAAAATTTCTTATTCCGGATACAGCATTTTAAAACGTTGCTGTTATATTTTATCGGTAAATTGGCACATACGTAGCATTTATTTATGGCGCAAATGAAGTATAACTTCGTGGCGCAAATGAAATGTAACATCTTGGCGCAAATGAAATACTGCATTTTCAAACTTGGCACAAATGCAATGCACCCGATATTAACACTTGTCAAATATTGTAGATCGTATGTCGACCTGTAAAATACTTTGCAAAATCGATATCAACCAACATGCAAGTGTTAACGTAAGATACTTATAGGTGTCAGGGCTGATATGTATTAAACTACTTAAGTTAAGATTTATTCTGAACGGACGGATTTTTCTGCATGTCCTAAGATAAATTAGTACTTCGATTGGATATCTTAACTTTAGTGGGTTTATGCATATCAGCACTGAACATCAATTCAACAACTTCAAAAGTAGTCCTTCCCTGACAAAAATAGTGATTTTGATGTCATTGTTTACTTTAATAAACTAAAAAACAAATTTGCAGAAATGAAACTTTTGGTAAAAGAGAAATATATAATTGTCCACGAGTTTGCATTTAAATTGAAGATTAATGCGCTCCGTAGTATACTTATTTCAGATTTCCAGAAAACCAGGGGCCTGTTTATCGAAGCGCTCTTAGAACTAGGACATGTCCTAAGATCATCTTAGGACGGACGTATCTTATAGTGGGTTTATCAAACATGTCGTAACATAGGAATCGTCCTAACTTTAGGACACCTATTTAAGTGTCTTAGGATGGTCTTAGGATGGTCTTAGGATGGTCCTAACTTCCTTAAGTTTGAATGTTCAACTATAAGATAAATGTTATCTTTTAATTTTATAAGAATGATAATACTAATGGTAGTATATTTCTAATTTTGGATCTTATAGTTATTTACTTCTGGTGAAATTCGATGCATTCTTAAACATTTTAAATTTTTTAAATCCTATTTTTCTTTAAGCTTACTCTTAGGAGAGCGGTTAGGACATCCTAGCTAAGATTGTCCTAAGATGGCTTCGATGTGCATGCTGAGACATGTCGTAAGTCGTCCTGACATATTCCTAAGATAGGTCTTAGGACAGATCATAGAACAGCTTCTATAAACAGGCCCATGGTTTCTATGAGGTTAAACTTATGGTAGAATATTTAGAAAGCTGTGAAAATTGCAAAATTTGGTTGAATAGATAGGGAATTTGAATTGGTGGTCTGACACCGCACATTTGTGGATATATTCTGCGACGCGTTACTGTTTACGCATGGCAAGTTTTGACATCAAACATTTTATCTATTGATCATATTTTGAGTTTCCTTATCATTAGTACTTAAAATAACGTATGATGTTTTCCATTTGTGTAAATTTACTTTATTATTACAACTGTAGAAGGGTTGTCTTCATATGAAGGTCTGGATGGGGTTAACGGAATAGAGAATAATGGACAAAACGTACAGAACATAGGGCAAGAAAATAAGGAATAGAGAAAAAAGGGGAAAAAATAGAAAAATAGAAGAAAAAAATTAAGAAACAGAAAAATAGGGGAATATAAAGAATAGAAAAATCAGGGAAAACAAGAATAGAGAACAATGGGGCGCTTAAATATAATATAAAGAATAGAAAATAAAAGGCAAAATAAACAAAGAATAGAGAAGTGATGGACCCCATCCAGATCCTCTCATATGATACAGCAGCATGACGGTTTGTCATTTTGTTACTGCTTTACTTAACCTCTTATGGCAACATGAAAAACGGTGATACCATTCGAATTAAAATGTTCAAATTATTCAATCTTATGCTTAGTTTGTATGTAGTATACATTTGCTTGTAGACACTGCAAATACTATCAATGTCTAACTTATAACGTTGTACAGCAATTAAATACACTTGGTTTTAAGATATACAGCAATACTGACATACAGTGCTTAGACTGGATATTTAACAATGCATTTTATAGCCAAGTAAATACAGCACAAATTCCTGAATTTATGTCACATATTATATAACAGTCTATCATATATCTGAAATATGGGCTCTGTCAATTTTAGTTTATAAAACATGTTCTGAATTTTCTGAATTTTCTGATTGTTATTTTTCGAAGGGCATATAAGTAAACCATCCGTCAACTATATTTATTTAAAGTCAGTAAGTCAGTAACACATTTTACTGGTAAAATATTTAACTACCTTTAAACACATATTAAGGTGGTACATAACACTACAGGGAGATAACTCTGTAAAAATTCAGCTGCACGTTTTAATTACGTTCTATTGTTTAGGAAATATTAAGCTTCTCAATAATCAAAATCAATGTTTTTCAAACTGCTATATATCCAATGAAATTTTCCCGATAAAGTGTGTGTGGTGCAAGTTTTTTGAAATTTCTATATTTTTTTCAAAGGGTCAAAGTAAGTATTTTGTCAAAATTTTATGAAAATTAAACGAGCCAAATTGATTTTAGTCAAGGTGTTTGGTACCACCTTAAAAGTGCTAAGTAATTTGGGAAATAGCAACGTCTAATAAACAATAGCAATGTATTTCAAAATTACAGATTAAGTGAACAAATCAGCAAGAACAGGAATACATAGAAATGTTTGGAAAACAGATAAAAAGTTGTGAAGACAACTAAACTGATTGATCGGATCAAAGATCTACTTTTAATACCCCCCTAAACAAACCAACAAAACATAATAAAAAAAATTAAGATATGGCATACGATAATAACGGACAAGATTTTGATTTCTAAACATTTTGTTTTTTTCTGAGACAATTTTTTATTTTTATTTGTGGAAAAGTGAAAAAAAAAAAAACCACACCGTGAAATTTCTCTTGAATTTATATCACAGAAGTTCCATTTTCCACATTTTCCACAAGTCTTCCAGATTTCCAAAAAAAAATAAAGTATCATAACTTATATGTGGATTTTCTGATTCTGTTAATATAATGGAGTATTTCTAAACATGTAACCCTAAAACCTTTCATATAGAATTTTGTCAATTTAGAGTCATTATTAAAAAAAAATGTGAATAAAAAGGAACTTTCCTAACCAAAACGAAAACCTTTTCGGAAGCAAAGCTATATGTATTTTTTTTCAGATACATATCAATTTATGCATTTTACAAAAACATGTAATATTTACGACATTGTATAAAAACTGTATTCAGCAGAGATGTATTGCCCTAAATAACCATTTTATTCAATGGATATATGCAAAAATGGTCATTGAAAATCTGTTATTTATTATAATACTAATGGACTCTCTAATATTCGAATTACAGTAGGTTTTGAAAACTTTCTGATTTTCATCCCTCGAGTGAAACAAATATAGGAGAAATTCGACTTACAAATGTAACTATTCCGAGAGTTATTATGGTCCAGTTATTCAGGAACTTGTTACACAGTAGATATAGTTAATGCGCATGTCACGTGAAAGAGATTGTTTTTGATATATACATGTATTAGCCAATACAGAAGTACTCCTAATGTTTGAAAAACGTCATTGTTTTATGGTATTGTTGTACCTGAAAGGAGTTGCTACTGACATATGTATGCAATAACATTAGCGTATATACAACTTGATTATTTGGCTTATTCTCTTTAGTTCTAACTGTCTATCCTTTTTTGTCTTCATTTGCGCCGGAGACTGTTTGCACACCAGTAACACGCCCAAGTGCAAGCTTAACTTTAATTGCTTAGATGCTTTCTAGTTTTTGTTGCATTATACTCGACAAACGCTCCTATGTAAAACGTTCATGTAACGCTTCCAGAACTAATTCGCCTAATGCTTATTTGTAAATAATGGCAATTGCTTGCAAAGATTGTAAATTCAGAAATGATTACGCGCATTCATAATCGCGATTCTGGCTTAACAGACAAGGATCGGTATTAAGCAATCATAGAAACTCGATCGCAAAAAATTCTGAATTTGCAGTAGAAAAATGATGGCAACAGCTTTGCTTGATTCGCAGCTTCTTAACACAACTAAATAAAAAAAATCGAAGTCACTTCCAGCACAAAACAAAATGTGTACTTTTTACAGGAAGTTGTGTATTACGGCCTGTACAAGGGGATACAACAAAATACAAAGTTTATTTAACCTCATCACGTGCTTCCGGTGAATTTAGATGCGCTGATGGAACACATTTTAATCAGAAAAAATGTTTATGTGTGTGGCCACCAAGAAATAAAACAGGTGATATATTATATTAAGTAATAAAGAAAAAGAGCGAAAAAAGGCAAAAAACTTTGACATACGTGAATTTTATGTTTTACCTCCAACGTGATCGGATATGTACAGATTTGAACACATACAAATAAAACAGCTGATATTATTTAAAGTCATAAAAATGAGAGCGAAAAAATCTCAAAAACTCACCATACATTAATTGAAAGTTTTACCACTATCTGACGTGATCGGAATTACAGATTCGTATAAGATTGTCTCTTCGAAACCTCCTTCAATCTTTCTACTCTGTCTACTCAATTGCTTTTTGTCCTTCTCTTTAATACTGATCTCTCCTGCTTTGAGCTTATTTCCCCAACTTAAAAAAATGAGAAAAAAGAAACGATGGACTGGAAAGGGAACGTGCTTAACACAATATGTTGATTTATGTGATTGTTAGGCATCCTGCTTTGGAAATGTTCAACTGCAAAAAAGACAAAATGTGTTTAACAACAATTCAAAATTAGGTTTGCCAGATATTTTATGTGATCTGTCTTATTTATCTTTTGAGCTACAGCCACTTTTCCAACAAGACCTAGACCAACCACCGAACCTATCAATAGACCAATTAATACAAGACCGTTGGACCCAATCAGACCAATTAATACAAAACCGTTGGACCCAATCAGACCATTACTTCCTGGAGAACAGAAACCTGGATATCGACCATTTGAATCTACAACAATAGGGCGTAAGTTGCTGTTTCATAGATATTTTCGCTGCTTAAGGTGGTACATAACATTACATGGAGATAACTCTGTAAAAATCAGCTGAACGTTTTAATCACGTTCTATTGAGCTTCTCAATGATCAACATTAATGTTGGTCAAACTGCTATATATCCAATGAAATTTTTCCGAAAAAGTGTGTGGTTCAAGTTTTTTGAAATTTTAATATTTTTGTCAAAGGGTCAAAGTGAATATTTTTTCATAATTTTACGAAAATTAAACGAGCCAAATTAATTTTAGTCAAGGTGTTTGGTACCACCTTAATTCAACTAAAAGTTACAGTAGAATCACGTTTATTGTAATTGAGTAAAAGTTGAACCTTTGTAGGTTATACTGTGTAGTTGTTCGTACTGTTTCCTTACTTTTCATCATTTATACGCATTGGGTAAAAATGAACAAAAACTTATATTAAGTTTAAATGTCAAGAGCTTTTAACTAACTTCGTGTAGTTTTGATACTTGTAACCACAATTTTAGATTTCTCTTAAACCATAACAAACAAGAACACTATCTTTATTTATCCATTTTGACGCCAAAGAGATTCTGAAGATCAATTGCAGTTATAATAACTGTGTACAAAGATGACGATGCTTTTGTTGATTGGTGTATATAGTAAACCAAAACTATACAAAAAGGGAAGATAACTCAACCAGTGTATTCCAAAAAGAAAATGAGCGAAACGTTCAAATACATTATCAAATTATGTTTGATTGCGTTTTTTTTTAAGTTTACCACCCACCGTTTCATTCATAGGAAAAAAACCACAGAGTTAACAATTGTATTTCATGCATAAACGAAAAAGTATACGATAAAAGTACATAAACTAGATAAATATTGGAAATTATTTTTTTTGCAGATAGAAACGTGCATGTACAATAATAAATGTCAGGAAAATGAGTATATTCATCTAATAGCAGAATATTAGTCTTATGATCAGTATTTGGTTTCCTTGGAAAATGTGCATTTTCCAAAAAAGAAATGGTATTACGTCTTAGCTTGCTAATTATAGTCATTGCTAAGAAATATGCAGGCTAACAAATAATACATTAAACAACCTGTGTCGCTCACATGGATCTATGTGGGTTTTTAACTTTGAAGATTAAAATATTATTTTGACTAAGGTCTCTTTTTGTCGTTCTTGCATTGCCGATAACTTTTCTGTTTTTAGTTTCTCTCTATCTTTAATAGTTTTTGCTATAAAGCACCTCCCAAAAATGGGTAAAATTGTCATAAAAGGGCAATAAGACCTAAACGTAATCAACTGTGTGCAGTGTTGATTAATTTGTAGATCTCGTCTGATGAAGAACAAATATGGTAAAATAGTTTTTTTTTAGCTAAAATAACTTATATAAGAAGTCGACCACCTACATCAAAGTTGACGTAGATTTTTTCCTGCTGTCAGATTTTATTTGGAGTTTCTTTTTATTTATTATAGTTTTCAACATGAACGCAAAAACGGATTGTATGTAGATGATATCAACATTTGACCAATCGCCCCTGTCATATTTCCCTATCTAAGGCGGTTTTCAAGATAATAGACACAATTGTTTCACCACTTTGTTTTATCTTTAGCTATGTTGGTTGACAAGGGGGATCACCGGACACATTTTAAAAATTATATACTAGTACTAAAATGATGATTTTGGCCAAGTTGGTTCCATTTGGCCCTGTAGTTTCAGAGGAAAAGATTTTTGTAAAAGTGAACGAATGACGACTGGCAATGCAAGAAATAAATAACGACACGTTATGAAATAGTTAATTTGACCCTTTGGGCATGCATATAAATAATGTGGCCGGATTAAACATGTTTGTGAGCGCTCGCCAAACCTCTTTCCCCTTACCTTGAACATTGTTGAAACGAAAAAAGAGATAGCTTTAGATTTATGTAGCATATTTATTTTTTCAGCTTGTTTTACGTCACCAGACGCCGACAGAAACTATTTCTCACAATATATCCATGGTTACGGTACAGTAAGACGACGTTGTCCAATTGGTACCCTTTACAATGACCGAGAATGTGGCTGTATTGATTTAGCACCTGTAACAAGTATTTGTAAGTAATTAGGAGTTGTAATACACATACATGTAGTGTGTACAACCAAAGAGATTATGTAATTGATATTTTTTGACTGAGTAAATTAGCATGGCGGGTGATACATGCATAGCAGGAGACGCTAACCTTTTCGACGCACCCAGTCTTACTTCTTTAGGAATTACTGTGGATTCATTTATAATCGTGGGTACCAATTTTGGTAGACAGAGGAAAACTTATGTTTTCGTGGATATTTATTTTTCGTGGTTTTGCCAAAGTCTACACACAAACCTTTAGAAAATGGAAAAACACTTCTTTGAATACTAAATTCGTGATTTACCTGTAACCACGAAATCCATGGAAATTGGTATCCCACGAATGATAATAAATCCACAGTACTGTAAACCAACTAATTTTTGCGAGCGATTTATTTTCGCGACTTTCGCGAGTAGAAAATTAACGCGAATATAAATCATCGCGAAGATGTAAAACTTTATCATTTAATTACATCAAATGAATTTGAAAATCGCGAAATCAAATCGCCGCAAAGTGGGCTAGAAAGGGCTTTACGCGAAATAAAGTATCCGCGAAAATAAGTTGGTTTACAGTATATGGGATTCCCTCAGGTTTTGTTTGTTACCTTAATTTGTCTCTTCTTAATCGATTTACGAGATATGATCATCGGTAGACTACTGACGCTTCAATCTATCCAGATTGTTATTTAAGGTACACCAATGCTCCTTGTATTGATGCCATTCGCTTTAATCCATCCAGATAGTTATTTAAGGTACACCAATGCTCCTTGTATTTATGCCATTCGCTTTAATCTATCCAGATTGTTATTTAAGGTACACCAATGCTCCTTGTATTGATACCATTCGCTTTAATCTATCCAGATTGTTATTTAAGGTACACCAATGCTCCTTGTATTGATGCCATTCGCTTTAATATATCCAGATTGTTATTTAAGGTACACCAATGCTCCTTGTATTGATGCCATTCGCTTTAATCTATCCAGATTGTTATTTAAGGTACACCAATGCTCCTTGTATTGATACCATTCGCTTTAATCTATCCAGATTGTTATTTAAGGTACACCAATGCTCCTTGTAGTGATGCCATTCGCTTTAATCCATCCAGATAGTTATTTAAGTTACACCAATGCTCCTTGTATTGATGCCATTCGCTTTAATCTATCCATATTGTTATTTAAGGTACACCAATGCTCCTTGTATTGGTGCCATTCGCTTTAATCTATCCAGAATGTTATTCAAGGTACACTAATGCTCCTTGTATTGATGCCATTCGTATGTATGACAGTTCTTAGTATTGAACATTAATCAGAGTCTCTATTTGTTATTGCTATAATACCAAAATTGTCACAGCAGTGTTCCTTATATTTTTAAAAAGATAATGATGACATTCAGATGCATGACGGGTGCTAGTACAGAGCAGAACTCAGCTCTAGGAATGACAAATTGCAAACTTTTGATATTGTCATGTTGAAATATGATATTGATATAAATAAAAGGTGGTCTGTAATACTTGAATGAGACAGCAACGAACAAAACTAAAACATAAACGACATCTAGAGTTCAAAGTACAGTGCTCAACAATAAAGAGGTGTATATAATAGTTTATGGACTGTTATAGAACTTAACCTTTTGTATAGACAAATGTCATTTGACGAAGACTGTATGTTACCCTCTAGATATCGTCTGCTTATTTTGCCATCGGGTTGTTGTCTTATTGAAAAAAGTAAAACAACGAAAATACCGACACCCGTGCACACCTGTTTCAAGGAATTCATTCACAGAAAATTTCATTAGAGTAGTTTTCTTCGGATTGACATTTATATTGTATTTTTTTATGTGTGTTCTGACATTACCCCCAAAAAGTATTAAACCCTGTTTTTAGTTTTATTATTTGTACTTAAGTCGTTGGCTTTCTCAATTTACAAGTCGTCGCATTCAAAACATTAATCTTATGACAATTACTAACATTTTAATGTCAAATGTTTTCACTTGTGAAACCTTTTATTTTAGAAAAGAATCTAGTATTTCCTTAACCGACAGATGAATCGGTTGTTTGATGTTTTTTTGTTGTTGTTTATGCGAAATATAAACTGGTATTGTTAATATAAAATTTTAATTTGAAATTTCTAGAAAAATTACAGACCCTTATGTTCGAAGTTTTGTTGTTTTTACACGGTAAATAATTTCGTTTACATGTTTTTAAAAATGGTGGATTAAACCTAGTTTTACAACTAGCTAAACCTTTCACTTGTATGACAGTCGCATATAATTCCATTATATTAACAACAATATCTGAACAAAACAAAGAGACATAATAGGAAAAAATGTAAAAAAAATAGGGGTGCATTATTTAACATTGTGTTATAATATTAATCACTATACAAACAGATGAATATGTCAACAAAGAAAATCAAAATGGCATAAAGACAAAGCACATAAGCAAAAATGAATGCAGGAGTACAGAAAATGACTATAGCACAATAACACAATGGCGGGATGTATCGAGCCACGCCAAAAGGATATTACCAAATATGGACTAAAAATAAAGGTTAATAATTTACAAACACATATAAAAGAACACTATAACACGTAATTAAGATGATAAACAACGTCAGTACCTAGAACTTATACTTCAAGACCAAAACTTGACGTTTACTCACGTGTCTATTTATCAATCTATACTTTATTTTGAAATATATTAGTCTGTTACTTCAATTTCAGATTGCAGACCAGAAATCAATTTAGACTATGATAGTAAACCAATTAAAGACAATGGTGGCACACACATTCCCATTGGTAATAATGGTCACGTGGATTCTGTTGCTAAAGCTGGTAGATTTAACGGCATCGGACAATTAACGATATGGTTGTATTCAAATATTGACTTTGGACAAAAATTGACAATAAGTTTTCGTTTCTACGATTTCCCAGGAGGCCCGGATGAACAAGTTTTAGTTTCTAATTGTAAGGATCATCATTTAGGTGCTGTTGAAATTGCATTAGCGCCAAGAAATAAAGAAGTTATTTTTAGAGCAGATACCGTTTCTAGTGGACCTGCCGAAATCCGATTACCATATAAGGTAAGCATACAAATCAAGAGTTATTTCATTTGCAGTTGGCAATATTTTAGTATATACGCTCAATGAAAGATGCTGTTTATTGGAATACTGGTTAAAAGAAGGACTCTGTTTTGTTTTTAGAATAACCTGAAGAAATTACAGATTTACAACTAGAATTAGGTAAATAAACTCATCATAGATACCAGGATTGGAATTTTGTATTTGCGCCAGACGCGCGTGTCGTCTATAAAAGTAAATCGCATTCGACACATTTTAAGGTCTGGTTATGTAAATACCTCTATTAAAATTTTAATTTTGAAAAATATAGATATACCTTTATGCAAAACAATAATAATACAAATCTATAACAGTAATACGAATGATTTCATAGGCGTAGGTTTTGTGACCTTGAATGTGCAAGCACGCAGTCCTTCTTCACAATATATTAGATACAGTGCGATATTGAACACCCGTGCACACCTGTTTCAAGGAATTCATTCACAGAAAATTTCATTAGAGTAGTTTTCTTCGGATTGACATTTATATTGCATTTTTGATTTGAGCGTTTGTTCTCATGTTCTGACATTACCCCCAAAAAGTATTAAACCCTGTTTTTAGTTTTATTATTTGTACTTAAGTCGTTGGCTTTCTCAATTTACAAGTCGTCGCATTCAAAACATTAATCTTAAGACAATTACTAACATTTTAATGTCAAATGTTTTCATTTGTGAAGCCTTTTATTTTAGAAAAAAATCTAGTATTTCCTTAACCGACAGATGAATCGGTTGTTTGATGTTTTTTTTTGGTTGTTTATGCGAATTATAAACTGGTATTGTTAAATAATATAAGATTTTAAATTGAAATTTCTAGAAAAATTACAGACCTTTATGTTCGATGTTTTGTTGTTTTTATGTAAATAATTTCTTGTTTACATGTTTACAATGCATTTCGTCGTACATTGTAAGTCGTAAACAATGTACGATAACTTTTGCTTTAGTCATGTTAGTATCAATCATTTGTGTGGTTTTGAAAGAAATGTTCAGAGGAATCGTTAAAGATCCGGCTTTCGTAGTTTTATGAATTTTACCATCAAAACCTCTTTAAAGTATTAAAATGAACACAAAAAAGGAGTACCTCATCACAAAATAACGAATTCCTCACACGAGAAGATTATTCGTATCAGTTGTACATAAATCCTCTGTTTATACATTGTGTTATTTTATGAATCACGAACCTTATGTTGCAAATCCTAAAGTAAATTTTATTAATACATTGCTTCTATTTTATTGAGAAGTCTCGTATCTTATAAAACATTTGGCTTTGACTTTTCCCTCTGAATGAAAACACCATATTATTAATTTCGTTCGTTTGAAGCGCTTTTCTGGATTTACCTTCACAAGGATCGTTCAAACACAAACATCGAAATCCAGGGATGTATAATACCGTATAGCGGGTTATTTTCAATGGGTGTTTATTTTCGCTTATTTTGGCGGATAAGGGAAAATCGCTAAATTAATTTCCGCGAAAATTTATGCATACGTTCTGTACTTTCTAATAGCTAAAGCGTTTTGAAAACTCGATTTTTCCTGTTCGTCGGATCAATAATGGTTTATTAATTTAACCAACATAAATGCGAAAGGCTATTGTTCCCTGGCTGTCAGGTGTGTATTAGTGAATTGGTTACATAATAAAATAATTAATAATTTAAGAGTGTAAGGTACTCTATCAGGTATTTAATCCAAATTAATTAGTGTCAATTTATAGTCAATTTTAGTTGCAAGTCACTCATGATAATATTTAACTGCACCCATTTCAGTATCCGCCAAAAATTAAATTGTAATTAAAGAATCCGCCAAAATAAAAACCGCCAAAATTTTCGTATACTTTGTTGCCCCTAAATCGCGAAATTTACACCCGCGAAAATAACCCGCTATACGGTACATAGAATCGTTAGGAACTAAAGATGATTATTAAAAGCAGCTCGAACGTTAGTGAATTCGTAATGTTAAAAAAAGGAAAGAAGATATCAACATGATGAAGCAGATATGTCAAAGAACAAAGACTATGTCGTGGCTAAATGAAAAAGACAGACAGACAACACTCCACTTAACACTACAGATAAGATTAAAGTTTAGTATCACTAACTCAACCAAAAACAGTGATTAACTCATCTGTTCCTGAAGTGTAAGTAGTTCCTGCTCAACTAGTGGCACTGTAACTCATAATCAGTTCTTATTTAGTGAAAGGTCGCATTCGACATCAAATTATTCTTAGTTACATACATTGAATGGCCTCACATATGATCAGACCTCCATGGATTAAACGGTATGTGAAAGTAATTATTTACGTAAAAAACCATTGAAACTAAAAACAATTTATCATTATTTACTTGTTTGTCAACAGGATAAAGCATGGAAAAATGTCACATACGTATATGATGGAACAGCATTAAGGGCAAAGGTTGATGATGAAGAACAGGCTGTTTCCATGAAAGGTAAAATCATGATTCTTTTTTTGTGTATAGAAATGTGTTATAGTTATAATAAAATTAGTCGGATCACATACAAGGCTTAAGATGCAAAAAGTATGCTGTATACCTTGTATAACATATGATACTGACTTATATTTATATCCTCAATACCAAGTCAAACTTATCGATCATCCACGGGATGTTTTGTATATTGATTTGATCTTAATGTGGTCTGATCATTACAATAACTTTCTGTGTCATTTTTGTTACTTTACAGGAAATAAAACATTAAATGCTAATTTACGTTTGAATTTTCTTTGGGTACAAAACAGTGTAAAGGGTTCTTCATCATATGCACCATATTTTCTGTACACTCAATAATCGTCCAAACAGTTCTTCGTGTGGTGGCCGTAGTGATTCTGGTGACAGGTATATTAGATATCCTCTCTATTTAAAAAACCTATGAAATAATGTCAGTAAGAAAAAAAAAAGATTAAAGAATTGGCTGAAACAAAAACTGAACTTGGTTAACTTATTAACAGTTAATTGCTGGCGTGACAAACGGTTAGATATTATGTACTGTTAAAAGGTCGTATTATGACATATATTTAAGTTTAGGTGAGCTGTTTGGCTGTCATGTAAAAGAAATAATTGAATTGTTATCTTTTGTTTCCATGTTGTTGCATTTATTCATTTTTATTCATTCTAATGCATTTCGTTTGTAACGATAATTTTCGTTGGACGTTTACAAATATTTTGAAGAGTTAGATTCCACGTTCTACCAGTCCGTAGCTAAGGAAAGCCACCATTCTAAATTCCGAATTTTTGTGGAATGTAATTTCTCAAAAAAAACAAAAAAAACTCAAAAAAGTCCCATTTCGTGCCTCAAAATCTTCCTTTTGTGAATATTTAAACCATTCAAAATCATACAAAATGTATAAATACGTCTGCTGTTTGACATCAATAGTATACCTATGACGTCACATTGTTTAGATACCAAAGACAATAACAGTTTTTCGTACCTTTTCATGTATGACAATTTTAAGCCAAATATTTACTTAGAACTAATTTATTTAAACATGTAGCATTAGAATGGAGATAACTGTATTGTACTTTAAGCTTGGTTTTCGTAAAACTTGATTTTTACTGTCGCAAATATCCGTTTACCTATCTCCGCTACGCGTCGCCAGGTAAACTCAATTTGCGACAGTAATATCTACTTCTTACGAAGGCCAAATTTAAAATACAATACAGTTATCTACTAATTTTGACCATTCAGATTTATCGTATTTTCTTACAATATATTTGAGTGGCAACATGCAAGCTACTTGGTAGTACAGAGGCTTATACTTCTATGCAATGAGGCATGCTTCAGAAATCTGGTTAGTGATTTTTGCTGCGTCTGTAAACATTTGCGTTATCACAACTTAGGTAGACATTCGATGATTTGGAGCTTGTAATACGGTGTTGTTGCTTATCTAATAGCTCGAGCCATTTACTGACCTCTCTCTACAAGAGTTGTGTTTAGTTGGAGATAATAATCCATCAAACACCAAAATGACACGAGAGTGAACACTTGTACATATATATACAACCAAATAAGTTTTCAATAACAAGCAAAAAACTAATATCCTTAGAAAAGTCGTAAAAAGCCTTTGATAAAACACATTAAAAAAATTAAAAGATCGTTCAAGGGAAATTGCCTTAATTTATGAAACAAAAACATATGGCCAGAAGGTAACGGCATCTACTTGATTAAGGTTATTTTACTGTGATTGGAATAATTGAACCATCCTCTAATATAGAACAGTGGTATAACAACTGAGCAATTGTATAAACTAAAAATTATCAAAATAAACTCATACCTTGCCATTAATTTAAGTTTTTGGAATATTTTGAATTTTCAGACTATTCCGTGTCTTTTACACTACAAACTTGTGGCATTGCGTTTCGTTTGAAACTTTTGTTCACAACAAAACAAAATGGTTAAAATAAAACAAAGAAGAGAAAAATTCAAAAACTTTATTAAGTAAAGAATAAAATTCTCCATAACCATATCACAAACGAGATTGTGCAAAGTAAAAATTCATTCCAACTCTGAAGATATCAATCGAGACCCTCTTAATGTCACAACATACAAGAGAAAACATAAATACAAATTCCCATGGTATACGAACTTGTCCTACTATAAACCATCTCTAATGAAGCATAATGTGACAATCCATGTAAACTGTCGCTATAATCATCCATCTTCATTTGACATTATAAGGTTTCAAGCTAAATAATGGAATGTAATTAAATAGTCTACTACTTCTTTGTTTTTTTACTATCGTATCATGTATTACATTAAAACATTAGTCAGAAATAATAGTTAGATGTTAACGGACTTTAACACGTATTACAAAAAAGGAATATAATAAGAAATAACAACTAGGAAAATAAGATACTATAATGAAAATAACAAAACCAAAATTTTCTTTCTTTTTACATTTACGTATCACGCAAAGTATAAATACAATCTTCAACATTTTCGTCCATTATTTCAGATAAATTTGGACGTACTTATTCATCATTAATTTTCACCATGGTTAAGTATTTCCGAGTATCTAAGATACTGGAACAATTGATTTATTATGGAAACTTATTCGATTTCTTGTATCAAGTTTTTCAATGATCTTTTAAGAGTTAGATGTATGTACCATCTAGTATAAAAAGTGTATGACAGTACTTAATAAACACGGTTCACTCATTTAAAAAAAAATTAACAGACTGACATAATGATATTTAAATGATGTCGTGATCTTAAACTTATTAATGATTATCTATTTGTTGTCATCATCCATCAAGTTGACTTTAAAAGATTAATTTCCGAACAGACATCATTTTCAATGGACTTTCAAATTGCAAATACATGTAAAAGAATAATAATACTAGTTTTTGGTGCTTTGAATTTTTTGTTGAAAGTTCTTACCATGCCAACATTTTATAGGTAAAGTTGAACGAGTCTAAACAAGAGATTATAACCGATTTAAGACTTAAGGGAGTACACAAATGTAAGAAGATCCATGTCTGACCTGTTTTTTTCATGAAAATAAAAGTTTGCACAGCAGATGATATATACTTATCGGTCATATTTGCTTTTTTCTTTATTGTTTTGTCATCAAATTGGCTGTTTACTGTTTGAATTGTTTCGCATTCATGCATTTTTAGTTTTTTGCGTTTTGCTCATTGTTGAAGGGTGCGCAGTGACCTATAGTTGCTGACATAATGTATATCTACATCATTTGGACTCTTGTTAATAGTTGACTCATCGGGAATCATACCACATCTCCTTATTTTCATATAATTTAGGAAGTTGAACATTTGAGTCATATTCCTGACTTGGTACAGACATTTCCTGTGTAGAAAATGGTGGATTAAACATGGTTTTATAGCTAGCTAAACCTCTCGCTTGTATGACAGTCGATTTAGAACAATAACAGTTTATTTTCTTTGAATATAAGAATCTTTTTAATAAAGGAGGGTTATCTTTATCATTTTTATTAAAGTCACATAATCCACTTCTCTGTATCTTCTAATTTTCTTACATTCTAGATCACTTGTTTATATAAAATGAATATCTTAAATACATATTTGTAGTTGTTAAACTTAATTACTGCATAGTCCAATTTTCTTTCGTATTTCAGAATTTAGTATCTTTAATGGATATGGCTACATTGCGCACATTAAATAATAATTTATTTTTAACAGCGATCAATTTTAGAAGCTGTTCACCGGTTTTATAGGTTAGGTGTGACAATATTGAATAAACTCATCATTATACCAGGATAAAAAAATGTATGCTAGATGCGCGTTTTGTCTACAAAAGACTAATGAAAATATCCCTGTGATATTTTTCACCTCTTTTTGTCATCAGTCATGCAATACTAGTTGTTTAATCATTGTACTCCTATTGCCAAATCTCTTAAAAAAATACGATTGATACATCTCAAATCCATTAAAATGGTTTTGATTTATTATTCCCCCATGCAACTAAGTTGCGTAGGGTTTAATGTTTTTGACCCGTCCATCTGTCCGTCCGTCAGTCCTGTTTTTTGTCATCGCAACTCTTCTGACACCACATACAGAATTTCATGAAACTTTGAAGATAATAATGACATACTTTGTAGATGTCAATATCACCAGAAAATCAGGGATTTAATGTTTTTCTTGGAGTTTATGCCCCTTCAAACTTAGAATTTTGGCCATAATTTACTGCTGCAACAGTTTATCATCGCAACTCCTCAGAAACCACACAACAGAATTTCATGAACAATGTAGTTAATAAGGATATATTTTATAGATGTGCATATCGACAGAAAATTATGATTCAATGGTTTTTATTGCTTTTGAAAAAAATGAACACATGAACTTGGAATTTTAAGCCCAGTAACAATGAAGGGCTTGGGCTATAGAGCGTGCTCATAAAGGTTCTTCAATTTTGGTGTGTATGTGCTCTGGTATGTCTGTTGAAAGCATACTTGTGAAAGTATTGCAAGGCGTGAGTGCAAGACATATCCCAAAAGGAACATTTGTCAGTCATCTGTATATAGGTCTTTGCTCTGTCTGCAATTGCAGGTGAAAAGTATCTCTTTCGATATTTGGTGATTTTTAGCGATCACGACCGTTTTGTCAATAAATAAAACTTAGGCTTTTATTGTTTCACTGCTTGTCTCATTGACAATAACCCTTCTACATTATTCATAATGATATTTCTGCTGTACCCCAATTTTTGACAATATAATGTAATTCTATGCGACTGTCATACAAGTAAGAGGTTTAGCTAGCTATAAAACCAGGTTTAATCCACCATTTTCTACATAAGGAAATGCCTGTACCAACTCAAGAATATGACAGGTGTTTTCCATTCGTTAGATGTGTTTGAGCTATAGATTTTGCCATTTAATAAAGGACTTTCCGTTTAGAATTTCTCTTCGAGTTCAGTATTTCTGTCATTTTACTTTGTTCTTTCCAGGTCAAAACAGAGATATTAAGATATCTTTGTTGTTTTTTTTAATATGCTTTGATCCATTTGATTCAACACAATAAAGCAAGAATATAATTCGTCTCTTTGTAAACCAGCTGTTACATAATATGTATAATTGTTAACTTTTTACACATTGTGACTTGGATGGAGTGTTGTCTCATGGGCACTCTTACCACATCTTATTTCTATTGAATGTCATTGTTGGTGTTTTTTTGGTCTATTTCATACTATAATTTCTCAAATATTCAGTGGTACATATATTTAATTTTAATTTTCTTTGTCTTGCAGGGCATTTAGATACACGATCAGGTGGATTTGAGATAGGGATGTGCAACAGACGTGGATATGTTGGATATATTGATGATGCAAGTTTTTTTTTCTCAAAACCGTTTAAAGTTTACTTTATTTCTGCTATCTTGTAAACTTTTGTCATCGTCTTACTTTTCACATTTATAAAACTCGAACCTTTCTTTATGTGAGCATCACATAGAAAATGCATCAAATAGCTAGTTCTTACTACAATCAAAACAAGTGGATTCCTGTCTTTCATGACAGTAAATATACTTAGCACATACTTACAACTTATCGTCCAATCAAATTGCTTATATTTGCCTTCTAAGTTTATCGTACATTCTTTTTTCATTGTACTAAGTAACTATGCATGAATGACCACAAGGGTAAGATTTCATTGTATCGTAATCAAGATATTAAAAACAAAATTTGACACTGGCTATTTTAGAATAAAATGCTATGTCCCAAATTAGTTTTCACATTGATTTTTATATATCCTGCTATTAAAACCTTTGATTTTAAAACATATTTTTGACAACTGCAAGTTTCTATCATTTAAATAAAGAATAACTAATATGGTCTTTAATACCTTGATTATAGTACCAACCTATCATATAAGTGTGGTAATTTATCATCCATGCAATTAGTTTGTACACAAAAAAGTATGTACTATGAAACCTTGTGAAGGGAAATTAAGGCAACTCGATGATCTTGTTAAAACATGATCTATTTCATCATGAATTGAAAAACCTTGATAATGTCTGAAGGGAATGTGCCACCTATATCTATATTCTGATAAAGCTTTAGGTTTTTACTTTGAAATGAAAAGAAAACCAATAATTTTTCAAATTGATCTATTGCTACATATAATTGCTTTTTAATGCCTAACCGCAAAATTTTCTATGGCACACCTATCTATATTTAAAAAAAATATTATAGCACTGTTTTACTGTGAAATTGATTTTTGTTTTCAAAACATGTAACGCTCCTACTGCAATTTAAATATGTATGCCTGTTTTGGTCAATTAATTATTTCATCTCAGCATTTAAATAAGGACATGTAGAAAGACACCGCTATATATAGATATGCAAACTTACACCAGCAGCTACCATCTTTTCATTCTGAATACCCATGATACTAGTGAATGAATTTACAAAACATAAAACTTAGTTAATGAACTTTGTTTTACAAACACCTGTGATACAATAGTCAGCCAAAATAAACTATCAACAGACCAATTAAAAGATAACTCGAGTTGTAAATATGTGCTAAATTGGATAGTCTATGAAAAGGTATATACTATGAAATTAAGAGCTCGGGGCAAGCCCCTCTCTCTAAAAAGTTAAATCACAAAAATACTGAACTCCGAGGAAAATTCAAAGTCCCTAATCAAATGGCAAAATCAAAAGCACAAACATATCAAACGAATGGACAACAACTGTCATATTCCTGACTTGGTACAGGCATTTTCTTATGTAGAAAATGGTGGATTAAACCTGGTTTTATAGCGCTTAACCTCTCACTTGTATAACAGTCACATCAAATTCCATTATATTGACAACGATGCGTGAATAAAACAAACAGACATAAAAGGTAAAAATGTCAAAATAGGGGTACAGCAGTCAACACCGTGTCCCAATCTTAATCACAACAAAACAAACAAATATTTAACAAAGAAGCACAAAAAAGCATATATCACATTTAACAACCTCGTTCATTGCTTACTTATTTTTCTATTTTATTTATGTATGCCAAATCAACCCATAAAGGATCGAAGGATTTTAAGCACTGGTTTAACATTAACTCTGGCGTAGAATCGCGTGTTTGACGTCAGAATGTAAACGTCACACAGGTAGAGATATAAAATAATTTTGTCGTTCAAAGTATGCAAAAATTATAATAGAACAATAACACAATGGCGGGATGATTAAAGTACAGAGACACGTCATATGTATCAAAGAAACATATAAAGTCACACGGACAAAGCACATACGTAAAAATGAAAAATGATACAAACAACACAATGACGGGATGCATAAGTACAGAGTCACGTTAAATTTCATAGTATATACCTTTCATAGACTCACCGATACGTTGACATTTCTTTGTTAAAAGGAGATAACGTACATGACGCAGAGTTATTGTGAAAGGAATTGGTTTAATCTAGCCGAATCATGTGCATTAGATGACTGTAGATTTATTGTTTTGAAAATTCACACATTTACGCTTTCTTAATGGCAAATTCCATAACACTACGATCGAAATGTTTCCTAACCTGTTTTTTTATTCTTTTTTTTAATTGCCTGTTTTTTTTTTCTTTTACTTTCCCGCATTTACACATATTATTGTTCTTGGACTTTGCGTAATATATATTTTTCTTTTTTGCAGTTGAAGATCCATCGCTGTGTAAATATAGACTATGTTATTGGAAATGGAAAAGGACCACTGAGACCATATGATGCTAGAGACTCTTACCTAGATATTCGTGGACCTTGAAAGTTACTTGACAACTAAATAACTTTGACACTTTTTTCTGTAAATCTTTTTTGAAAATAACATATACGTTCCGCTGCTAGGTCGTTCCGAGAAAAAATAGCTAATCTTGATGAATTTTGAAATTCTATTTCACAAGAACTGAATATGTTCCCCTTTTTAGACAAGACCATTTACCGCGTTGAACATCAGCCATATTAAATAAAAAAAGGATAGAGAATAAACGGGGAAATCTTCGAACTTGTTCGGTTTCTTTTTCACATTGGTATTGGTATATTCTATAATTACGAAAATTTCTTATACAGCAACAGCAGTCATTTGTCTCTTTGTTACGATGTCGTCAGAATTTTTAACCATGCTCAATTACCGACCCAACTGACCAATTACAAGGGCAATGTAGGTGACCAATGAAAACATTGAAATAGACATACATAAAAAGGACGATGAGCACTAACCATCGGAGTATTGTAGGGTTCAATCACTCCTTTTATATTATTTTCGATTTCAGCTTTACTTTATGGTATGGTACCGAACTTATTTTTAAATTAACGAATGAAAAATACATAATAAAACAACTGTGTGGAAGAAAATACAAAACAAAGAGTTAGATGTCATAATTAGTTTTATAACAATGTTTCGTGTGATTTCATGTATGAAAAGAATAAAATCCGTTTACATATAAATATATATCATTATGATCAAAATAATGTTTTGAACATATAATACTCAGTGCATATCAATTGTGTTTTTGTAGAAAATAATAGTACAGCTTTGCATTGTTTATCATAATAACCAGTCAATAATTCATAGTTTCTGTTTTGAGAAGTTTAAACATTTATTTCAATGTAATGAGTATCGTAAATTGAAAACAATAATACAATATCAATGCAATTATTTATATTTATCTGTAGCTGTTTATAATCGGGCTTTTAATTCCGAATATATTCACTAGTGGTGAATACAGTGTAAATGAACTATTTACATTTATCAAAATAAAAAAAAAAAACATTTCACGACATATGAAAATAAATATTTTGAGTTAAAGGAAAAAAAAACCCAGTAATCTCAAACATGGTCACAATAAATTTGAAATTTATATTTATATCATATTATGCAAGTCTTTGACAAAAGACATATATATTGTAAGTACATGTGTCCTACGAACTTAACAACAAACTTGTATTTACAAACAAAAAATATAGACAATATAAAGACAATATATATAATTATATTACATGCTTTTGTTTTTGATCATCGAGAGTAAAAACAAACCGGACGCTTTCAGCATTATTTACTTGCAGATAAATGAAATCATCAATGCCAGTCTCCATATGATTGAAGGAAAGTTGATCGGTAAGATCAGAAATGCGCTTTAAAATACGCTACCGGACCTTAAGCAAAATGGATGAGACATATATAGTTTCAGTCAGATTTTGGTGAATATAAAGTATTGCATCTTCAAATATTTCATCAACAATCTATTTAATAACATATCAAAAATGTACAGCACTTGGCCTTTATACAATATTTGTTAAGACGTTACACACGATTAAGTATTATTTGCATACAGATTATCTCTTGTTATTTTTAACATCACCAATAAAATTGTGTGATAAGTAAAATATTCTATACAAACATATCATTTTATAGAGAAGTATAAAGGTTATTGCAACTAAGATATTTCTTTTTAACTTTTCATATATTCTCAATTGGAATCGATTATTTGCTTAAGGAGCGATAAAACCTTGTGAATAAAATGGTTGATTGACAGCTTTTTAAGTGAATAAGTAGTTCATACTGGCTGGAATGTTGTTGCATCCGTTGTAGACTGTCCACTGAAAAATAAACAGAAGTAATTATTGAACATGTAGTAATGAATTAAACAATTTCTAGATATCTTCCAAAATATCAAAAAATAGGATTGACAAAAATACTACTTGAATGACTTAAGACGAAAAAAATGGAGTTTGATACAGTAACATGAAAAGTTTTGTGAGGGTTTTTTTTATAGAGAAAATCGCAAAGATACCCATCCCAACGTGAAACTTTTGTTCTTCATGATATTAGATTAAAATCAAGGACAAACACGAAAAATACCTCACAAAGAAGTTTTGTCATTTAATTGTGAAATTTAAATTCCACGGAAATAAACCACTTAAAACGACGGTTGTCATATTTGTACCAGAATCTGCCTACCCTTTTACAGTAGCTAAGATCACCCCGGTTGTTTGGGTGCGTGTTGCGCATTCCTCAGTTTTCTTAGTAAAGGCTTATGGTCAATAGACTGTTGATTTGACCGATTTGAATGCCCATTATCCCACCGACTGATTTTTGCAATCAACAACGGGTTTATGTTAGTTTAAGTTGTATAATGAAAGTATATAAACCTTCAAGCTAATGGTAATAGAAAGAACAGCAATTAACTGCCTCAATGGAAACATTTAAGTAAATTTATAATGAATACCCTATTGTTTACACAAGACGCATTAGTGTTTCAAAATAGTCAAACGGCCAAATCAGGTAAGAGTTGAAAAGCATTCACGGCCAAACAGTCTTTTGAAAGTTAGGTTGATTTTCTAGGCACTTTATACATATTCTAACGCCTGGTATTTCTTAATCATAAGAAATCCGATGGACAAGGTTTAATTTGCAGTTGTCACTACACATAGGCAGACATATACATATATTAATTTACAGTGATTGTATGCTTCTAAAAATAGATAAGCATCCTGTAATTATACTGAAGAGATGAGTAGATGATCATTTCTGTATACTAGAAGAATACTTCGTGTATTGTATCAGATATCCTTGTTTAATTCCTACGAGAAATTAACACCTCCCGAAACGAAAGCTGATTTTTATCAGCTATAGTTAGAGGAGGGGATAAGGTGTCTGCGCAATGCTAGGTGGTGTTGTCGTAGAAGTTAGAAATAATAAGTATAGGTCCAGCCCCGCTCGGGGAGGAAGTAAAGAAACAGATCTACTCTAACATCGTTAGGTTGATTTTCTAGGCACTTTACATATATATATATATATATATATATATACACAAGTGTAAATTGAAAACAACGTTCAAACCTATGATTGCGTTGGTTAAAAACCGCATTTTTTATACGTGTGCATGTAAAACAAATTTCTTGGTAGAGGGGTCTGAATACAGCATAAACAACATTTTCCAAAAGACCAAAAGAGTGAAAAAGTATATTTTAACAAAACGCATTTGACTAACAGGTCGAACAACGGATGTTTCCTGCTGACTACCATTGGCGATTGCCAAATAAATTGATCAGCAGATTTAACAAAATGGATCGTAATATTAATTTAATACCAAATAGAAAACAATTAACTTGCAGAAAGATGGTATTCCACAAACTTGAGGTGCAAAAATTTGTACACCATATTCGGATTTCGACAATTAATGTCTCTTCAGTGATGTTAGGGATCGAAACGGTATTTGGAAGGCCATATAATTTACCTCAATTTAGGATAGACTCTTGAATTTTAAAGAGTCGAAATAGGATGAACGGATCATATAAACCATAAGGAAATTTTAATACAAGCCCAAACGAAAAAATATAAACAAGTCTAAATTGAAAACCACGTTCAAACCTATGATTGCGTTGGATAAAAACCGCAATTTTTATACGTGTGCATGTAAAACAAATTTCTTGGTAGAGGGGTCTAAATACAGCACAAAACATTTTCCAAAAGACCAAAAGAGTGAAAAATATATACATATATGCATGCCCAACATTAGGAATGAATGGTTTTCCTGGTTTCAGTCACTCGTATTTGTTCTTCGTTTAATCGGTAATTTTTCTGTAAATTTATTGATTATAAAACCATTCGAAACACAACCCGTAGAATGTATTGACACAACAAAATGTGGCATAACTTTTAGAAATTGTTTACTTATCAAAGCACTTCAACATCGTTATTGATTTGACCTACGATTCGAGTACCGCTAGTGAGTATTATTTAGAAACATGCAACGGGGAATAATTTATATACCTGGTATCTTTGATGAGTTTATACCATGTTATCTATCAAGAAAGGTTGTTTCTCTTCTGTATATACCAATCCATTATAACATTCACATAATAGATGTATACAAAAATAAATTTACTTACGTCATAAATATCGCCTACAAATGGTCCATTTCCATCAAAGGGTTGTCCAACATTTAATGCCCCATTACATGCAAGGAAATCTTTTGGCGCTATTAGAAAATTAATCATGCATTAGTTAGTGTATTGTTTAGATAAAAATTATTAAAACGTTACCGTAGACGTATCTAAATGCTATATTTAGGTCCAGTTGTCTTTTTTTTACCTTTTCAATATCACTTGTTTAAAGTCATTCAATTAAATAAGCTTTATTAAATTAAGGCCGTGTATGTTAGTATCACCACAGTTTCGCTTTGCAAATATGTCATTAACTTATATAAAAGACAAGAATAAACCACGAGTAAATAAAGTTTGACACGAATGCGATATACAAGCCAATTACAACCCAATACGCACAAAACAAAAATAACCTTCCAAAATGCTTGACATTGTTTTGTTATATTTATTATTTTTACATTGAATTGTATACAAGTCTTAATAGTCTATTGGTCTTCGTCGGTCTATTTTAAAATTGTATTCTGGAATTCATTTTTTTTAATTTTTCAGTTATGTTCTTTGTTGTTTCCTTTTCGGATATATCAGTTCTTCAAAGTTTGTATAAGCTTTCGGTATAAGCTTTTGGATTTTCAAAATATTTTGGTTTCACGCATCACTGAAGTGACTTAATTATGGAAAAGCTTATATGATGCAGTCATTTGGTAGCATTAATCTTATTTGAGTATGACATGTTTATATACAGTTGCTACAATATCCATATAAACTCGTTTATCCAAAGAAGCGCTTCGGACGCATGAAATTATTAAACGTGTTGTTTTCATTTTTTACACGTCTGAAGCAGCCATCACGTAAGACTAACACTTAAATAATTTGTCTTATTTATAGGAAACATTGTGAAAATTCTTGACTTAGTTATAAAGGTATAAATGTCATTCAATCTTACCATTATCGAAAGCTACTTGTTGAAGATCGGTTTCTCCTGCACTTAATGCCACTTCAACCACCACTTTATTTTTGTTGAAACCAATTGTTATAGTTACAACTTTGTTGTCATAAAGCTGTAAATGAAACACAAGGAACATGTATAAGGTAGTTAAAATGAAATATTTTGTATAGAATGATAAGTAATTAAGTAATAGTAGTATCAAAAAGGCATTTCATGTTAACTTCAAGTAAAAAGGGACACATGTGAGACTGAACAAATTGTAAACTTTACAGACATAATAAATCAAAATAGGTTATTAACATTTTGTATATAAGAAGAGATAAAAAAAGACTAAAAAATAATTTTTCACAACGCATTCCTGTTAAGTCATTTTGGGGCCCTTTATAGCTTGCTGTTCGGTGTGAGCCAAGGCTCCGTGTTGAAGGCCGTACTTTGTCCTATAATTGATAACTTTTAACACATTGTGACTTGGATGGTGTGTTGTCTCATTGGCCCTCATACCACATCTTCTTATTTTGCAACTGCACATTAAAATCAAATAAAACATTGTGTCATAGAAATAAGATTAAAAGAAATGTAATGTACATGTAAACGTCACTGAAATGGCAAACAAATATTATCCAGAGACAATATACTATTTTTCAGGAAAACAAAATAGAATAGATTAACCAGTAAAAATCACTTTGGTGAAATTTTAACTATAAATATGAATCAAAATAACCGTAAACAGAATTTGTAACGAACGAAATACTAAGCTTTACCAGCATATATAATAATTTGAAGGTTTTTCAAATAGTACGTTTTGATTTTCAAAGCTTTTGATGATTGCATAACTAACAAGGTATGCAAGATAGCCCTATCCATTAAAAAAAATAAAATAAGCAAATATTTCTTAAGGAATACTTCGAACATAGTATGATATATAAACGTTTAAAAAGTTATAGATTTTGTGTAGTTTGATCTATCTGAGAGGAAGGTGATAGAATTAAGCTGTTACATGACTGATTTAGAACACAGATCGTGCAATGAGAAAACACTAAATTAATACCAAATCAAATCCAAATATCAAGATTCACATTTAAATGAATCTTGCAAGATTTAATTCACATATCACTCTACCGGACGCCATTATTGGTCATTCTATCTGGTTTCTTCTATTCATAGAAAATGAAGAAAAAAATGCCACAATCCAGAAAATTATATCAGGATTGGCATAAGCTCAAAACTAGAATTGTAGAGAGGTGAATTATATCCTGCTTTGCAAGGACCACCCTTGATGTGACAAATGTAACATTTATGTAAACGGGTTTTAAAAGACGATGACAGTATTTAACTCAATTCACCTTCTGTCTTTTTACTAACACATTTCTAATCCCTGTTTTCCATCTACACAAAAAGCAATATTTTATTGTTGATGACAATATTGATAACCGTTCCATTAAAAAAACATGCTAAAATATTCATATTGACAACAACTTTTATCAACATTGTTAGTGTTGATTATTGTTTCCAAATTTCATCTTAATTCGCTATTTATAACATTAACATAAACAATAATATTTATAAGTTTTGTTCTAATTCTTAGTAACTATTTGAAAGATAAAATCATACTTACATCATACTTATCATTGCTGACTGTTATTTCCCTGAAATCACTTATCATCACTTTTGTTATCAGTTTATTGTTGGTGTTATATCTTTCTGCGTACATTTCAATAGATGATCTTGGGTTTCCTGAACAACTTTTCAATAAAGAAATGCGCCCAAAACCTGCTGTTCCTGTAGGATCCATTCGCAGTTTTAGTTTGGCAATAAAAGTTGGCAATATATTGTTGTTTAGTTGTGGATTTGCAATAAATGAGAGTCCACCGAAGAAACCTTTACCGTTCTCCAATATGACATTGTCTTGTCCTTGAAGTTGTGTGTTGTTGCTTAATATTTTTGAGAAGTCTAGATGAATGCTTGGAGGACATTCTTAAAAATAAATACAGATTATGTAAGAATTGACAAAATTTTAATCCTGGTATCTATGATGGGTTTATTTGAAGACATTGTATCATTCGAAAAGTTTTAAGAAATATTATATAAAATGAAGGAACGCTACATACCATTTTTTTCTTATTTCGTTTTTTCAAAATTTAAATCACTGAAATGTGACAATATTCTAATAACAAATTAATAGATATAGTTAACGTCGAATAAGAAAAAAAGATCTCTGCAAAGTTCTGACTTTATCATGCGGTTCACACCTACACCATTGAATTTAAATGGTATAACTATTGCGAATGACACGATCATTGTATTATGGGTATTTCGAAAAAAAAAATATGAAATAAACCCTTTAAGCACAACAAGTTGAACTGTGATCTATGACTAACACATTTTACCCCGCTGTAAGTATTCGATAAACAGAAAAACGACGGAATGCATCACACAGTATAAAATTGAGAATGGAAATGGGGAAATATGTCAAAGAGACAACAACCCGGCCAAAGAGCAGATAACAGCCGAAGGCCACCAATGGGCCTTCAACGCAGCGAGAAAATCACGCACCTGGAGGTGGTCCTCAGCTGGCCCCTAAATAAAAATGTGTACTAGTTCAGTGAAAATGGACATCATACTGAACTCCAAAACATATAAATGATCTAAAATTAAAAAAAAACATACAAGACTAACAAAGGACAGATGCTCCTGACTTGGGACAGGCGCAAAAATGCGGAGGGGTTAAACATGTTTTGTGAGATCTCAACACTCCCCCTATACATCTAGCCAATGTAGAATAAAGAAACACACAGCGATACATACAGTAAAATTCAGTTCAAAAGAAGTCCGAGTCCGATGTCAGAATAGGTAACAAAAGAAACAAAGCAAAATGACAATGATACATACATTAACAAAGGACTACTAGCAGTTACCGACATGCCAGCTCCAGACCTCAATTAAACTGATTGAAAGATAATGTCTTCATCATATGAAAATCAAGTACAATCCCTCTCGCTAGGGGTTTAGTATCATACCATCATAAATTATATGAGAAGAACATAACCCGTATCATGCCAACAACTGGTTTTAGAATAAATATGTTTATTTCCGATGCAAAGACCCTATGAGTGAATCATCATTAATACCAAAATATGCAATTCTTAATGACTTGACAACAGTATCGTAACTATATCCCTTCCGAATAAGTCTGTTTAAAGGTTTGGTTAGCTTTTGAGGTGAATACCGACAATTTTGTGCTTTGTAAAGAATATTACCATAAAAGATTGGATGTGAAATACCTGAACGTATAAGACGTCTGCATGTTAATTTATATTTAGGAATGATGTCCTTGTACCGATGATAAAATTTAGTAAATGTTTTGACTAGTTTGTGATATCGAAAACCCTGGTGTAATAATTTTTCAGTAATACAGAGATTTCTTTCGTTAAAAATCAAATATGTTGTTACATACACAAGCATATCGAACAAGTTGCGATATATAAACACCATAAGATGGTGACAAGGGAACGTCACCATCTAAAAAAGGATAATTAACAATAGGAAATGAAAAATCATCTCTTTTGTCATACATTTTGGTATTAAGCTTCCCATTAAAGATATAGATATCAAGATCCAGGAAAGAGCAGTGTTCATTGTTAGTATTAGCTTTATTTAAGGTCAGTTCGGCAGGATAAATCTCTTTAGCATGCTGACATGAAAGTTGATTCAAAATTTCAGAAATCCTTGATTTGTGGTTTTTAAATGTGCGACGAAATTTATCTTGACTATTCACAATAAAACGTGATACCAACTTTCAGGGAGCTCTCATTTTTAACCATAATATATCATAACACTGAAAGATGAAAGAAAAATAAAATAACGGAGCTAGGTTTCAAAGTTTGCTAATAAGTGTTATATTGTAATTGCGTAGCCTTTGCCATAGGGTGATATTTACCTCCATTACTTGTTGGTTGAACTGTGGATGTGACAGTAGGAGCTGTTGGGAACGCTCCCCAACCACAGTTGCATATCTCCGGTTTGAATATTTGGCCCATTGGACATATTTGTTCTTTTCCGTCCTCCATATATGTATTAATCGCAATAGTCTTAAATTTGCGACATCTTACTAGTTCTGGAATATAAGATTACCATGTTAAAAATATCTAAAATTGATTAGAATAAATGTCATTAAATTCAAAATTTGTCGATTTATCACGCTGCAATAAGATACGATAGATTTCTTAAAAACTTTCCGAAAAAGAGTTGAACTTTGACATTCGTAGTACGAATTTATGCATTGTTGTGAAATGCAGCATTTTTAAAAGTTGTTCAAAGTAATCCGATTTATGATGACGATAATTTAATACAAAAAGATGTATGCTTATTGTCTCGTAGTATATTTTTGGTTTATACCACATTTACATATATATGTGTTCTTACTTGGTGTAGTCCTACTTGTGTCGACGATACTACATTCATTAGATGTATCTAGGATACAGTGATCATGATTAGTAGTTCCACTAATGGCCGTGTCATACTTCATCTTGTGTTCACACTGACATGCTTGTCTAGTGTGAATCATCATTCCATCTGTAGTGTGTAGGCACTTATAATACAAATTACAACTGTTTGGTACTGGATACGTTGTACCATTTGTCCATTTGTTTATGACACAAGGATCTGGAGTACAAAGCGTGAAGTGGCATTTAGAAAATATATATTTTGGTTTTATTCACACATACCATATTTTTCAATTAAAACTTATTCAGTGATTGGAAATAAACAATGATACATACAAGGGATACTGGTTAAGCAGTTCATACATAGAACAAGTGTCAGGCAGCATAGTGCATGCCTGGTCACGCTTAGTAGGAGAGAAATGATTTGGTTAAATACTCAGTTCAACATGTTCGATACATAATTTTGTCTATTTTCCTAAGAGAGAACTAATAATGACTGATCTTTGTAATTGAGGCGTATTTCCTACCTTGTTTGCAAATGAATTCGTCAAGATGATCACATTTGGATGTTTCTGGATTGAAAAAGTAATGTAGCCCACATTCTCGAATACTGTACTGCACGAACTGGGTAGCACCAGCATTTCTGATACAGTCCAAATAAAACTTGCAATCTGTTGGGTGTGGAATGTAGCACCGCAAAGCATTTGGGTCGCATCTGGTAATGCATTCAGTAGCAAATTCAGGTGTAGCTGTTAGTATAAAATATTTTATCATATTCATTAAGTTTCAATATCACTTCTCCTCATATCTAACCTATCTAATGAATCGTTACCGACAAAAAATGTACGATATTTAAGCACAATATAATCTAACTATTTTTCAAATGTGTGGCATTTATAAAGTACACGATACTATGTTTGCCTGTATTGTTCATGACTTCTGTATCATTTCAAAGTTCATAGGGATAGGCACATGCATTTGTGGTGGGCTTAAAAAACTTTGTTTATATCAATATTCGTCACCTTTAAATCTCGCTCCGTGGACTAATAAAAGATAAATGAAAGAAAGAACTTGCAATAAGCATAAGCACAGGGAAAGCTAATAACTCTAAAATAACGATGTCAGACATGATATAAACACCAATTACAAACACCACAAAAATTAAACAAAAAATGACATCCTTTCAAGAGAAAGCTCAAAGCACATTTTCTTCTAATCTGCATTCATGCAATTCTTCAGTTTTGGATCACTGGATGTAATTCATATGACATTTCATACCGCAACAAAATAAACTTTACAGAAGACATGATATCATGCAATGATCATAATTCCTGCAATTGGAATCTTATTTTCACTATGAAAATGTATATTAATGATTATTTTCCTCATTGAAAAAAGTATTTAGAAGTGAAAACGGTTGTTGGATCATTTATTCATATTTTTACACAGACGTGAAATCTGTAGTCGGAACGCAACTTAAATAAATCCGTATCTGAATGAATAAGGAATATAAAGCTGTTACAATTTTAACGGATTCCTCTTGTTGAAATATCTGCAAATAAACGTGGAATAAACCAGCGAAAGAAGAAGTGTTGGTCACTGAGTTTATTGCAAATGCCCAATGATACTCCTAAGTAAGAGGAATTACTCTTACTAATTTCCGTTTTAAAAACGAACAACGCCTGATATATTGACACAACAGATGTTTAACGGTCAGCTGCACGAATGTATAAGATTTGAATATCGGTAACTTACTGTCATCTTAATTTAAGACTTATTTAAAAAACCTAACTACACAGTTCTGTTCTCTCTGATCTCTTCAAGGTAAAAAAAGTATTCGAAATGTTTTATACATACTGTAACATCAAGTATTTGCCAAAAACTCTTTATGTTACTTCCTCTATAAAAACTAAATAAATAAATCTCAGTCTTAGTAACAGATCATAAGTGTGCGTTGATAAGACAACAAATGAATGGTACTTACTGGTAGGAACGGTTGTTGTGGTAGAAGTTGTTGTCGTCGTGGCAACTGAAATTATAATTAATATTATAAAATATGAAAATTTCTCAATGATTTAGAATTTTTTGAATATTGTAAAAGGCAAGATTGTAATGAGTTAAAAGGAAAACTTGTAATGTGTTAAAGGATAACTGGTAATAGGTTAAAGGAAAAATTGTAATGTGTTTATGGAAAAAGTGATTTCCTTTATCGTTTGTTTTAAAAATAATGAATGGTAGAACATAAATGGTGTGACTGTTTGATCCTGTTAAATTTATAAAGTACAGTTACCTAATAGAAATGCACGTGTTTGAGCTTTTGATTTTGCCATTTGATGAGGGACTGTCTGATTTGGTTTTCCATGGAGTTCGGTATTTTTGTTATTTTATTTTTTCGACACACTACAGACGTATTGAAACAATGATTTCAGATTGTGTTCTATTTGGTTACTAAATAAGAGAAAAATTAACCGACGACAGAAGGATCATAGTTAGTCAGTAATAAACAGTAAACCAATATAATTTCAACGATCGAAATCGAAATTAAAATCATTGTACTAATATCCAAACGAACATGAGGTTGTAACATATCATCTGCCATGACTAAACTTTCAATTATTTTCCAGATGAGCTCCAAAAGTGCTACAGTCGCCTTCTGCATATACTAGAGTCATGTCATAGACCAAACATACTTACTGTATTCGTTTTATCATTAATATTGGCCTTTGTTAGTGCCTGATATTGACACTTGTCATTGGATGTGATTTGAAAATCGTGTGTCTAAATGCTGATACACCAGTATCTATTTAGAAATGTAATCCTTATAAAGGTAATCTACCATATAATTTAGTTGGTCTTTTAAATTTTTTGGATACTATCGTCACTGCTGAGAGTTTTGTAGACGAAAAGCTCGTCTGGCGTACACAATTTAATCCTTGTATCTATTATGAGTTTATATTCATACATGAGATATACTTATATAAAAGAATTTTTTGTAGATGTACAAAGAAAAAATACAAAGAAAAAAATAATTCTTTTTTCATCCTCACGTTACTTTATTTTTCATGCGCGCTAAAGATTTGAATGAATATGTATCTAATTTATCTGATAATTGTATGTACTTACGATTGCAAATCAAACTATTCAATATTGGCAGAGCAGTCAGCATTTCTTCGAAATCTTTTACAACGATAACATTGGTAATAACATTATGCGCTATTCTATATAATTCGTCTATCATTGTCTGTCGTTCGTTAATCGAATATTTGGGACTGACAATTCCAACAACGAAAATAGTAATGCCTTGGGCAAATGCTAAATCAGCCTCATCTTTCGTTAGAGCTGGATATGCCGATTTACCATCCGTGATAATAATACCGAATTGTGGATTGGTAATTATTTGTGGAGCCCTCTTCAATCTAAGTCTAATTTCTTTAATAGCCAAATGTGTATTGGTACCTATTTTAAGCATAGTTGCTGCTTGCAATTTTGCTTTTATAATCATTTTGTCAAAGGTATCATCAACTATATCCTTTATGGTTGTGCTGAAGGTAAACACAGATCTAATTCGAATATTAGCTTGTCCTATGCGCATGTTGTCCACTAATATATTGACAAAATCCTTGGAGTCTTGAAAATCTGGTTTTGTTAGACTGTCTGAGGAATCTAGTGCAATTGCAATATCGGCAGGACCAAGGCATTCTGAAATACGAAATGGGTCATCATATTGCAGTTACAAATACCAAATATTAACTTAGAATATGTATTCTAAGAACAGAAAAAAAAAACCAATTAAAATTAACGTCAGTTGGGCATTTATAAAGACCTCAATTTAAAGTTGCCAACAGTTAGTGAACAGCTTCTACCCCTGTAGTTAAAACATACATTCAACAATGAAGTTTTCAAAAACCGTATTGTCAGGACAATTACATATTTCTTATGAACTTGAATGGTCTATCATCAGAAATACGCTTAGAACGGAAACAAAAACTAGGACTAATCACTTCGACATACATTTTACCTATTTAATGGTTGTCAAGGTAAGAATATTTATCCGTTTTATGAACTGGAAAAAGTCATTGCTGAGTCAACGATACACAATTGTATGTGTTTTTGAACACTTACCGACCAATTTTTTCTCTTTTTAAAATTTAATGTCCTTGCATAATTCGGTTAAATTATTTATAAGTTAAGCAGGTTAAAAGGTTGAATATTTTTAACTTGAGTTTTTGGACCCTTCCTACGATATTGTGTTCAAAATATTAGCCTTTTATGTTGTATTCAAAATTTAAGTGTAAAACTTCATTTGTACCAATGATCTACACAATATATAACTATGAAGAAAAAATGAAAATGTATGCTTAACAAAACAACACTTAAACAGGTTTTTTTTTACGAGAATCGACTTAATTATATTTGTAAGGGGACCATTCACATGTTGGTTGATATTTCACATATCATTTCAGAATCAAATCGTTATAGATACTACGTGTTTATAACTCTTCGCCTGAATTTATTCCTTAATATGTCCTATTTCTGATTTAAAAGTTTCTAAAGGACATGAGATAGAATTGACAGTCCAGGTAAACGTTAAGAAAGACTACCAGTATTTGTAACACTGACTAAAAAGTTAATTATAGTATCAAAGTTAAAGGATTATTTCAAAAACTGTTGGTATTGGATTAAAACAAGAAAAGAACGAAGCTTTTATAAATTAGAAATGGTACATTCAACTCAACTCCTGTGACATATTTCTACTACTACAGAGAACAATATCAAAATAGGTTTTTAATAGCAACATTGAGTTCACGTGTACAGGATTACACCGTGGATGTATTTATGACGTTATGATCACGTGTCCAGTGTTGACATACCTGTTAGATTTGTTGTATAGTCGGGCCTGGTTACTGTCACTATGGTGGTGGTAGTTGTTGTTGCTGGGGTTGTGGTTGTTGTAGTTGTTGTGGTTGTGGTGGTTGTCGCTAAGGAAGTTGTTGCAGCAACAGTTGTTGTTAAAACTGGAACCAGTGGTATTACTGCAAATTAAATCCAAAATATTACTGCTAATTGAACTGCACATTTTTTACGCAAGTTATAATTGCAGTTAATCTTATGCAAATAACATGTTTCTAGCAGAAGTATAATAGATATAGCATGTTGATGAGGCTCAAGACTTCCCCTAGGATAGTTAGCTCTAAGAAAAGAAAATTTTTAAACTTAAATCTTCGAAATGAAAATCACATATGATTTACAATACCATAACGTCACATTTTGCTAACAAAATTGACGTTAGTTATGTTTACGTTAATAACTTACATGAATTTAGCATGTTAATTAGCCACACCTTGCCATCTGTGTTTAAGCTTGCTATATTGTTAACTGTAAACGTATTTGCTGAAAAACCGTTTGCCATGTTTACCAAGTCTTGTTGTGTAAGAGCCGATCCTGCCTGTGAAACCCTCATAGGTAATATATATATCCCATTTGCATATGCCTGGTACGCAAGTTGAGATGTGATGTATTTTGAATATCCTTCATCATCAACTAGGAGAACGCCAGCTTTTACCATATTTGATTGTTGATTTTGAGTAAGTGAATCAATAATATACTGTAAAGAAGCTGATGTCCTTGGGTAAGTGGTTCGAATGTCACTTTGTGTCTGGAATGCATTCTGCAGGCTGGCATAGTCACTGTGTAAGCCAAAATTTATCAACGGAGCATATGTCTGCTGGTCGAATTCGAACACTCCAATTTTCATTCTACCTTTACATTCTGGTTCTGACGATCCAATGAAAGCTCCTATAATTTTACGAACTTCCTTCATTGCACTTGGTTCCAGATCTCCCATTTGTCCCATGGAGACATCAACATTACAACCGTAATTTCCTATAGATAAATTGAAACATCTATATATATAGAAACCGATAATGATATAATGTAATAAATACGGGTTGACTAACATTGAGAGAATTAAAAAACTTTCTGTAAGTTACAAGAGTATCTTGCAAACATAAATTAATGAAAAGCATTTCCGATATTTGTTTTTACCATATTGAGGCGACAGTAGTATACCGATGGTGAAATGTCATAAATCGATTATGAAGGGACAAATGAAGGCAACATGAACTCCAAGAGGAGAGAGATCGGTTGTGTCGACAGGGTTAGTGCCTCCTGTTATGCATGGGTCATCAGTCATGAAAATTACACTAGGTCAAAATGTAATAATCCAGTAACACAAGTTTATCGTCACCGTTGAGTCTTTTGTAGACAAATCACGCGTCTGGCGTACACGATGTTAATCCGGGTATCTTTGATGAGTTCATTATCGAATTGATGGTACAGCATAGTATCTTAATTGTATTGAGTATAAAAACCGTCAGTTTTGCAGGATATGCTATGAAAGTATGAAGATACAAAGTATTCAATAAAACTTTTAGTTTTACTCTTTACTTGGAATGAGAAAATACTTGGATATGTTATCGGTTTTAAAAGGTTTTTCATTTTGAAGGAATTATCTTTATATAAATGCTTTGTAAGGTATTTAGACTTATTACATACATTGGATAATGTATGTAGTTTCTTTTAATTTTCACTTTTAAGAATGAAACTAATCGTTTATTATTTTCATTAAGATTTCGAAAATTCAGATTTGTATACATAAACAAATTCCCTGTAATAAGGTACTTACCAACTTTCATTATCACGTTTGCAAGATATTTGCTCAATTCAATTGGGTTTTTTGTTCCGTTATTTCTGATATAGTTTCTGGAGAGCCACATAGTATTATTCGCGTTACCACCAGCCATGAGAACTGCATCTTGATAATCAACCGAATTTTCATAATCAATTCCGTCCACATTGTATGGAATAACTGTTATACCATTTTCCCTCATCATCTGTGCAATCTTCAACACCCTATCTTTATTGCCTAGTCCCCCGGAATAGAATACTACTGCGTATTGTGGTCTGCCAGCTACCTTCTGCCGAGACAATGTAAAGTACATATTCATCATGGACTGCGCTAGAGGTTCATTTTCCAAAGGAACAAGGCTGTTTGTTAGTTGTCCAAGATCGATATTATTTACACTAGTAAGGTCTTGGACAGGGTGAAATCCATGATAACCGATAAGACCAGCAGCAAGTTCTATATTTTTGTTACTAAGTATAGAAAGCTGCTTATACAAGTTAGCTGCTGTAACAACTACGTTCCTTACATGACTGAAAGAATTGGCCGACATTCCTGTACCGGAAATGGCAAAAGCTAGTTTTGCGCCACTACCAAATTCTGAAAGAATTAATAACAAAACAAACTACATTAAAACATAATTACTATACATGTTTGTGAGGAGATATGTTTTTTTTTAATTTTAGGTAGTTAATTGATTTATTTCTGTTTTGTGAATTTTGTTAATCATTTTGTCTTTTTTTGTTTGGTCATGGTTGTTTTTCCCTTTAACCTATGCTTTTCGTTTGTCTCCTGATTCATCCAAACTCCGAAACAGTAATAGCTTAGTCTATGCTACGATTTGACTGAAGTTTAGAGTAGCCGACGTCGCCATGGTTTCGGATTTTGCTTAATATTATCTTACAAATAATTGCGACATTTATATTAACTGAACATCCTCGAATATCCTTATCAGGCAATTTATCGGCTTTTTAATACAAAATTTCAAATGTATGGAGATTTTATAATTATCGATAATGGACTCCTACGAAACTATCGGTTATATGACATCATTAGTAAATGATAAACTTACCTTGTACCAGCTGCACAAATTTTGAAGACATTTGGATAAGTCTATTACTGCTCTCATAGTACGAAACATAATCATTAGATCCCGCTATCGCAACCAGTTGATCTAACGTCACATCCGGTTTAAAACCTTGAAAGCAAAAGAAATAATTTATCCAATTTCAATCCGAGTTTGTTTTGAAGAAAAATATTGCCTTAGGTAAGAAATCCGATAATAAACTTCTTATTGCATAATATCGAATTAAAATATTTTTTATTCTCTTGAAAAATACTATATTTCTAGTTCAGAAATATCAATAATTACTCATGAATAGGACAAAATATATATATCTACAACTGTAACGTCGGTATCACTGCTTGTGGACTATTAAAACGTTTAAACCCGCTGCATTTGTTTGCACCTGTCCTAAGTCAGGAATCTGATGTTCAGTAGTTGTCGTTTGTTGATGTGGTTCATAAGTGTTTCTCGTTTCTCGTTTTTTATATAGATTAGACCGTTGGTTTTCCCGTTTGAATGGTTTTACACTAGTAATTTTTAGGGCCCTTTATAGCTTGCTGTTCGGTGTGAGCCAAGGCTCCGTGTTGAAGACCGTACTTTGACCTATAATGGTTTACTTTTATAAATTTTGACTTCGATGGAGAGTTGTCTCATTGGCACTCATACCACATCTTCTTATATCTATATATTTAAAAAGGTATATTGAAATTTCAAAAATTGTGTAATTGTATCTAAACTAAGACTGCACCCCCTTCCCAACCCGAAAAAGTTTACCTTAGACCATTTTGGCAGTTCTGTTGAGGTCCTTTTTGTTTCTTCCCTAAATTTCATAGTTCTATAATTTTTGATATAATAATTTTGGTCTAATGTTCCTGCTGAAAGTTATTCAAGAAATGAGTATCGCACTGTAATTTGTTTTTTGTGTTTTTTTTTTGCCGAACTATATACAAATTAAAAAAAAATCTCGTTTGTGGCATTCGAAACAAAATGCTGCAAAGTCTCAGGTTTTGTAAACAATAACACATATAATAAGGGAGCTACCATTTGATTTTTATGGGGGGGCTAGGATGAAATTTGAAAAAAATAGGCAGGACAGGAGTTTTGAGTAAAAAAAAAGGCAGGATGAGATTATTTGCCAAAAAAATAGGCAGGATGACAATTTACGTAAAAAAAAAAGTCAGGATAAACTAAAAAAAAAAGGCAGGACCGAATAGAGTGAAAAATAAAAAGGCAGGACCGAATAGAGGGAAAAATAAATAGGCAGGACAAAATTTTTCATCCTAGCCCCCCCCCATAAAAATTAAATGGTAGTTCCCTAACACGATACAGGAAAGGGCAGTCGAAACTTACCAGCGGGAAACATGGACGTAATTATAGTTGTAAAAGATAGCTTCCTAATTTAGATTTGCCATTATGAATCGATCACTTTTCCAATGGTTTATCATTTTACCATTAAATTAACACTATATTTCAAACAGCACATTATTTCTTTTAATACGTGTTTGATATCAAATTTATTTTCTTTGTAATTTATTTGCAAAGAAGATTTAGAAAAGATAACTGCTCAGATGAGGAACAACAATAAGATCTTTTCCTTTAAGATATCGTTACTTCGGACTTCAATGTAAAATTCCAATGTTTTTTTTCGCATTTTATGATGTTATGCAAGTACTTATTACAAAAATATGAAAGGCTGATAAATATATATGTTTGTTTTATTTACAATTTTAAGTAATCATTTAAATAAGAAGTGAAAATCACCAAATGTGTTTTTGTAAATGTTTTGTTTTTACCTATAACATATATAGTGATGTTTTCACGTTTGGCAAGCTCTCGTTCTCTGTTGACAAGTTCGATGTTCTCTGCAGCTTTGTTTGTAACAATAAATGCATATTTCTTTCCAGATTTATTTGCAAACAGCCGTCTAAAATATGCTATAGCGTCATGAATGGCCAATCCATTTCCGGAGTAAACCGCATTTGAAATCCGATTATCCATACCAACTCTGATATCGCCGGTTAACATCCTGGTCTGGGTTTGGAGACTCTTTACTAAATGGTTATATCGCACAGACTGGTTGCCTAAGTCTAAGGTCGGATTAAAACCAACAAGTCCCATGGCTACATATCTATCACTAGCATTAGCTGCAATTTGATAAAATAAAAGTTATCGTGAAATAGTTTTTTATAATAACAATAACAAATAAACTGAGCAAATAACAAAACAACAAATGACAACAATATAGACCTCACTGTAACTTTGAGATGAATAACAGCAATAAAAGCGCTGTTCCTCTGCTTTATGTGTGTTTTGCTGTGCATGTACTGATTTTTGTGTCATGGATGGATATTCCATATCCTTTGTTTTTCTACTATAACATAGAATTCGGTTAAGGAATGAGAATTGAAGCAAAAAATAATTGTGCCAGATCTTGATACACTGGGGCTTTTTTGCCTGTGGTAGAAAAATCTTATTATTTCGAATGATTTTAAAGTTTGTTTCAACATTACATTTACGAAAATGACCGTTTCAATGTGCTAGCTACTGCACTGGTGATTAGTCTAGCTCAAAGTCTACAATGTAATCTGGGTGTTATAAGCCATTGCTTAGATTTTTTATGAAATAACGTTTCTTTAAACTGCCTTGATATTGTTACCATGTGGGAAGTTTCAGTGCGTCTGGATGCCGAAAATATGTTCATAATCACTTTTTTAAAGAAACTTTTCGAAAAATGAGAAAATTGGGACTTGAACTCAGACATCTAGATCTTCATTATTATAATCTTCAGACCACACCAAAAAATTTGATCAGTCCAACCACTTTTAGTATTAAAGGTATACAGATAATATAGATAATTTAATTTACAGTGTCACCATCCATTACAATATATAGAGAATATCATATGGCTTTTTCAATATCACATCCGTATCAACCCGAGACACCAATATAATCCCAAGAGCTCTGCTCGAGGGATTATATTGGTTGAGGGTTGATACGGTGTGTGATATTGAAAAAGCCATATCATATACACTTTATTATATACATATACCTCACGTAGATGTGTTTTATGTGACATGACGTCATACAGATAAGGGGGGTTGAAATGACGTCATACAGATTAGAGGTTTGACATGACGTCATACAGATTATGGGTTTGCAACAGTGACTGCAATCGATGACGTGACGTCATACAGATTAAAGGTGTGATAAAGCCTTTGCAACCGTGATGATATCGATATCATCACGGGTGGCTGATACAGCAAGCTTGCCAATGACTGTATTCCACATACAATTTATCTGTATTTACTACTAAGTATATAATAAATATATATATATGTATACACAATGTCATATAAACCAACGTTAATTAAAAGGATGCTAGTCGAAAACTGCTTAAGAGACACTATCATTAAAACAAACAACTGATACATACATAAAAAGACAACATTTTTTCCATATAAAAAGTAGTTCGTAAATTTAAAAAAAAAAACAATAACTTCTAGATTACAACATGTTTTCTTTGGTATTCAGTAAAACATATATAAAGGGAACTAGCTAAAAGAGGAAACATATTCTCATTACACGTAAAATAACTGAGTTTTTCAATATCACATAAATAATACAAATCAACATCAAAAAGATATACATACCCATTGACACAAGGTTGGTAATAAGAAAGTTCATTCCCATAACGTTAAGTTGATTAAGAGGCAGTCGGACATATCTGTTACCACTGATTAGCGCTAGCTTGGATTCAAGGTTTTGCTGACCATAGTCGATCCCAATTGCAAAAAGCGTAATGCCTTGTTCGTAGGCCATCTCTGCAATTAGTCCTAAATTTGGTTCATAAGTAGCATCATTTACTAAGACAATTCCAATTTTATTCGATGAACGGATATTATTAAAATGGAGCATGTAGTCGCCAATGATTTGCGATGCTGTCCATTGTTTGTTCGCCATTATATTTTCATATTTTAGACTAGGATGAATATAATATAAGTCCTGGTATGAACTGATAGGTTCCACTTGATTGCAAAACGAGGCTACGTTTAATTTGACCTTGTTGTCCTCGACGTTGACATATCTAAGAACATCTTTAGCAAAGGCACGGTAGAAGGTGTGCATGGTTCCATCGCAGGAGTCAACCATTAGTGAAACCTCTGCAGGACCCATATATTCTAAAATGAATATACAATACATTTGAAAGATTATTATTCCAAAAATGTCGGAATCCGTAACATATTACTGTTAACATATAAAGCAATTAGCAGTAAATATGAAAACACTGCAAATGACTGCAAATATTTATATCTAGAACAAACTAAATTTAAAATTATTTTTTTCTTTCCAAAAAATGCACATTTAATGCTATCAGCCAAGTTATTCCATATAAAAGTATAAAGGAATATAATGCCAGACTTTGTATCAAACTTTTTCAGTCTAGTCATACAAGTTTTTCCCCTTTAATGCAGTTATAAATTGTTGAATATATATATTACAGATTTTATTAGAAGAGGTTTTATTATTAATCTCTGTGAACCCCAGGTGCAAAACTGTCTAAACTACTTTCAGTGTTTAGATTTTTGTTTTTACGTTAAAGAATGATAATATAGCCCTACTGTGAAAAATAAGGTACTTTGAGCAAAGCTCCAAAGTGCTACTGTGTCTCCAAATAAAAACATGGCAAAGTATGATTGGTTCAGAAAAATCCACAACATAATTCAAATAAAAAACACAACAAGAAGCGTACAGTGACATTATATGAAAATTCTGAGAAAGTTTCAATGAATTCTAACAATATGTTCATATGAGGAGTATGAGGAGTTATGGATACAAGATAGATGCCTAACAGTTTTAGATAGCGGGGGAATCGTTTAACACCTAAATATACGAATTTATATGTTGCGTCATAAGCGCCATGTTATGCAAGCTTGGGACAATACTTAATTGTGTGTGTGTGGGGATGGGGGGGGGGGGGGGGCGGGGGGGGGGGGGGGGTAAATCCCAACATCAGCATTGTCCAATGTTTTATTCAAAGCATCATTGACACTAAAATAATACCCCGTTGTTATTTCGGTATATAAAAAAAATATACAAATTTCACTTCACGAGTGACAAGTTGGCAATTAAAATATTATGTAAGAAATATCAGAAAATTAGACCCAAATGAGGAATTATCGTCCCCCAATAATTTTAGCTAGTCATAAAAAATCACTGTTTTTATTTTTTTTACTTACTCATTAGTGATGTTCCACTCCAATCACTTATGGCTACAAAATAATAAATTAACTATAATACATATATATTGAAAATTTGTGCATAGATAAACTCGAGGAAAAAATGCATTGACAAACATGATTCATATTAAAATGTAAAAGTCGTTCCCTTAGAAACGAAACATATTATTCTGAGTATGATTAACATGTGTTTACACAACTACATAGTATCAGTGGCTTTATGTCAAGTTTCGTTTCGTGCCAACGAAAACTTCTTTAGATTTTGCGTTTGCAGACTTTTATATGTTAATAGATTAAGAAATGGGAATCATAAGTTTGAACAAAACAAAACGTAGGATTAAATGAATAAATTTAAGGTTTTGTACCATACCAACGTAAATTGTTTATACCTCTTTTTTTTTAAATTGGTAAATCTGTGATTTGAAAAACTGTCAGTCACATTTACTTCCACAACTGCACGTGGCATGGTCGAATCATATCAAATACAATGAAGATTTCGGGTTGATAAGGTTGAGGGACCTGATGGTGGGGGGGGGTCTCATCACGATTCACGAGTTGATTTTTTTGTCAATCACGATTCACAGAAAATAAATTTCCATGATCACGGATCACGAAAATATAAAAAAAAAAAAATCTGTAGAAAAACGGATCACGATAGCGAAAATGCGCCGATCACGAAGAACGAAAATAACCCATCAGGCCCCTCAAGGTTTGTTCCAGTTGATATGCATATTGTATCACCCTGAAGTACCAGTACACTTTTATGAAAAGATGAACGGAGCGGATATTTGAAAGTGTCTGTCCAAAGTTAGGAACCTCGTCAGTATTTGTCGTATGCTACATTTGGACATTTCCGTTCTTATTATCCACAGATAATGCTTATTTACCAGATCGGAAGTGTTACCTTTGCTGCATTGTACCAACAGTAGACTAATTTATATTATAATATAAACAGGCGTACAACGCGATTGTCTCTTATCAATTAAGAATTTATACTTTACGTCGGTTTCGTATACTTCTGAGTTAAAAGACCTATAGCATGACGCTTTATATAACAGCTGAAAGAACTTTTTTTAACAGATCAGACTTAAGATTGTCCACTTTTTTGAGACATCATTATTGTTAACAATATTCCGAAGTATTCAATATTCTTAGATAGTACATACCATGACAGACAGACATAATGACCTGGTTGATACCACTACTTTGTAGACCTTCCTCTGATATTACGAATCTATTCTGTATTATACCACCAGCTATTCCGGTTATCTCATTCATATCCACAGCCGATATATCCTTTTTTATTAAACCAAGTGCTAAAAACTATCAAGAAAAGAACAGAAATGTAAGACACTGCTAAAAACTGTTCTTCGATTTAATAAGATGAGATTTCTAAGACTTGTATATGACAGACCGTTTTACTATTTATTCTAACTTCAAGATATCTCATATAATATACAAGATATCTCATATAATATATAAGATATCTCATATCATATATAAGATATCTCATATAATATATAGGATATATCATATAATATATAAGATATTTCATATAATATATAAGATATGTTATGTAATCTAGATTTTATAAGATATCTTATATTTGTAGTCAAGAATACACATATGAAACTTGTTGTCATCTTATACATGTATGTGTCGGATTTTATACCATAGTAAAACAGATTACGTGCAGCAAAATAAGTCGCTTTGTCATGGGATAGAAGTTCCTTTATGACAGAAGTAACAAATGGATGAGATATTTTGCAATATTAATTCCACTGGAAGAGATAGTACAGTACTTGTTCCTAACGGAATAAAGGGTTTAGAATATTTGTTCCAACAGGAACATATATTATAGCGCTGTTTTAAAATAACAACGTTTCTGCATGAATTTCTGATAGGAGGGACACATATATGTTGACAGTACATTTTAAAACAAAGTTTTAACAGTTTGGACTCAAAACAACGGCCACTTAATGCCCAAAATGAAAGTATGTGTTTTTACTGCATGTCACCTGACATTTCCATTTTTAACCTCTTTTCTACTTTTTAACAATTTTCCATGAAAACTATATTAATTATATTTCCATATTAATGTCAAAATGTCTCCCCAAAAGACTGAAGGTAAAAAAGTAAAAAGCAAATCCTCTCCTTGCCGTTTCTATTTTTTTTAATTCAAGTACACATGCATATTTCTGGCCTAATATATAAAGGAACTTTAAATATTACATACATGTTTCAAACATCCACACAAGAAATGTGCATGTCTCATAAAGGAGCATGTTGTCTTAGAAATTGTTTTGAATTGGTCGACGGTCGTTTCTTTTGAATTTTAAAATTAATTAAACTGTGGATTCATTTTTATTCGAGAAGTACTTCTAGTGTGTGTTAAAGTGAACTACTAATTCAAATGCATAACAAAAATAGGCCTTGTGTGTAGAATTTTTCAATTTACAAAACTCCTCTAGCCTAGCCATAGCTATGTGTCCACAAAAAATAAGCACATGCGTAATCTCAAATAGTAAAGCTAATGGTACATTTTGTATGGTATATGTAAAAATAAGAAGATGTGGCATGATTGCCAATAAGACAACTCTCCACAAGAGACCAAATGACACAGAAATTATAGTTCTTTTGCTATTGCCGAAGGCCAAAACATGTACATGCGTTCTGATAATTTAGGTCAATAGTTCTGATAATGACATGTATACCATGTACTTATTGTATAAACAGTATTCATACCTGGATGTCATTTGTTGCAGCAATCCTAGCAGCAGCTATAGATGAAGCAGGATTTGTGGATTTCCCATCAGTAATGAACAATGCAATCCTAGGCATGATTGGTTTCGCAGCAAATGTTTTTGCTGCACGGTTGATTGTACCCGTATGGTTGTAAATAAATTGATCAGAATTTGTTGATTTTAAAATAGTATTCCGAATAGTATTGCTGTCAGTATTAGCGGGAAAATTATACTCAGCCCCGGTACTGCCAATTACAATGGATACCAACATTTCTTGTACTTTAAGATTTGCTATAAGCTTAGCAGCAAAAAGCTTGACTTCATCAAAGTTCTTTCCATCTGAGACATCTACTGCTATTGTTATGTGAGCAGCGCCTTCACAAACTAAAGAAACGATAATTAAATACAGTATTAAGAACGTGTGGGCTATGGGTAAAAGATGTAAAAGCGTTGATCAAAGCACATTTTGTATGAAGCAAAGAAGCGCTTTATACTAAAAATATGCGCACGATCAACGCTTTTACAACCTTATACAATTACAAAATGTTATGATTATATTTATATGCTACAACTATGAAATTACTAGTTAAATCAAAATTTTCGTTTGATTTCCTATATATTCACTGTTACATTAGTGATGTTGTCATAGGAAGCACATGCTGTCATGAATGTTGAATTTGATTGAGAAATACAATTTGATTTTGGAATGCTTTCAACTAATCAAAGGTACGGATTCTTATGAAACATACATGAAATGTAAATTAAATTATACTATATTATTCAACCCTCTTGCTGATTTGAAAAGAAATTAGGGACGGTTTTCATTAACTTTATTTGTAATGCTTGTCTTTGTAATAAAGATATCACTACTTTATTTTAGTGACTAAAAATGAATCCGTAATTCTAGTTCTGATCAGAATTTACAACATGCTCATTTATATTAGGCCAAATAATGAAGCTTCGTTTCCTGCCTCCGTTTTTTTCTCCGAAATTTTCATGCCTACCCTTGTACATTTTACAGACATTTTTTGTTAAGCACCGTTTAAGTCAAGACATTTTGGTTAAGCACCATAAAGGTCAAGACATTTTCTGATAAAATCCATAACATTGCCTTGTATAGTCTGCGTAAAATATTTTAGAAAATAAAAGCATTGATCTATCTACATGTATGTACCTAACCTATTTTTTAGTCAAGAAGCAGACAAACAAGTAATATATACAAAAAAAAAAAATTCTTTGGAAGTATTGTGTCCTCTTTTCAAAAGCTCACCATCAAATTAAAAAAACATGTAGATTATAATATATGTATTTCAACGAATTGGTAGTTTGGTGAGGTTTGACGCCTCTTTTTCATCGATGTATATACCACATCTCCATTTATTTATTGCAATAAGCCTCTTTTCTTCTGAAAATTTTAAGTGGAAGTTTGATAATTAGAATCAGTGGCAAACACCATACAACTGATATATTTGACATGATTAATATAAGTTTTATAACAACCCTATCTTCATTAGTCATTAGATAACCCTAAAAATTAATTCTCTGAAGATATCTTGATAAAATTGTTATATTTATAATTCAGATCATTGCAGATACATGTAATTACTATAACATACCTTGACGTGTTTCCTGTCCGTCTATGGCAACTAAAAATAGGAAAAAGTATTATTTATAGAATGTCGATATTAAGTAAGCTTTCATTGCACATTTCTGTATGAATTTAGAGAATTCATGATCGATAATATAAATTTAGAATTAAATTGATAAAAATATAGTTAATTAAATAAAAGTTTTTCTTAACTCATCTTCACCAAATTCCCTATACATCCTATTGTATTAAGCAATCGTCATTACTTTTTAGTCTATTTTTCGTCAGAACTATTGCTAAGATGGTTTATTTTCGAATCTAATTCAAAGCGCTCACCCAGGACCCAGTATGACAGCCAATGAGGAACATAGATTTTACATAGTATGGGGTAGTTCACAAACACCCAGGACCCAGTATAACAGCTAATGAGGAACATAGATTTTACATAGTATGGGGTAGTTCACAAACAACCAGGACCCAGTATGACAGCCAATGAGGAACATAGATTTTACATAGTATGGGGTAGTTCACAAACACCCAGGACCCAGTATGACAGCCAATGAGGAACATAGATTTTACATAGTATGGGGTAGTTCACAAACACCCAGGACCCAGTATGATAGCCAATGAGGAACATAGATTTTACATAGTATGGGGTAGTTCACAAACACCCAGGACCCAGTATAACAGCTAATGAGGAACATAGATTTTACATAGTATGGGGTAGTTCACAAACACCCAGGACCCAGTATGACAGCCAATGAGAAACATAGATTTTACATAGTATGGGGTAGTTCAAAAACAATCAGGACCCAGTATGACAGCCAATGAGGAACATAGATTTTACATAGTATGGGGTAGTTCACAAACAACCAGGACCCAGTATGACAGCCAATGAGGAACATAGATTTTACATCGTATGGGGTAGTTCACAAACAACCAGGACCCAGTATAACAGCCAGTGAGGAACATAGATTTTACATCGTATGGGGTAGTTCACAAACAACCAGGACCCAGTATGACAGCCAATGAGGAACATAGATTTTACATAGTATGGGGTAGTTCACAAACAACCAGGACCCAGTATGACAGCCAATGAGGAACATAGATTGTACATCGTATGGGGTAGTTCACAAACAACCAGGACCCAGTATGACAGCCAATGAGGAACATAGATTGTACATCGTATGGGGTAGTTCACAAACAACCAGGACCCAGTATAACAGCCAGTGAGAAACATATATTTTACATAGTATGGGGTAGTTCACAAAGAACCAGGACCCAGTATAACAGCCAATGAGGAACACAGATTTTACATAGTATGGGGTAGTTCACAAACAACCAGGACCCAGTATAACAGCCAATGAGGAACATAGATTGAACATCGTATGGGGTAGTTCACAAACACCCAGGACCCAGTATGACAGCCAATGAGGAACATAGATTGTACATCGTATGGGGTAGTTCACAAACAACCAGGACCCAGTATAACAGCCAATGAGGAACATAGATTTTACATAGTATGGGGTAGTTCACAAACAATCTCTAATTTAAACCAAATTTCTATTTAATAACTCATTGTTAGCACACTCCAAATTCATGTATCAGGCACCTGATGTTCAGTGGTTGTCGTTTGTTGATGTAGTTCATAAGTGTTTCTCGTTTCTCGTTTTTTATATAGATTAGACCGTTGGTTTTCCTGTTTGAATGGTTTTACACTAGTAATTTTTGGGGCCCTTTATAGCTTGCAGTTTGGTTTGAGCCAAGGCTCTGTGTTGAAGGCCGTACTTTGATCTATAATGGTTTACTTTTACAAATTGTAACTTGGATGGAGAGTTGTCTCATTGGCACTCATACCACATCTTCTTATATCTACCTTTTAAATACCATTTTCTTTCTTCTATCTTTAAAAATGCCATAGTTCATTTGTGGAATCGTTTGGAGAATAAAATCAATTTATGACAGGAAATCCTCTTTTTTACCCCAAAAAATATTTGTTCTCCAACAATACAACTTGACACGGAAATGAATTACTGAATGGGGTCCTAAAACTCCAAAATATCCAATATTGGATTGTCGAGATACTTACATAAACATAATCTCTCCACTGTTTTCGTAGCAGCGATTGATGTCAGATCCTCAAAGGAAGTTTCAATAATGTTTTCTTGAATTCCATTTGTTGTATTGCTTAATTCCTCTATTATATAGCCGCTTCCAACGCCAACAGCTACAGTTATCAAATTATTGTTTGCCGCCCTAATAGCAGCGTTTTGTAGATGTTGTAAGCCTCTGGTTGATTTACCGTCTGTGACAATAATAGCTACTTTCGGAACTCCTGGCCGGCCCTTTGAGTTTGTCCTATTAATCATGTAGTCTAAGGCTATATCTGTATTAGTTTTATAATCGTCCGAAATTGGTTGAGCAAGGTTGATATTTTCAATGATATCAATGAGGTTGTCTCCAAAGAAAGATACATGGAAAACACTTGTACCAAACGCAATGATGGCTATTTGTGCTGCATGGACTCTATTGTGAATAAAACTATTGGCAATAATTTTGGTATAAGCCTTTACCAGTTGCACTTTTTCAGGTTGAGATGCTATACTGTAAGACGTATCCATGGCAATCATGACGTCAATCTCCCCCGGACATCTTTGAATTGCTGAAAGTGACAATGTATTAAAGATAAGGAGCAGCCAATTGAAAATACAAACTGATAGATACTAGGCACCGACTAAATTAAATTAATTTTTTTTTGTTGGCTTTCTTGGCATACGAAACAGTTAAAAGAAAGGATGCTGTTTTGTCGTATTTAATGACGTCGTCACGTGACTGAGGTAAGCAATCAATTTCTTGTAGGAAATATGGTTGTCTTTATCTCCAAGTCTTGTGAAATAATAAAAATGCTTAGTTTGTTTAATTATTTATATCTACTAGTCTTTCTTTTATTTGCATGTAAAATTGAAACCAAGCACGCTGAATTTTTAAGAATTAACAAAAAGATTATTTTTCAAATATACATTTTTTTTTACATAAATAGCCTTACCATAACACACAGAATTCATTACTTGGTTGAGTCCGCTTACAGATAGTGTCATATCTGAAGTTACTATCTGGTTTTGTAAATTTTCCTCCGCAAGTTCTAAAAGATTCGGCAAACTTGGATTAAAGTCTGTTTGTACTGCTATGACTATCAACTTAATGTTTTGGTTCCGAAGCATGTCGACTGCTTGTCTCATCTGTGTTGCAGAGCCAGAATCCTTGTCTGATATAAGAACAGCAACTCGAGCCATGTGCATGGTTGTTAGTAGACTTTTATTGAAGGCGCTTACAAAGCTGTCCACCATTCCCTTTGCATCATATGAACCTGAATTTAAACGGCTGGATGCTTCGCTTTGAATTTTACCGAATTCTGATATAGAATTTACACCAGGGGCAAATGTGTACTCATATTTATTAGCATCATTTAACAACAATGTTCTCCTAACTTGTCGAATGTTACTGAACAGTGCAATCCCAAGATTTAAGGCCATGTCGAACCGCGATTTTGTTGAGAGGTCAAGGCCGAGAACGACGTGAGCTTTCCCGCTACAATCTGAAATAAAAATATAAAAGTAATGCAATGAAACTCGTCATATAAAAAGGCTTGACTGTCAGATATATTTACATCCATCCTATACTTGCGATAACCAACTTGTGGATAATATATGATATGGTTGTATACAATATGTAATGTTACTACTTCTTTCTTTGTAAGTATATATATATATATATTCACTTTTTAGATTTTTCTACTGAAGCGACTCATATAACTTTATGGACTTGTGGACGGAGCTAGTAAAAGAATTGTTCTCATTTTTTTTCGGAAACAAAAACTTACATTGTGTTTGTTACGAAATTGGGTCGTTCAGAATGGTTTCCCTCCTGCATTCGTACAAAACACTTAATATATATCCATTGGCATCCTACCTACTCGGTAGTCGCTCTAAGCGTATTTAAGTCAAGTGAAGGCGGGAGTGAGTTCGAACCTCCGTCATATACCAAGAAATTTAAATTAAGTACCTAATTCTACCATGTATGTTAATGAATAAGGACACAAACCACATTTGTAATTGGATAAACCGACTTCAGTGCGCATGACATCCCCATACGGTAAGTTCAGGACCAAAAGCTTAGATAGTCCAAAAATGGTGCAAGTATCTTCTTCTTTCTAAATGTCACCTTTTGCGCTTACGCGAATAGAATGCTCTCATCCTGTTTGTCTAGGTCAAAGGTCATTTTATCAAGCATTGTCAAATATTCTTGCTATAAATATAGCGAACATATTACTTACTGAACGTTAAACATTCGTTCTTCTATTTTTCAATTTGCTAGCTTTTTTCAGTGTTATTGTACATGTACGGTTTATGTGGTAATAAAATTTCTACTTAATGGTTCCCTTAAAAGTGAAGAAGAAAATTAAGAAAACCTGTTCACATTAAGTTAAACAGTAGATGTATTCAGAATTATGAAATAACATGGCTGATGCTTCTTTTTATTTATTTTCACAATGTTCCTCTTTATCTATAACAAATTGTCAATCCGTAGAAGCAGAATCTTTATTGTCTAAGGGTGCTATCATTTGATTTTTATGGGGGGGGGGCTAGGATTAAAAATTTTGTCCTGCATTTTTTTTAGTTGAAATCTCTGTCCTATATAGATATAAGAAGATGTGGTATGAGTGCCAATGAGACAACTCTCCATCCAAGTCAAAATTTATAAAAGTAAACCTGCCTTTTTATTTTTCACTCTATTCGGTCCTGCCTTTTTTTTATTAGTTTATCCTGACTTTTTTTACATAAATTTTCATCCTGCCTTTTTTTAGCCAAGTTGCTCATCCTGCCTTTTTTTTTTACTCAAAACTCCTGTCCTATCCTTTTTTTTTTTAAATTTCATCCTAGCTCCCCCCCCCCCCCATAAAAATCAAATTGTAGCTCCCTAATATCTATCATATACTTGAATCGTTCTATAATATCTATCATATACATGAATAGTACTTACTTCTAGGCAAGACAGTTCCACCTATCATATCTGAAAAACACACAAATGAAAAGCTAAAGTAATAAATATCTGAAGTCTAACATAAATTTTGTATCTACATTTGTATCTGGTTAAAACATTTCATCTAATGTGGCCTTGTAGATTTTGATAGACATTAAAAATGGCATATTTGTATTATATACACACTTATAAAAATGAACCATCATTACGATTTTACAGACGTGCAAATCTACCTTAGAGGTACAAAGTTAACAAAAGTACAAGGTTTTTTCGAAAAAGATTTTTTTTGTCACTATACAAAACATTACTTCACGGTACCAAATAATTCCTGACAAAGCCAGAACATATAATAATATAAGAAATAGCACATGTTTCATACAATTGATCATTTTCGTCCTTTACCATTCTCAAAGTGGCATCCGTACATTTTTGTACATGTTTAAAAGTGCCAGTCTTTGTAAGAATCAGGCAATTTAGAAGAATTTCAAAACATGGATAAAAAACCACCGGCCTAACCATACTACTTTCAAAATACCCTCATCCTAGGTTAGAAATGGTAGGTCTTTCGTTTCAAAGTGTCTGGTAACTTGAGAAATCTCTAGATAACTTTTGGTTAGAATGATAGCAAATTACGGAGTTAGCTCCCCTTAATTTTTAATTTTGGGTGCATTTTAACCAAATTATATCTTGAATTACCAAAACAGGAAAAGGAAACGAATGTTATTTTCGTGCACCATTATACATTGTGAACATAAATTAATCTAAACTTGAGTGGGTTTTTGTTTGTTATGTTTTCACCACTTCCTGATTCTTAGGCAGTTTGGCACTTAATGCCATCTTATACATTTATAAGGGACAATACGCTATTTTTCAAAGAACCTGATTCTAGCTAGGATTTTTGTTTCACAACATATGAATACATGAAGGTTGTAAACAATATTCTTATTAAACAGTGCCATAATAATTGTAAATACGATTATGCAGTAAAAGCCTTAAAGTAGGATTTTTGGATATTTTATTATGTATATATATATATTTATGTCATTGGATTTTAATGTTTTAAAGAACAGTATTTAACTTACTGGTATCATCAGGTTGATTCCGTGTAATATTTTAATGTAAGGTCGACTAAAAAACTGCCCAAAAAAATCTTGTGCATTTAAAATGTTTGCTTTTTTCCTAAAATGTTTTTCCATTTACATTTTTAAAAATAATTTGTACATCTTTTTCTTGAACGATAAACCCTTCCAAATGACTTCTACAAATTTTGTCGTTTAATATTAAATAGCTTAAAAAGCATTTTGTACAAAAGCATAACCCACAGAAAACAGTATTTGTGATTTTTTTTGTCGATAGAGCCGTTTATATGAATTTACCCTTGCGCATATCGTTCGCAATTTGCAATAAAAAAACAAGTAGGATTTTTAAATTTTTCACGGGACCACAAATATTATCTACACGATCTGTACCACCATCTACACTGTAAGTACAGCCCTCTTAGCAGTGCAGTTTACACGTGATACCTATCACCTTTATGTACTTAAAACATGGTGAAAATTTTAATATGCTTTAAATGTTGAAATTAAGAAATTAGGAACGCAGAATATTGACAAAACAGTTAAAATAAATGTCTGCTCTTCATTCCCTCTTTTAATATAATGCTGCGCATGTGAAATTGTAATCAAACTTACATTGGCACACAGCTGCCATATCAGGGGCGTCATCTCTATAAACAGCGGAAATGATTCTTCCTGGAACATAGCTTGTGATAGTGTCAAGATCTCGAACAGCAAACGTGGAATTTGCAGAAACAGCTATTATTTGTACGTTCTCATCTATCGCTGCCTGTTTGGCTGCTATTTTTAGAGTAGAGAAATCTCCGTTCGTGTTTCCGTTGACAAATATGATAGCTATTCTTGGCACACCGCGGCGATTGAATTTCTTAAATTTCTCGGTGATGTGGTCTAGTGCTAGATGGGTATTTCGAGTTGGAAGCCTTGGATATGATAAGCCTGTCAACTTATCAATTATACTGGTTTTATCAGCACTGAAATCGGCAATCTCGGTTGAAGTTGATCCGTAAGTAAAAAGAGAAACCATTGTGCCATTGATGAAATTCAGTGTAATTTTATTCAAAAATTTCTTGATATACTCCTTCATGAAAACAAATTGAGTATGCTCCGAAGGTGTATTTAGTCGGGTTCCATCTAGAGCTATAACTATATCTGCTTTGCCGTCCAAACAATTATCTGAAATTAGTAATTAGCAATTCATCTACTAGTCTCTAAAATTGAAATGTAAATTCTCTATTTTTCATGTGTTTTAAAGTAAGAAGATAGATGAAAAAAAAGTGAATCAGATTGTCGCTTCATTTGAGGACATTAGAGAAGATTTTAAATTAATTGTGTCCTGTAATTGCATGAACTATTTGCAACTGGACATTGAGCAATCATCTAATCAATTAGTTGAACAGTTGTTGTTGATAATTACTCCTATCACCCAAAATGTCACATTTAAAATCTACAAATAAACTGGAAATGGCGGAATTACTGTACTGCCCGACCTTTAAAAATGAATGTCTAACAAATACTTAATGGCAGAATTTTTTGAAATATGGAAGAATCCACCCTATATGTATGAAGAGGTTGGTTTCACGTCAATCGACTATATAAACATATCAAAATTTAAAAAGCTTTGATATTTACAGCGATAAAATTTTTTGTCCTATTATGAGGTTCTTGATTCCTTGGTTTCTTGATTCTTTGATTTTTTGTACCACTTTTTTTCTATTCTTGATTTATTTTACCCATTATTTTCAATTTTCTTATAATTTCAGCACTACATTATTCTCATTTCTTTATTTGTTTGCCTATTTTTCTGTGTTATATTTTTAAGCTATGGGGTCAGCTATTTATTCTGCACTTTTTTCCATTATTCTCTATTCTGTAAACCCACTGAAAACCCTCTATTATACTGATAATATCCAAAGTACATTAAAATCAATAGGCATATATTTTTTATTACAAGCTATATAATGTTTTAAAATGTAATTATCAAGGAACTCTGGATATTATCAATTTTTTAGGACTATACTTTTATATAACTGTACAGAAATATATATATGAGTGGGACCAGATAATTTGAACAAATAATAACCCAAGAAAAAAAAAATAATAAAATGAATAAAAGTCTATTAAAGATGTAAAACTGATCACTAAATTAAAGTCGAATCATGTTCTGCTTTAAATGTAAAAATGTGGTGTGATATCGTTTATATCAGTTATTTCTAATTCGTGTTAACTTTATTTACAAAATGAAAATATCAACAGTACCCATTTCACTGTACCAGAATCGCATTTCCACAATAAATGTCTCTTCAGTGATGCTCGTGGATTAAATATTTGAAATTCAAAACTTATTAAAAAAATGAAGCTGGTAAAAACCAAAAAGAACAGAACAATTAGGAAAAGCCGGTCTAGGAATCGATTACTTACATGGAGGAATGTATATTCCTTAACTTAATTAAAGTATTTGAAATTCAAAACTTATTAAAAAATTGAAACTGATTAAAACCAAAAAGAACAAAACAATTAGAAAAACCGGTCTAAGAATCGATTACTTGCATGGAGAAATGTATATTCGTTAACTTAAAATAATTTCCAAAATTTTGAAACAACAAATTTCAATTAATACTAAATTTCCGTATTTTTAGTACCGTTGTTTGAAAAATATCCCGTCAAAAGTTAAATATATCAACCGTACAGATACCAATTTCCGTGCGCACGACAGATGTTTTTTTGTGCACGACACGTGCTCCATGTCAAACATATATTCGGAATGTTTGAGAAGCCAAGCACATATAAAAAAAAACTATGATTATTTTAGCAGCATATTTATTTAAGAGAGCACTCACCAATCTGGCCATATCCCAGTGTTGAAAGAGTGGCAATGCACACTGTTAATGTTACTAACCACCGCATGGCCAATGTTCAAGGTGTCTTATATCTGAAAAAAAATTCAAAAAAGGTATAACAGCACAAATTGCATGAAGAAACATTGTTTCTAAAAGCATATGTAAAAAAATGAACAATCAAACAATCAAAAATACTAAACTTAAACATTGTTCCTCAATTCACACATTTTCGAATAAATATACATGTAATTGAAAACAAAATTAAATAATTTATTTATGATAACGAAAATGTTATGTTATTAATACACGACTAATTGGCGTATAGTTTTCGGATCTTTAGCTTAATGTTGTGGAGCTGAAGTGTTAAGCTGAAGAGAGGAATTAAGCGCCGAATGTTCGATGGTTATTTTCAACCATTTGTCTTAATTGCATCTAATCTTTCTTCAGTAAGTTTCTTATGTAAAGATAAAATCAACAACAGTTTTCCAAAATATTTTGCAATATTGGTAATCGAAGCAAAAACGTCTATGAAAATATTAAAATTGCCAGGTCTGGTATACCCAGCAGATACACATGGAATTTTAGTTTCTTCTGACGGCCAAAACGAATTTCTATTAATTAGCCATGAACGATGGAGATTTTGTGTAAATCTTACCAAAACTTCAAATGAAATAAATATCCACTTCAACCGAAAATTTAATAAGACACCATCACACGGAGCGCTCACAGGGAACTATTTCTTTTAATGGCGGAGAAGTTTGTCACATTATACAATATTTATTATTCGTTCCATCAGGGTGAAAACTAAAGATTTTAGATTCTGATAGGCGATTAATTGTCATTTTGTAGTTTCCCCTGAGCATTTTTTGTATAAGGAGTTACCGGACCTAATCTATCGTGAAGAAAAAATGGACATTTTTAAATGATGACTTTAGCCATGTGTTTAGGGAAGAATTTCTGAAGCCCTAGGTAAAAAGTAACGACCTGGAAAATGTGGAAATTTGATAATATCAGATGATGTCTAGTAAAATGCACGATTTCACAACTTTGCATAACCGGAAGCGGGGTTTTGTTCCAGTTTAAACAAATTTACATGAAATAAAACGGATGAAATGTAACTCATTTCTTTTATTATAACTAAGAGGCAATATCAAGTATTGAAAAGAAAAGTTTGTTCTAAAATATATGAATTGATAATAAAAAAATTTGTAAAATCCATATTCATTAGTACTTAACCGTAGAGTTAATTACATAAGTAGGGCACGTAATGTACATGTAACAAGTTATGAATATTTTTTGTTAAACAAGTTACCACATTAGACTTGCTGCACTTGTAACCTACATTGAAATCCTTTCATTGAAATTATTTAAAAGAGGCATCATTTGACTATTATATAAGAATTTCTGTTTATATATAGCTATCTGGTATGATCGAAAGTCTATTCTTAATAATGATCTTCTAGGACAATAAGTGCATACATTTCTGTGTACATTTTAGTGTAAAATCATTCGACACTGGAGGCTTCTTGATATTTAATAATATGTTGTACGGACAGAATCATACTGTATAGTAATGGTCGTTTGGTTGAACCTTTGCCCAGAGAGGCTAATCATCCTTGCATTATGTAACTTTGCTTAGAATTAATTATTTACTTGAATAATAAATACATTTTATCTGCTAATCACTTATCGTCGAAATTAAAGTCACAACTTTGCTCTAATATGATATTACTAGATGGATAATTTGAATTTTACAATAATATCAGTTATAAACCAAATAGTTTAACTGTTATGTAAATATAAAAGTAACATTTTTATTTGTATGTAATAGTGGTAATAATAATTGCCCCCACACGGTAGATAATAATCTACAAATACAATAATGACACACCTTCAATGTTTCCATTACGTCAGGAACATGACATTTTCTAAGAGATACCATCAATAGAAATTGCATTAGATACAAACGGATATTATGTACAATTTATTGTCTTTGTCTTTGCGTTTGCCTTTTTTTATTTTTTACTTTCGTTTTTTGCTGTTTGATTAATTTGTTTGTTATTAATCATATGTATAGCATTTCTCCCTGTGGATTCAAGAAGAGCAAATTCCAAGGTACATAATGTCTCCGGAAAAAAGGTTGATGTATAACATTCCATTGCAGTTATGCATCAAGAATGTTCCAATTGAAATCTACTTTGATTGATTGCTTCTTGCTTGCTTTACATCTAGTGGCAAGCAATGTATTTTATTGTTTGCTTTACATCTAGTGGCGAGCAATGTATTTTATTGTTTGCTTTACATCTAGTGGCGAGCAATGTATTTTATTGTTTGCTTTACATCTAGTGGCGAGCAATGTATTTTATTGTTTGCTTTACATCTAGTGGCGAGCAATGTATTTTATTGTTTGCTTTACATCTAGTGGCGAGCAATGTATTTTATTGTTTGCTTCACATCTAGTGGCGAGCAATGTATTTTATTGTTTGCTTTACATCTAGTGGCGAGCAATGTATTTTATTGTTTGCTTTACATCTAGTGGCAAGCAATGTATTTTATTGTTTGCTTTACATCTAGTGGCAAGCAATGTATTTTATTGTTTGCTTTACATCTAGTGGCAAGCAATGTATTTTATTGTTTGCTTTACATCTAGTGGCAAGCAATGTATTTTATTGTTTGCTTAACATCTAGTGGCAAGCAATGTATTTTATTGTTTGCTTTACATCTAGTGGCGAGCAATGTATTTTATTGTTTGCTTTACATCTAGTGACAAGAAATGTATTTTATTGTTTGCTTTACATCTAGTGCCAAGTAATGTATTTTATTGTTTGCTTTACATCTAGTGACAAGCGATGTATTTTATTGTTTGCATTGAAATAGATCCCTATTTACATGACATTGCCTTTTCATGAATAAGAATGACCTTTTATTAATATTTACATCTCTTAAACTTGTTAAGTACAAATATATATATATATATTGATAAATAAAGTTTGATCTTGAACTTCCTTTTAAAATTATCACAGATTTACATTTCTTGTGAGTAACGTCTATATTGAATGTCAGAAGTTAATGTTCTATTTTCTTTTGTTTACATTCTAAGAGATTCGCTGTAATTGAAAATGCTTGGTTTTTTTACTTACATCATGTTTTGTGGATGCGTTTTCCAACCGATCACCGGCATCACTTTTGGAACCAACTGCGCTCATTTTTTCGTAGACTTATGAGACGGAGTTCGTACATGGACATATCAAAAACTATAAATACGCTAGCACTTACCGTTAACGTTATGTTCTGTTGAATTTTCAATACTGATGACTGTAATTATCACCTATCAAACTTAATTTGACATAAAATATAAAAAAGACAATACAGGTCTGCTTCATTTTTCAACTTCCATCTAAAAATCGACAGTTTGTTTCTGCTACCGGGGCACTTGATATCAACCTTAGTTTGTTCTGTTGAATTTTCATTACTGATGACTGTTATTATTATCTATTAAACTTAATTTGACATAAAAAAATAAAAAAGACAATACATGTCTGCTTCATTTTTCAAGGCAACTTCAATCTAAAAATCGACAGTTTGTTTCTGCTACCGGAGCACTTGATATCAACCTTAGTTTGTTCTGTTGAATTTTCACTACTGATGACTGTTATTATCCTCTATCAAACTTAATTTGACATAAAAATAAAAAAGACAATACATAAAATTGAGAATGGAAATGGGGAATGTGTCAATAGTCGGCTATAAAAGGCCCCACCATGAAAAATATGAAACAAAGGGTATGGAGTTTGCTCATTGTTGAATGCTTTACGGTTGCCTATAAATGCTTACACCCACTTTATTTGAACTTTGGTGGATATTTGTCTCATTGGCAATCATACTACATCTCCTTATTTTTTATATAAAACTATGTGATTATCTAAAGGCAGCATGGAAAATGAGAAGTCATATTATTAATTAAGATGTTATCATATGTGTTGTTTTCTGCTGTTTATCATTTTGTCATATTTGTAATATATGTTTTGATTGCTATAACATGTATATGCTTTTTGCATATAGACTCATTTAGATCTAGAAAGAACAGTCATATAGCTGTTAATTTCTGTGTCATTTGGATTCTTGTGGAGAGTTGTCTCATTGGCAATCATACCACATCTTCTTTTTTTATATATATTGCTGTTTATATTAGTTTTCTTAGGTAAACGTGTATTATTCCAGAGGTCAGAAAAAAGTTTATTCAGATCATTATGATAATACCAGCCTGATACTGTTTGCTATAGAATAAAAACCTGATAGATAATTGCGATAGAAAAAAAAACCAATTTATTTCACGCTTTCATTTCAATGAATCATCAAAATATATTGTGGTTCGTAAGAAATATTTTTAATTGAACATTCGATTGAGATGAACGTGTAAGATAAGATATTGTATAGATAAAAGACAGACAAATTAAGATTGTCACAATTTAGATACAAGTTGCCTAAGGGCATTGACATAGTAATTCATTAAAGTACTGACCACTGGTCTAAAATGGTAGCAATGTAATGGGACTTATATCGATAACACAATTTGAAATTAGACTTTAGAAAATCTTAATGATATATTTCCTAAGGAAAAACAAAACAGATAAACAAATTTTGAATTCCCATTACTCACATATATATATATATTATACATTTATTCAACATTTGTCACATATTCAACATTTTTAGAACAGATTGATTGATAGCGTGTTTGGTTAACGTTCAGTTGCAATTATTTCATGCATATTCAGGACGAGAACAATTTTTAAACAATTATTTCAATAATTAGGTTCTGCAAAACGGGTCTAGCAAGATGAATCCAAAACTTCCAAATGCCATTGGAAAATGAGTGTAAAACACTATGTTGAAAAGGACCAGAAATATTGCCATGCAGCAGGTCAACTACCGACCCCTTAAAAGAGTTGTTGTAGGGGTTTCAATTTATTTACGTTCAGAGAGTGTGACACATTCCTGGTGCGAATCATGTCATTTTGAAAAGGGGTCCAACCCCCGGAATACCATAAAACGTTCACATAATTAAAAAAAAGAAAATAACCGAAACACCCCCTTGATCCGCCAATGCATTCCTTATAGTACTATTAAAGGTGGGTTTAACTCCTCCTTTCGACCTAACGTAACTGTGTATTTAAATATTCCGCACAGCCAAAGGAACGCCTCTCTTTAGCAAGGAATCAACTGACAACTCCTTTTCATAAAAACATGATTATACCAGCAGCAATGAAAACAAACCAGGCTATACCAATTAAAGTCTCGACTGAAAACAGCATAGTTCCAGTCTAACAGTCCGTGTTGAATAGGTAAACAAACACACAGGAGGGTGTGGATGGGGGTTTACAGAATAGAAATGAGAATAATGGGCAAAAAGTATAAAGAATAGAGAAAAATAGCCTAAAAATTAAATAATACAGAAATGAAGGACCCCCCTACCTATCCAGACCCTCATACAGAGGCTAGACAATGAAACTCTGCCCAAAAATCGGAGATGAATTTTATCTCAAAGGAAACAATTTTACACTTGACCTCATTTACCAATCAAAGTTGTACAGAAAATTAGATTATTCAGACATATGTTTTGTATGAATCCACTGATTATATGAAATCTCAAGGAAAAAATGAACAGTTAAGTTATTATAATGAAGCATTAAATAAGGAAAACTAAAACCACAAAGTGATTTGTCGACATCACCAACATTAAGATGCTTTGTATATTAAAGGAATATTGAACAGTTTGGGAAAATGTTATCTATATAGTACGGAGCTTGATCATACATTATGTTGCAAACGTCTGTAGACATATGGTCACCTGACCCTCTCCCATCCTGCAGTAGAACCCTTGCACAAGAAAGGAGTCCGTTTGGCTGTGTTGTGGGTAAGAATACGCAGACATGTCCGTTCTGAATGGGACGTTTGATCCGATGGCTTATGAAGGGCCAGTGTTACGCTCTCTTCGTAAAAGAGTCAGACCTTACAACAACTCTTTGATGGGTCCCTTTGTGACATATTAATTGAAATGCAAAATGTATTCCTCTATCCATCATGTCCATATTTTTAAGTAGCAGTCCAATTTCCAAAAACTAAAACCCGATCGTCCCACTTTTAATTGTTTCAAGCGTATAATATATAGCAGTTATTCAATGCAAGAAGAGCGTGTTAAAACGTCTAGAAAACAGACGTGTCGACAAGGACAAAGGCACTTGTTTACCTATATACTTTACATAAAGTTATATAGGTTAAACAATTCAGCGACAAATGCCTGTGGACAAGGGTCCCGCTTGCACATGTTTGTGTGATGAACAGAAACAAATAAGTAATTCTGATGCAAACGAATTCGAAACAAATCATTTTGGGTTATCCTTTTTTGTGATTTGACCCCAGGAATTGATTCAGGGTGCGTTTTCGATAAATATAATGATTTGTTAAAAGCACTTCGTATATTGGCGAGAATAGCAATGCGCAAATTACACGTACATACATGTATTGATTTTCACTTAAATCCTAGCTTTTTTATTAAGAGCTAAGCTTTAACCCCACTTTTTACATAGGGAGAAAATTGGAATGCATTTATCAAATTAGGCGAAATCCTGATATAAATTTTTCCCCAAAAACTTTTGATTAAACATAAAGTACATTTTTACCCCCTTTTATACATTTGTCCAATAAATTTGGAATTTAATTTTACACTCATCAAACAGAAATATTTGTTGAAATCCTGGAATAAAAAAGTTTATCAAAGTTAGAGCGAGTTATTTTTTTTAACAAAAACTGCATATTTTCCCTCATTCCCATTTCCCTCTTCCCAAATTTTTACTTCCTGGTAATTTGACCGTAGGAATTTGAAAAGTGAAATTAAAAATACATCTTACTTTTCATTGAAATAGTAGCAAATCAATGTTTCATAAATTTGGTAAACGTTTGTATATTTTTTTTACGACCAAAGCCCTCAATTATCGCAAAAATCGATTTTGGGGACTGCGTTTCAATTTTGAATAGCATATTGTTAATTTCTGTTGAAATTCTAGCACACAGTGATGTTTAAAAATTTTTAAATATGTGTAACAAAAACTGATTTTTTTATAAGTTTTATTTTTAAAAAAGTTAACAGAAGACGGACAGACGACGAATGCCAACTGATAGCAAAACAAGTTTATACCGGTCTTCCACCGCATGAGAAAATGCAGTGCACACCCATAGTATTAAATCAATATGAGATATATTTTATCCCAGCAAAATCAACAATCATAATCAGAAGTCCGATAGTGTGAAATGTATTAAATATGAAGCAGAAAAATGTCTCGCACACGAGATTGTACAGGTAGTTGTGATCAGTATGGTAGCTTAGCATCATTCGTCATAGATACTTGGAAATACGTCATATGATTTTTATACCGTCTGTCAGTCAAAATCGTTAAACATCAGCATAAAGGATCAAATCTTAAACGACGTAATTTTTCCAACACTAGTACTGTTAATGTTGAAACCCTGTGAGTGTTAAAAACAAATCTATCGCTTAGTTCTAGCAAAATCATCTTTTGCATACCTTTAGTTTCACACAAAATTATATGCAGTTTTACTGTTTGAAATTGACAAACCGTAGAAACAATTTGGCTGGAGGACATTAGTACAATAGATTTTGTGACAAAAATCAGGAATTATTCAACTGTAATATTGCACTTATTTTTAATCAGGTAAATGTTAAGGATGTAATCCAAATTATAACTTCAGTTTAGTTTATAAGAACAATCAATGATATCCATGAAGGGACGATCTACAATTGTGACGAAATGGTCTATATCCATCATAAGGTTGCTTTGATTTGCCTTCAATAAAACTATAACTACTCCATCTGCAATGACAGATTTCTAATTCAATGTAACCATAACTGACAATCTGTCACTCTCCTTCTACTCTTTTGTGGCTGATGTAAGTAATCTGGTGGCTTAAGCCTGTACTTGAATGGTTATTCAGATCATATTCCTAATGTATGTGGCCGTGTATTATAATCCATGACCTAAAGTAAAGAACAGCCTAACGTTTAAGTACTGAAACATAACACCCGTTAAATAATGTTACAGTTCAAATATTTAGTTTACATCCTTCAACGATGTCAAAACACTTATTTCACCGCCTTAGCACTTATTTCTGGGAGGGCATTCAAAGTACACGTGTGTTCATTGTGCGACAAGCTTCAGCTTTTTATCCTTGTACCTTAAAGGAAAATCCTACCGCTTTCGTGTAAATGTGACGTAGTATATTTGTAAATTCTGCCTGATATTACGCCATCCTCTTATTCAATGTAAACATTCTGTGTTACAGACTGGTTAAATAATTATATTGTAAAAAACGCATCATAGATTTCCAATATAACAGGAGATGTGGTATGATTGTTAATGAGACAACAATCCATCAGATACCAAATGACGTGGATATGAGCATTTATGGGTCGTTGTAAGGCCGTCAATAATGAGCAAAACCCATACTGCAGAGTAAATTATAAAAGGCCCGACATAACAAAGAGCAAAATAATTCAAACTAGAAAACCAACGGTCTGGTTTATGTACAAAACAATAAACGAAAAACAAATATAATATACAGCAACAGACGACAACTACTGAATTACTGGCTCTTGACCTTGGACAGGAACATACAGTATGTGACGGGGTTAAACATGTCTGTTGGTGCTCAAACACGTTAAAGAGTTGTGTCCCTTACTCTATAGCCATTTAAGATCCAGTGTACGAGTTCATTATTTTATACACAGGAATATGAATAGGTAAGAATTAATACAAACACAATTTCAAATATGCAAGAAGTTTATTAAAGATAGAAAATGACATATATTTCAGAGTACCAAGAAGAATTTACAACATGGTTAAATAATAATAAACATAATAAAAAACCAAACAAAGAAACAATTTTTCTTTATGCTAAATAAGCGAAACAGTTTTTTTTAAAGTCATGAGTGCCGAAAGAAAAAATATATATTGGCATAAAGATTACAATTTTGCTAATGTGGACATACATATCATTTAATTGATTACGCATATTGGTAATTAATTGGTAAAATTAACTGGTTAAATCATGGGAAGAACATAATACTGTCAATTGTAAAATAAACCAATAGTCCCTAAGACCCTTAGATCAATTGTTGAACATGTATTTTTTTCTCCTTAATTACCTCAACGATTATTTGGATTCAAACTGAATAGATAACAATGTGTAATTCTACAAATATAACAATTGGTACCAGTAACGTTTGAAAAAGTTTTTTTGTAGATACGTTAGATACAGATGAGAAAGAATATATTTAGGTTGTTAGGATTGTCTGGGGGTCCGTGGTCCGTTGTCAAGCTCAGTTTACATGATTTTCAGTGCGTCCTTGATTGATAGCGGGATACAGTCGTAGACGTTAATCTGAAATATAAACATAAAGCAAATATTTTTTATCTAAAGCCACGCTTCATTAAAAATTAAAGATGGAATGTTAAATACATTCAAATACTCGTCAATCTAATTGAAGTTTGAATATGTTGGTTGACGAAAAAAAAAACATTATTTCATAAAAGAGACCAAGAAATATGGTAGCCATCGAAATAATTTTTTAACATAAATCAGGCTGTTGTTTTTCTCATTTGAATTGTTTCCCATTTCGTTATGCCGAGACCCTTTAAAGCTTACTATACATGGTATGAGTTTTGTTCATTGTTCATGTTGTTGGAGGCCGTACGGTGTCCTATAGTTGAAGGCAGTACGGTGACCTATAGTTGTTTATATCGTCGTCCCTTAGTCTGTAGTGAAAAGATTTCTTGATGACAATCAATGCCACATCTCTTTATTAAAGTCTACTTAATATATGCAGTAACAAATGTCTTAAGATTAAATTACCTCTTTTATGCTGCCATCCAAGAAACCCACTGAGGTATTTCTAATAGTTGGACGCCCAAAAACCAACCCTGTCTGCCTTCGCTGTATCCAACCTGATTTTAATAAAAATAAGAACAAGTTACTGTATTGGATTTTTTTTCACAAATTCATTGAAAAAAATTATGATTTTTCGTACATGTCTAGTTAAATTTTCAAAGAAATAAGTATTTTAAATTGATCAATTTAAATTTTTTGAGCTTAAAATAGTTATTTGGGCTTTCGTATATTATAGAATTTACTCATTGTTGAAGGCCATACGCTGACTTATTATAGTTGCTTACATTCACATCCTTTGATCGCTGGAGGTGGATAATTGTCTAATTGGTATTCATATCACATCTCTGTATTTTTTGTTTAACATTATCGACTCCTATTGGTTAAAAAAATCATTGTGCTTGCCTTTCAATAGAATCATGGTAATTTTAATATCAGACAAATGACATTACAATGAATGCTGGGAAAATCATCATCACCACCATTGTTATTATAGATGCAGTAGTCGTTAACAGGGTAATGTACTTGCCTGTCAAAGGTACAGATTTCTCATTGCCGTCAGCCTTCAATGCAAAATTGTCCCCATCATATGCAAAGGTGATGGGAATATATCCCTTATAGCCACTTGTGGAAGACTAAAATGAAAACGTTCGATAAATTCATATTATAAACATGATAAATGAAAATTGTAGTTTGCATTTTTATAAAAGTATGGAAGATGCAACCAAACGATAACCACATCTCAAAGTCATTATTCAGATTTCAACAATACACCAGTATCTTTACAATAAGTCAAGCTCTAAATCGTTTTGAGTCTAAAAGATTTGTGAATAAATCCAACATGCAGGATCCGAGATTATTACAAAATCCACTACACGAAAAATATTGAACAAATCAATATCAAATTGACGACAATCTTCAAATGATTACCAATAGATATTACCGAGTGTCTGACACAAACACCACAGGTTGAATACTGTATGTTGACCTGTAGATGTATTCTGTATTTTGTGACGTTCGTGTATTAATTTGTGTCGTTGGGTTGCAGTCTTATTGATATATAACCCACATTTCCTTTTTTATGAATATGCAATTTGAGCATTGGTTTAGTCGTGTTTCAAACTATTATGACAAAAAACAAATTAAAAAGCAATATACTCGATTAATCGATTTAAGATTTCGCATAAGATTACTGTTAAAAATGGATAACATACCACTGTACTGGAGATTGTCTCGTTATATTCGGTTCCTCTATCAGTGAGTGTATGCAGCTCCGCGATGAATGTGTACTTGTTTGGTTCTTTCTTGACTTGTAGAGACATAGAAGGCGAGCATTGGTCCTCCTCCAGTACCGCGTCGCTATGGAGACAATTCAACAGGATTTGTTCAGTTTTAGATCCCTTCTTTCCGGTAAATGGAGTCAGTTTCACACTCATCTCGATCCCTAATGAGTCCATGAATTCATGATTGGCAAGACGCCATATGTTGACATGGGATTTTGAATTGTAGGTTATAGCATCTGGCTCAGAGGTCAAGTCTAAGTTTGAATTTCCATATGGTAAAGCCATGTCTTTCTGCCAATAGAACTGACCATTCGAACCTTGGGTAATGATTGCACTACAAGCTGAAAAATATATTCATGCCATGTCTTTGGTAAGTATTAAAAAGCAGTGGCTGTAATTTTGACTGAGTGTTATATATAAATACGTATTAACGTATAATATGCCCGTATATGTTAAATCAAAGATGCATATATACATTATAACGTAGAACAACTATCATACAACTTAGACATTTGTCATGTCATAAAATCTTTTTTCAACCTACAACTTTTATCCCAAAATTGGTTGTGCCAAATAATGACATTTAATTGCCAATTTGTCACAAAAAAATTGTTTCAAGAAATTTCCCCATAAACTAGACAGTCTACATAAGACTTGTAGGGACATTCTATTTAAAAAAAAAATTTTATTTCTATTTTGACATTTCTAACTTCGAACTAGCTGCGGAACCGTAGCTCTTAGGTCCTCATGTTATTTTTTGACTATTTGCGGACCATAGAGCTACGGATTTTTCCTATTTCAAAACGTTCAGAATTGCGACCCAGGTTCAGGTCGCACTTATTTCCCAAAAATTTATTGATTATTGTCCATGCAAAGCTTATCAATATATATAGTTCGTTTCGTTAGACAATTTTCTAGGATATGACGTACCTATTTATGTTTGAATATTCATTTCCTTAACACTATTATCTAATTATTCCCATTTGTATACACTCTCCGCCTATTTTGTTCAGTCATATTGAATCTCGTCGTGACGTCACGAAAAACAAGAAAAGAAAACTCTAATATCCTCGATCTCCTATATTGGAGGTGAGGAACGCCTACGAAAAACAAGAAAAGATAACTCTTTTAATAAAACACGTGTTGGTTTGTTTACTTATTTCTAAGCGAGAATCGAGTGTTTTGAAGGCTTTACAACATTAATTCATACGAAATATTTAAATTGCTGGGAAGAATTATTATTTTCGTTAGTAAGTAACTTTAATTACACGTTATTTCATTCAAAAAGTCATAAAAATTTAATAAAAGACAACGTAAACAAACCAACACGTGTTTTCTTCCAAGAGTTATCTTTTCTTGTTTTTTTGTGACGTCACTACGAGATTCAATATGGCTGAACAAAATAGGCGGAGAATGTATACAAATGGGAATAATTAGATAATAGTGTTAAGGAAATGAATATTCAAACATAAATAGGTACGTCATATCCTAGAAAAATGTCTAACGAAACGAACTATATATATTGACAAGCTTTGCATGGACGATAAACAATAATTTTTTGGGAAATAAGTGCGACCTGAACCTGGGTCGCAATTCCGAGCGTTTTGAAATAGGAAAAATCCGTAGCTCTTTGGTCCGCAAATAGTCAAAAAATAGCATAAGGACCTAAGAGCTACGGTTCCGCAGCTAACTTCGAACTTGACATTCCTCATTTCCAAGTTCACATTTCTCACTTCCAAGTCACATTTCTCATTTCCGAGTTAAAAATTTTCAGGCCAAGAGAACAACCATGATACATTGTCTCAAAACATCCATTTTATTTGTACTCGGCTCGTAACAGAACATAAATTAACGACAAAGCAACGTTTTCTATCTGTTTTTATGCCTCGTACAAACACATTTTATATCTTCAGACAATGTATAGTTATTCTAAATATAATTTTACAAGAACGTAATTGAAAACGCCATTCAAAACTTACTTGTCTTTTTAGCAATTCCCTTTAAATCCAATACACACATACAGTCCAGATCTTTGTAAATTGTACCAGGAGCACAATTCCGTAGAAATTTCCTGTCGGCAAACCCCGGAACTCTCAGTATTTGGTAATATGTGGCAGGATCTTTAGAATTTTCCTCATAATCACATGCGGGCTCTGAAAAAAAGACATTAATTTTGCTGGTCAGAAAGTGAAATTGCTTCTGTTTAATTTATTCAGGACTTTTTTAAAACTTGGAATGATTGAGAGACTGTCATATTATATAGACACTTGTCCACTGATGAAGACTGTAGGTCGAACAATTGCGCTTCTATACTTGTATGTCTTTTAGTTATTTGTGTTGGACTTCTAGTCCTGTATATGCATGGAACATTTGTCACTGGACGTTAAGCAAACAAACAATCAATCAACTAATTCTGGCATACTATCATTAGTCTAAAACAAAAATTTAAACATTATACAGAACACAAGAGGGTTGCGATGCACAAGATTGATTAATTATTTACTATTCATATAAATATAGATTCTTCCACTGCATCGAGTGTGATACGATATTTATCCACTCGAGACAGTTAAATTTTTAAATATTTAAAATTTAACTGTCGAGAGTGCATAAATATCGTATTACACGAGATATGGTGGTGGAATCTGTTTCTCTAATGATTTTCAAACAATATGCAGGCAAACTTATTCCTTCTTTATGAATGATCTGCAAAAAGATGTGTTCTTTCTATGTGACGTCATCAGGCATGGTCGCCTTTTTTCATGCCGTCACAATAGGAAATTCAGAGGAAAGCAAGAAAATTCGACGTCATAATCGGATTTTAACCAATGAAGAACTGAGATCAAACGAACCACACGTTGATTAAATTTTTTTTTTTATACAATGGGTGCAGAAAGGGATAAATTGACGAAGAATTAGAGTAACATAACTATTCACTTACGATTAGGTATAAAATTGGATAAACAAATTTTAGATTGCCTGGTTTTGAAAAAAAAGTTCAGATGAAATAAGCAAAAATTGTCTTTGTCTGACACTCCAATTGTTTTGGAATTATAAATGCTTTCTCCTGCAGAGTTTTTATAAAAAATGTGAATTAGCAATATTCATACTTAAAGATGTATGCAATGAGATATACTTACTCTTACGCAGGGACGCTCTAACGGCACCATCACAATTCACACCGGAACATTTTGCTGATACTCCAACGACACATTTCTTTTGGGTATTATCATAATGTTGACCAGCTGGGCAGCACATTGGTTCAGGCAGGCCATCTTGACATTTCCAATACGATCTACAACCGACGTAGGGCAAAGTTGTCGCGTTTGTTTTCCCTTTACAGATACCTGTTGAAACATAATAGTTTGGTATTCGTTTAGCCTCCAAAATTGCAAATGCATGAACAAATAATGTTACACTATAAGGTATGGGCAAAATCTGGATTCAGAATATTTTTTTTTTGTCATCTGCTTGACCACAATATTTTTTTCATCAAATTGGGGATCAGAATATTTTTTTTAGGAAAAAAAACATAACCCCCTTCCCCCCTTGAAGTAAAATGGTTGTTTCCTAAACATTTTTTGATAAAACTGTTTTAGAATTTAGTAAAACATACGATATAACTTATTAAATTTAAATTAAAATCCTAATACATATTAAAATAACTAATATTCAAAGAAATGTCTGTCGTCAACCTACATATAGGTCTAGCGGGGGGGGGGGGGGGGGGGGGGGTATTCTAACTGAGGAGGTAAATGTTCAATATCAGTATACTATGTTTTCATGATACATTCTGTGCAATAAGTTGTTCTTTGTAAACAATGAATTGGTTACTTTTGCATCTTTAATGACAATTAGCCGTAAAAATCTTTTAGTTAATCTTGGATCTATTGAACAAATAAAAATATTTGGTATATAAAATGTGTGCATGATAGATTGCGTGCAATAGGCTATTCTTTTGCAAACAATGTTACATCTTCGTTTTTTTTTTACCACCAGCCGTAATAAACTTTCAGATAATCTTAGATCTATCGATCAAAAATGGAAACTACATTATTTATATTTGGAAAGGGATAAACTGTGCTAGACTGATTCCCTGTCCTTTATCCGGTTTACACTAATAAATATAACATGGTATAAAAGACTAATTCGGGCCCGGTTAAAAGAACATCCAAAGAAAGTACATATTTTGAACAAAATAGTTCCTTCGCATAGCTGTAACTTTTCAATAAGTATAATATTTGGGTAATTTTAATATCAAATGAAAGTTTAAGGACTTGGAATCACTGTTAAAAGTTTTTTTTGAATAACAAAACACTATATGAAATTTATATAAGATCAGAAGTACCTGCTTTTGTAAAACCAAACTTCAGGGAACCAGTGCGCTTTAAGATGCAATTAAAGGTTTTTTAACTTAAGACAAAATAGCTATGAATGCTTGAGGTTGCAGAATTTAACACATAGAAATCAATAAATTAGAGGTGTTATTCTAGGATCTAGATGGGGTTTACAGAATAGAGAATAATGAGCGAAAAATGCAGAATAAAGGACCCCAAAAAATAAAGAATAGAGTATAATTGGGTGCTAAAATATAAAAAAAAGAGTATAATTGGTGCTAAGATATAGAGAGTAAAGGACCAACAAAAATAAAGAATACAGAAAAATGGCCTAAAATTTAAGGAATACAGAATTGAAGGACCCCCTCAGACCCTCTTATTCCACAAGGGTGAATCAGATGCCCGTATATTGCAAGGGAGATAACCATCCTATTAATTTTGCTTACTGTATTGACATTCTGTATATTCAGATTTAACACAGGTCAGATCATCCTGAGACCAGAAGGTGCTAAAACCACACTGTTTGACCGCAGACGTCATTATCTTATTCCCATGGCTGTCCTCACTTGGATAACACACCACAAACTTAGAACAGTCGTACTTAAAATAGTTGTATCCGAATCCATTGTCTATTATACACCCTTCACACAATGGATCAATTATAACTGCAAAGAGAAAAAAAAATTATAGCTTTCTAGGTCACAAAAGCACTTTAAACCACAAAGACATTAACTGCACCTTCAAACTAAAAAAAAAAGGTACATTTTTTTGGCACAAACTATTCTTTTATCACCGTATTAAACGTATTCTTATGAATATGTTACATGCATCAACATCCAATGCAGATTTAGCAAGAAGAAGTACCTAGGGACTGTTTTCGCTTTTTCATTAAGATGCATCAATGTAACAATGTAAAACCATGTTAAACCAAGAGTAAAAAAATCGAAACAGTTTTCTAATCTAATATTCTTCGTTCAAACAAAGTTAATGTGTTTTTTTTTCTCGGTAAAACGCGAGTTGCACATGTTTGACGTCGTATTGTTTTTTGCAACATGACGCTGTTTATTCATTTAAGACACTAATCGGAACTTACTATATTGCTATAAGTAGTTAAAATGCTATTATAAACTGAAATTCTGACATCTGATTTTTTTTTTTGGGGGGGGGGGGGGGGATTGGCTGGTAGGGTCTTTATGGTTGGGGTCAAAATACCATGGCTTAGAAAAAGAGTTATAAAATCGTTTTCAACACATGCTTGTCATTCAAGACACTTTTTGCAGCAATATATTTAGTTACAAAAGTGTAAATGCTTTTTAAATTAAAATTTTGACATGAAAGTGGAGGGGGTTTAATGTTTCATAGTTAGTGGGGTCAGAATACCATGTTCAATTTGGTTTAGGATATTCATTGATGAAATTTTACAAAATATGAAAATTTTCAATATTTTGTCAAATTTGACTGGTTTTGCTCTAACTAATAATCTAATTTTATGCAAAAATCTATCAAATTGCAGTACTGAGCCATGATTGTTGACATTCATGATTTGGTACACGTTATGAAAAACGCCAAATCGATTTAACAACTAAAATTACACACACAAGGTGTATAATATTTTAGTGGAAAAAAAATGTTTTGGGAAACTGACCCTGGAATGAATGAAAAGGAAAATTGGTACTTCGTCTTTAAAATTGGCATACAGATACAAAAGTAAATTTAGGTAACAGTCTGGAAATAATAACAGTCATTTCGGGAAAATGATTAATTTGACATGAAATAAAATATGTTAACTAGAGGCTCTAAAGAGTTTGTGTTGCTCACGTGCATCTTCAACAATGGCAACTTTGGGATAACAATCATCATTAAAGGGCAAACACTCCATAAAGAGTTAATTGATTGTTTTTATCTGTCTATTATAGTTATCATGATAATAGGCAAACATGGTGAAATCATCATTTAAGGGCAACAATTCTTATAAGGAATTTCTGACGATTTAGTCAAAGTTGACTTATTTCTTAATCTGTCTTACTATCATTTTAATGTAGCTATACATATCTCTATCTATCTATCTATCATTATAGTTTTCAAAATAAAAAGGAAAAAAAAATGCAAAAAATGGTAAAAACCGTCATTTAAGGACAATAACTTCTTTGAAAGTCGATAAACTATTTCAGCACTTATTTTGTCACATAATTTGTAGATCTGGTCTTGCTGATCAAATTTAATTGTCATTTAAGGGTCTTATAACTTCTAACAAGAGTCAACTGACGATATCGAACATTTAACTTATTTGTAGATCCTGTCTTGCTGATCACTTTTGCTATTCAAAGTTTATATTTATCTAATAGAGTTTTCAAGATAATGGTCAAACACCCAAACAAATAGTAAAAATCGTCATAAATGGGCTATAACTCCAATAAGAAGTTGACTAACGATTTCGGCCAAGTTGATTTATTTATATATTTTGTCTTGCTAATTTATTTTATATGAAAGGTTTCTCTTTATCTATAGTAGTTTTCAAGATAAAAGGCTAAATTGAAGGAAAACAATATGGTAAAATTCTAATGTAACGACACAAGAGATAGATCTCAACATTCTGAACATTTCTGTCACTGTCAGATTTTCTGTATCTTTGGCGATTTTCAAGATAATAGACAAACTTGCATTTCACATTATGTTCTATAGACAAAACTTGCATCCCCCTATGTTATATTTTTAGTCATGTCGGCCTTGTTGGTTGGCAGCAAGGGTCGTCCGACACAATTTTTAACCTAGATGCCCTAAGGATGATTTTGGATGAGTTTCATGCAATTGGTTATGATTGGTCCAATAGTTTCAGAGGAGAAGATTTTTGTAAAAGTTAACAGACGACGACGAAAGCATAGTGATGTATTGTTACACCTCAAAACTGTTTAACATATTGTTGATTGATGTAGCCATATTTCACTTCTTTCAGAATATACCATGTATGCAGTTTCATGAGAAGAAAATTAAAATCTACTTACTTTTTTCTGGATCATCATAAATCAGTGGAGCTGGTGTGGTCGCCATTTTAGGCATAACTTAAAACATGAAACATTGCATTAGTTACTAACTACACACAAAAGTTATATTTTTTCATTCAAAAAAAAAGAAAAAAAAAAGAAATAGACATTAAAATATAACATAGAGGTTTTTGTGCTCATATAGCCTTTTCATTGTAAAACTCAAAAAGTCGATTTAGACGACAACAACTGATCATTCATTAATTTTACTTAAATATTTTTTGATAAATATAAAAAACGTATATCATACCATTAAGGTGCAGAGAGTTAATAGTTAAAAGCTTACCCCTGCAAGATAAATTCATTATTTCAGTAAGAATCGTCTTGTTTTCCAGTTGTCGGAAATTATCAATGAGCTTCACTAAGCTTTTGTCTCCGGCTATTGCCTCTAGTTCAGCTTCATCACTCTCTCTGATGCCAATTCCGATTGCAACAAGAGTTATTCCTTCGCCTCTTGCTTGAACAGCTTCTTTTTTTGTATCATTTGGGTAACTCGATTCTCCATCAGTGATAATAACACCTACTCGAGTACGTGAAGTCTTGAGAAGCCTTTGTCTCATATAAGCAATGGCAAGATCTGTCCTGGTGATATTTCTAGGGTGATTGAAATTTGATATTCTACTTTTTACAGCGCCAGAATTGTCAGATGGAGAGAAATATTCTGGAATAATAGTACTAAATACCATTGCGCCAACTCGCACTTTGTTTGGGCCAAACTCAAAGGATTCGATAATTTTAAGTGTAAAATTAATCATTTTCTGGAAATCTTCCCTGTGAATACTTTCCGATCCGTCTAAAGCAAACACAATATCTCCTGGACCTTGGCATGGTGTTACTTAAATAGAAAGATAGCGAAAAAATATTAAGCAACATCTGTTGACTATGATAAGAATATCAATTGGCTTTAGACGGTTCTATGCTTTATATGAGTTTTTAAGTCCATACATTGAAACAATTCTTATTTTCCACCTCGAAAACTTCTTAAAATGGCAAAAGATGGAATATTATGGCAAGCCGTTTGACTATTTATTCTAACTTCAAGATATCTCATATAATATATAAGATATCTTATATAATCTTGTTTTAAAAAGATATCTTATATACTTTATAAGATATCTCATATATTTTATAAGATATCTTATATAGTTTATAAGATATCTCATATAGTTTATAAGATATCTCATATCATTTATAAGATATATTATAAAAAAAAAATTATGAGATATCTTATACATTATATGAGATATCTTTTTAACTATGTAAGATATCTTATAAAATATATAAGATTTCTTATAAACTAAATGAGATATCTTATAAACTATATGAGATATCTTATAAAGTTTATTATATATCTTGAAATTAGAATAAATAGTAAAACGGCTTGTCATAGATTATGTTCAGTTTGAGTATTTTCAGACTTTCTTGATAAAAATATAAAACAAATACAGAAATCTGTTTGTGTGTCGCAATGCTGCTGTTGCTGTCTTATTAACCTTTACTTCATAGTTCTTTTCATATTATATTTGTACCTAGTAAAACAAAATTTCCAAAAACGAATCTTGAAACAATGAAAGAATTATCTAAATATATTAAGTAATATGTATGTGACGTAATCTATGAGGTAATGATATCTACTATTCTAAAACACATGGCATCTGCCGACCGTTTTGAATCTTGCTTGGGATCGTGGGACGGTTTAGGGGAATACAGCTCTATTAGTTTGTGCTACATAGGGGAGTTGGGGGAACAACAAGTACACACAATGAAACTGTGCTACATAGGGGAGTTGGGGGAACAACAAGTACACACAATGAACTGTGCTACATAGGGGAGTTGGGGGAACAACAAGTACACACAATGAAATCGAACTCTATATAAGGTGTATTTCAAGACATATGATGCAAAGTGTTAACGCAGCACATATGTTACAGAAAATAACAAATACAAAAAGTATAACAAGAATACTCCAAGGTAAATTCAAAAAAGGGGGAAGTCCATAAAACTGACAAAATCAAACGTTATCAACCAACGGTACGAGTGAAAAACAACTGTCATATTCTTAAGTTGGTATTTTCCATAGTTAACTTTGAAACTCCCAACTTGTATGACAGTTGTATATAGTTCCGTTATATTGCCAAAAATATAAGTGTGAAAGCCAGAATGAACTCAGACAATTTCTTTGCCATACGTCAAAGGAGTTTTTTGTAAACTGATACACCTTGAAAAATAAACAATGATATTCGATTGTTCCTGCATAAAATACTTTATTTATCTTAACCTCATTGATAGGATTGGTCACAATGTGGCCTTAACATGCGTTCTCAGACTGTTATCAGATAAACTGGTATAATTATATTTAGAATTTAATTTTTTATTATACATTACAAATTGAATTAAACAGATCATGAAACTGCAATAACCATGATAAGATTGATCTAGTCTGCCCAATTTCAATTTGTAAGTTTTTTTTTATGATTAAAGCATGGTAAAATATTATTTTTGAAATTAAAATGGATAGGAATGAAAGTGTAGTCAAGATTGTAGTCCCAGATTTTTGCTAACTCATACAATTACTTATATAGGGTGAAAAAAGAGAACATATAGAATTTCACCAAATCTGGTTTGTCTCAGAGATTTAAATGAAATTAACTCAAATACAAAGTTTTATGAATATTTCATTAAGATTGAGAAAATCCTGGGCCTTAACTATGATGACTCAGCATTAATTCACAGTTTACAGTATGCATAGTTTACTTAAAGGCCTGAATTCAAAATAAATTCTTAATGTATGCATATTTGTAATTTGAATTGTTTAGAAGTGCTTATATTTACTCTTCGCAGTCATTGAAACTCATAGATCCTTCCTGAATATTGTTTTTGGGATGTTTTTGTTCTGTCGATAACCCAAAAGTAAGCCGTAACAACTGAATGTGCTTTTTTGTGACTGCGGCATAAAAAAATAAAAGCTAGAAATACTAAAATACCTCAATAAAACTAACAATAGTGTGTTCTATCCCATTCTATTTCAAAGATTTGATCTAATTTTTTTTTTATTTCAATCCTTTGAATTTTAGTTTGGTCTTATGAGTCTAGGCATGAAAAAATCAAATATACAACATATTCGCAAAAACAATTTCAGTCATGGTAATTTTCAAGTGTTTCTTCTGAGAGTTGCCCTTCATTGTTAATGTTCCTTAAGTATCTGTTTTACTATTTCAATGTAAAACAGTGTCCATATTCGCCAACCAAACAACAGTACATAATTTAAGATTTTTTTAATGGCATCTGCGCCTGCAGGCACTCTGCACATGTTAATATTATAAAAGTTCGCTTATCAGACAACACAAGTCTGTGTCCACACTTGTATTAGTGAAAAAAAATAAATATAAATATAAACTAATCAAGTGTTCTCATTTTCAGTTTTATAACATAGAGGACATAGCTTAACGTTAAGTATATATATTGATGAGTAAAACCTCAAGCTGGATAATTATCGAAGATAAAATACTAGTATCATCCGGTGAAAGAAGGTGTGTGCAAAACTACTGATAAATTGTACAAAAACCCTGTACGATATTGTTCAAAATTACAACTCGTACACAACATATATAACGTAAAAACATTACGGACGCTGGGCATAAAGAAATAACATAAAAAATGTGGTGCACACTGAAAAATCCGCGTAGCGTGTTATTTAAAAGTGTGCACCACATTTTTTAGATTATTTCGAATAGACAGAACAAAATATTACAGTCTTTCCTAATGATTTAATTCTTAATTCCATTTTAAAGGAGTAAGTCATGAAAAAAACGTGATGACGTCACGGTCACATGACAAAATTATGTCTATGAGCTGATAGACCAAAAACTTTCAGCCAATCAGAAGACGTGTTACATCCAAAATTAAATTATTGTAAAATGGTTGTATCCTTTTACTTCTTTGCAAAAAAGACATGCATTTACTATATTAGATCTGTTGTGATCCTTTATAAGGCTTGATATAACATTAGACATATTCTCACATTATTTTCTGCAAGATTATCAAATACATATCTTGAGGTGAAAAGACTGTATTGATTGTGTATTTTACAAATTAAGAGTGTATTTGTAATAGATTTTTGGTCACATTATATTCTGTAATTTGTTAACATAACATTGAAAGACAGTTTTGAACTTACAGTTATGTGTGAAATTTGTTTTGTGCTGAAGGCATTACTGTGACTTTGAGAAAAAAAACCAAGAATGTGTCCATAGTACACGGATGCCCCACTCGCACTATCATTTTCTATGTTCAGTGGACCGTGAAATTGGGGTCAAAACTCTAATTTGGCATTAAAATTAGAAAGATCATATCATAGGGAACATGTGTACTAAGTTTCAAGTTGATTGGACTTCAACTTCATCAAAAACTACCTTGACCAAAAACTTTAACCTGAAGCGGGACAGACTGACGGACGAACGAACGAACGGACGAACGAACGGATGCACAGACCGATAAACATAATGCCCCTAGGTTGGGCATAAAAAAAAAACAGCGATACAAGCGTTGCTCTTTTGCTTAGGGTTTTATCAGAATGATGTGTGTTGGGATTTTATTTGCCATAAATTAATACACAGTATCTATTCTTTTCCATTTATAAGCTGAATTAAACTATTGTGAAATTAATATTGTCTGAATAATGGGAACACATTGTAAAAACATCAGCATGCTATAAAAATTTAGATTACACCTATTGAGGCATTATATTTATAAAGTTAATGCGGTAGAGTTGGTTCTATGCAGCCATTGCCATTTAATATTTCAGTAGTTTGAGTTATGGGTCACAATTATTGCTGCTTGAGAGGGTACGACTAATATTTACCAGCTTCATTACTCATCTTTATCTTACAATGCTTGGTTGTTGTTTTTTCTTTAAATAAAAACACGTTTATCTAAGACATTTAATGTTAACAAATATGAAAATAAACTTCATATGAAGCAATGTAGCTTTATACAGATGAAAATCACTTTGGTGCATTCCGTATGGATTAATTTGTTTATCTTAGTATGCTTGATTGATAAATAATTGTGTTTGTAATACAGTTTATGAATAAATACAGTCAGCAATAGCAGTAAGTTACGGATTCAGGAGGGTGAAGTGGGTAAAGGGCGCACGCCCAACCTTTGACTGGAAAGTATTTATGTTTTCTTTAACATAAATTTTTTTTATATCTTATATATCTTAGGTTTTCGGGAATCATGCCAACTACAAAAATCATGGATCCGCCCCTTGCAATGGAGGTTTAGAGGTATGACAATCGGAAACTAATACAATATATAAATTGATTTCAAGTGAAGAACTTACCCATGGCACCGTTTACAACTGTAAATAATAGAACAGGAATAAACAACAACATCATTTTCTGTCTTTTGTCCTAAAAAGGAAATAAAGAAAATTGCAACATTTCACTTTTGATCACAAAAAAGACACTACAGTTTTAGTTAAAATTACTCTTGCCTTACTTTTGACTTTGCCTTAGCATTGCTATTTTGAAGGGGTGAGGCTTCAGCGTAGATTTGGATAGTTACTTTAATTTTGAAAAAGATCCAAAGGTAATAACTTATTACACAAGAAATAATTTCTTGACCTCAAAGTATCTAGTTTTTGTTGTTCAAAGAAAATAGATATCAATACATTTCGGTGCACACACTTTCACCAAAAATAGATAGGTTTCAATATCATCTAGGCGTTATTTTAGTTTGAGTTATTTCCCTTGATCGCATTTGAGAGGCGTAAATGACTGATTTTCTAATTTGAATAACCAAATTGAAAGATGTGTGTCTAATAGGATTCTTTTTTGGCAAAAAATGACCTTGCATTTCAACTTTATCCTAAAATAAAAAAAAAAAACACAATTTGGTTCTCCAATGGATTTCAATAGCCTTAATGCTAGGTAAAACAAATCTCTTCATTATAGTACATTTGTCCAATATCAGCACTTTTTCTGACGCAGTCAGTATTAATTTCGGTTTGTGACCCATTTATAAAGAACGCTTCACTATGGTAACGGCATGTATGATGTCACAAATCTTTAATCTGATTGGACGAAATAACGGAATTGAACAAAAACAAACAAAAAAAGATATAATGGTACAATAAAAGGAAAACATTACGGACAAAAAATCAATCCATATAAATAAAAAATAGATTCAGGTATAGAAGGTGTCATTATCACCACTGTCAAATTGTTTGGATTTTGTAGGCTTAGCCTTTAATACATGAGTAGGTAAATATCACTGACAGGTTCATTAGATCTACCATGTCAATTAGGCTATTAAGATCTATTAATAGCTTGAGAGCTATAAATATATCTTATCGACTAAAACTTCCAAGGCGTGATAATAATCTCAGAGAGTACACAATATTATACTTGAAATCTGGGACTATTGATATATTCATATAAATATGATCGTGTGCATTGAACGGACCTAAAAGCTCTGAGAAAACCTTGGTTGCAACCTACGATCCAATACGTTTTGTAACAAAAAGGTGAATTTTGAATTACTTGAACAAAACAATACTGGATCAGGAATGGCGGCTAAAGTATATTCGGCAAAAGAATTTAAAATAATGGAAAATTAGGCCAGAAATAATGTTACAATACATATTACATGTATAATGCATAATAAAGGGGTAATATTTTCGTAACTTATTATGTGAGGTGTCTAAAAGAAGTTATTTTGTATTAATAATAATATCCTAATGTCTATGTAAATGTGATTTGTAGTATTTTGGACTGATTAAAAAACCCACCAAAATCTTAAGGCCAATTTAAATCTTTCGTGAACCTACTATTCCTTTACCTTATTAATATTTTAAGCCTATCCCCTGAAGACACAGGCGTTACAGTATTGAGTATTTCCTCGGCTACCCCTCTCAAGACACACCCCGCTAAGTAGCAAGTTCCCCCTTGTTTGTTTTACTTTGGGTTTATTGACCTTCATCGTTTAACATTGTTTGGTTTCCATCACTACAGGTGATGAATAATTCTAGATTTGAACACATGACGCATTTACTTAATCTTTTTTCTTGTAATTTTTATCTAACCTTTGGTTTAGTGTATTCAACATTTCCATTTATTCAGTGTAAAGTGTAAGTACTTTTTGTCAAGCCAGACCTCTTAAAGTTATTAACTGTGTTTAAAAATCAAAGGATTGCAAACATGGACAGGCTTATATCAATTTTGATAAAAGTTTTTAAAATTTGATTTATGCTAACACCTAGATCACGTGATCACGAAAAACCGAAAGAAAAAGGAGACGCTGATCGTTGTCGAGTGAAAAAAAAACATAGAACAAAAGCCAGAAAGAAAGCCAAAGATATAGAAATAATGAAACCAATAGATATTAAAATTGAATGACGTCAGATGCTTGCAAAGGTAAGTAGACACAAACTAGTGTGTTAATTATCTCCGTAATGTTGATCGTTGACAGTCAATATTCAAAACTCCAATGAACAGAAACCGCCTTGATTTAAAATCAATACAGGAAACATGTGACAAATTAATAACACTAGATAACATTTCCTAATAAAGAATCAATATGTCAATACAAAAAATAATCATCTTTTTTTCTATATTTGCCGGACCATGAATAAAAATCAATAGTCAGCTCCATATAACAACTATACATTAAACATACAGTTGACAAAAATGAGAGTATATTTAACCATTCTTGGTTTTAATTGATTTTTCATCGGGCGGTCTTTTCTGCGCATGTCAAATATCTCTCATTTTTGGTGGCCTTTTGTTTTTTGCGTGTACGTATATTTACATTATCGCAATTTGCCTGGAAAAATTAAATTATCATTGTATTTTCCCTATTTTTCAATGTTTTGAGGCTTTTAAGTTTTTATACACGTATTTGACCATGAAAAGGCCACTGAAGAATAATGCAATATGCTAATATTAGATTATGCTAACTTTACATTAATACATATAATAGTTCTATGCAGCCAAACAATACAATTCGACATATTTAGATCATAATCTAAATGTATCTAAATGTTTGATTATGGAAGTAATGGGGAATCACCTAACACTGAACTCGAAAATAGAACTGTACATTAAGGGACGTCCACTTGATTTTCAATTTTTGGGAATTGCAAGATATGTCTTTGCGCATGGAATATTCGGTTCCATCTGTTTTTGTTTGAATGGCTTATTTGTTTTCTTACTTTTATACACAACTATTTCCTGCATTGTTCTGCATTTTCTTGTGGAGAATACTCACTTCCATCCTATCTTAGGTTAAAGTTATTTTTTTAGTTATTACAAATTCAGAATATTCATTTCTAAAATCGTCCTACCCCCTCTCCTCCCTTCGAATTAAAGACATAATAATGGCAAAGTGATAGACCTTTTTGGTACGTTAATTTTTTTTATCAGATGCTTACGAAAGTATGAAATATTTATGACTTACAATGAAGTAAAAACGCAAATGACAATGTTTCGTTGCAATTTTTGTTTAAATGTTGATGTTTTTTTTTACTCCAAATTTATCTTCTATTCCCGAACAGAACCAATCAATCATTTCATTAACTCTCAAGCACTATTTCGTATCCTTTAAACTTGTTCTCACCCCACAACAGAGTAAACGTCATTGCAAATGCATTGATATATATAGTGTTTAGCTCGTGCTAAATGAATGCCGCATGATACACCCCACAAACCTGTACATTTACATGTATTGTCCGACTTTTCTTTTTATCTTTCGGTTTGTTTCTTAATCGGAACTGTTATGCGGTCTAGGCGGATTATTTTACTGGATGTTCGTGCCAACCACAAGGGTTGGAGCTCGTATAAGTCTGTCGGAGACTAATTAGGATACAGTTCAGATTTGCAAGCTTTGAAAGTTTAAATTGAAAAGTATTCTGAAGAGTCTTCTTTTAATTTTGAGTTGACCTGGGGATGAAATTGTTTTGTTATAAATTAGTCCGTTAGTTTTCTCAATGGAATTGTTTCATATTTTTCATGTCTGGGCCTTTTATAGCCGACTAGACGGTATGGGTTTTTTCTCATACTGAAGGCCGTATGGTTGCCTATAATCATGATAATTGCTTACATCCACTTCATTTGAACTTTGGTGGATAGTTATCTCAATGGCAATCATACCACATATCCTTATTTTTATCTGGTGAAACTAACAGATATTTCGGTTATTAGTACCCAGTATGGGAAAAGGTTTATAAGATTTTTCGTAAGTTTAGATTTTTCGTAAGTTTAGATTTTTACATGTATATAATCGAACAAACTAATGTTGTAAATTGATGTTTAGTTCTTGTTTACATTGTTTTTGCGATCTTAGTGATATTTTGCTGAACTTCTCACTTTATTCGGTTGCATAGATTAAGATAAGTTTTATATCAATAATTGCTTTCTTTAGGTTAGTAAGATGTTACCTGTTCATAGTATAATATACTTCAATAAATGAAATTAAAAATATTTGACAAAAAATATCTTACCAATGCCTTCACAGGAGCTTCAGACAAGTCTCGAAGAATAACAGAAAATCAATTCTGACACGTAAAAAAAGGAAACTTGATATAACGAATAAAACGTATGTGCATATGTTACATTCTTATATCACGCTATGTCAAAGTTAAATGTTCACAATATATACTTCCTAGAACTGAACAATCCATATTCCTTGCATTGCAATATATTTCAAATTATGTAATGCAAGATACGGTTTACTGATTCTGTATTGATTAGTTATTAAAAAACTTAATTTCTTTCTTTCAATTTAAGGATTTTTTTTATTCTATTTTTGATTTATTAAATCATAAAGAAATACACATATGTTCCCATATATGTCACAAAGAACGGAACACTGAAAAGATTATAATATCTTGAAACCTTTGTATGAGTTTACCTAAATGAGAGTTAAAAAGAGAGGCGGAAGATACCAAGGGGACAAACAAAACACATAAGTCGAAGGCAAACTGACATCGCCATGGCAAAAACGGAAAACGATGAAAAGGCGAATGCGTCCACATAACACTACATAGAAAAAATATTTTTGGAGTGTCAAAAACTCTTTGGATGTTTTTGGATAAATTACATGCTTTTGATAGTCTTTTAAATTCGGTTGACATTTATGACTTTTCAACTCTGTACATTTCACTTCCACGCAACATTATCAAACAGAAGTTCTCTTATTTAATTAAATGGTCCTTTGAAAAATCTAGTTGCATATTTATTTGCTGTAACTCATATAAAGCCTTCTTTTTTTAATAAAAAAAGGAAATATGCTAGCTATACTTACTGGAACTGTGATTAGATGATTAAAGTTGCCCTACAATATCTGTTGACGTTTCGGCAACAGTTAATTCAGATCTCTAGATCTGTGACAATAAAAACACTTATTTTCATTTGTTCGTTGCTGCCCGAAAAAAAGTGTCAGTACCCAAAAAATTTCCTTATTAATTAGGGATTTAAAATGTTTTACGCTTTATTACGCTAAACACTGATACAACAAATTGCTGTGCTCTAAAATTGTAAATATGAGCATGCGTTCATGAATCAGCGGTGTCGAGTTGAGGATCACTGGGTATCTTCAAAAGCATTATTGTAACAAGATTTAGACACATTATAAATTAAACTTTTAAGATTGTAAATTTAAGGCACTTTTTTTATTATGGTCAATTTCTTTTTTCAACTAGTAAAGACGACCGGATAAGCGACAAGGTATAATACTCAATCTTTATTATACAAATCGTAAGTATAGGACGTTTATTGCGTTTGTTATCGACGATTTTAAGAACATGATTGAAATTGGATTATCTCCCGTTGTACCAATTGCAATAACAAACGCAATCAAAATAAATAAATTGATAAGCATTATCTGTTTGTCTTATAGGTTTGATACATAAGCGAAATTTAACACACGTTGCATGTACGAACGTCTTTTATAGAATTAGTCTTTTTTGTTTATATAAAAAAAGTAATATAATGAAACATGGAAAACTGAAAAGAAAAATGTTTAATAAGGGTTGAATATAAGTGTTTCGTTAATCTAATTATTAGATAAAAGTATTTTTATCGGTCGCATTCTAATAAATGGCGAAAACATTCTGAAATAAATATCCTACATCTCTGCATTTGTAAGGTGCTAAGGTTAAAATTTGGTTCATTATACTTTTATTATTTAATATGCAAGAGGCTTTTTTGTAATGAATAAAAAAAAAAAAAAAACTCGTAAGACCTCGAATACTCAAATTGTCACCCATTTTCACAATATTTTACAAATATTATGTCAGTTAGATAAAGCTTTTCTTAAGGTTTTATATCAGAATATATAAAATTTACTTAACATATAGCAAAAAGCTCCGTGTACTATTTCAGTGGAAGTTCTCGTGTATATCTTGGACAATTCGATACAAGAAAGAACATGGGGGTCTTATTTGCGTTTGAATATATTCTTTTTATATTTGTATATGTTTGTTTTTCTAACGATATTTTTATCTATTGAATGCCTTCAGGAAAATATCAAGCCGAACGAGGGTTTCAATTGATGTTATAGTATCCAGCCCAGTAGTCAGCACTTCTGTGTTGACATGAATTATCATTGATATGGTCATAATTATAAATTAACTGTTTACAAAACTTTACATTTTTGAAATACTAAGGATTTTCTACCTTAGGAATTGATTACCTTAGCTGTATTTGGCCAAACTTTTAGGAATGTTTGGTCTTCAATGCTCTTCAACTTTGTACTTTATTTGGCCTTTTTTAACTTTTTTTTGTATTCGAGCGTCACTGATGAGTCTTTTGTAGACGAAACGCGCGTCTGGCGCAAATACAAAATTTCAATCCTGGTATCTATGATGAGTTTATTCAGTATAAATTGACTTCATCTCTCTTTTCCTCTGCACATGTCCTTTCATTTAAAAAAAGGTTAAAAAGTGATAAATTAAGGCAACAGTAGTTTACCGATGTTCAAATCTCAAAAATCGATTAAAAAGAGACTATCAAAATAAGAAACAAACCCGAGGGAATCGCATGAACTCAAAAAGGAGCGAGACTGGGTGCGTCGACAGGGTAAGCGTCTTCTGCTATGCATTCATTACCCGTCATGCAAATTCATACTCCGTACTTACTTCGTACTTTATTTGACCTTTTTAACTTTTTTGATTCGAGCGTCAATGGTGAGTCTTTTGTAGACGAAACGCGCATCTGGCGTACAAAATGTTAACCCTGGTATCTATGATGAGTTTATTACTAGTAGTCAAAATGTCACAATCGGTAAAATTACAAATCAGGCGACTATACTTATATCTAAAGATCTAAGTCCACGAAAACATGTCGCTGGCCATGGTGAATTAAGATACCGTCGATTTCATTTGTTCTTCCTCATATAACTGTTGGCGCAGTTTTTGTTAAGGAGCACAACCCTGTTAATGAACGTACTAATTGAGATAGGTTAAATTCCTAATATGGAGCAAGGCATATGTTCCTGCTGAGAGATGGAAAGTTGACAATCGGAAATTTGAAATCATCACGGTTGTCATAGATTTTAGTCTGTAGTCGTCCGTCTGTGTCCATATCGTGAAAAAGATCAAGATATGAAGCAGACCTTCTACTTTCGGTAGTATCCTTGATATTAAGTTCACTGGAATATATGACATGTAAGCACTCATTGAAATATGGCTTATTGAGTGACAGAACATCATAAGTACTACTGAAAGTCAAATTAGAGAACTTTACAAAATGCTTTTATTTTTTGTCTTTGTGAAGGTTCTGTATGAAGTATGCTTCATATGAGTACAAGCAAGTCGGCTTGTAGTGGTACACAATAATACGGTTTACAAGATAATATATATCCTTGGGCAAAAACTTTAAGAAAACCTTACATATCTCTTTTCCTAATGATCACAGGGCCAAACTTGGAAATTTGAAAGACTTGTTGATATCGGGATATTAAAGAGCCTTTATAACTTACTTAATAAAACAAGTTTCATTGATTTTACATATTAATCATAATTGTATTCAGCGCTACTATAAAGGAATATTGCAAATTTTAAATCCATTGTTTTGTAAAATTTTGTGTCAAGGACATCTTTAACCGAAATGAAATACTGTAGAAACTATGTTTTGATAAAAGATAAAATGTCACCATTATTTCTATTTGTTTTCTGTATAAATATTATGCAACTCATTGGTAGCTGTGTCGGCTAGCCACAAAACCAAGTTCAACCCACCATTTTTTTTCTTAAAATGTCCTGTACCAAGTCAGGAAAATGGCTATTGTTATCTTATAGTTCGTTTCTGTGCGTGTTGCATTTTAGTGTTTCTGTTGTGTCTTTGTTTTTTTCTCAATCGATTAATGAATTTCGAACAGCAGTATACTACTGTTACCTTTATTTTCCAACCTATTTTGGGGACTTCTCGAATCTCTCAAATCTTTATACTGATCGAGGGGTCCCACAGCTTGTATATGATAGTTTTTTGTTTGCATGCGCCTACAGACTAAAATTTTTAAAATACTTTTCCAACGTTCGTTTTTGTGTGCATCACACTCTCATTTTCTAGTCCAAATTTCCACCCCTGCTGCTTGTATTTGGTGAAACATAATTTGGAGATCTTATCATATAAATCATATTAATTAAAAAAAACAAACTTTTAGAGTCTGCTTTTATTTCGAAATAAAATCGCGTACTATTAATGAATATATGTAGAAACATAATTTAGCAATCTTGTATAATGTAAAGACTAAAAACAAATTACTTCAAATGTTAGGGCAAATGCCAAGTGGAAGTTATCAAATAATGTAATACCATCTCCGACCCTGAACATAATAAAAAAACTGTTGTATTATCAGATTGAATCTTAATATAAATTGAATACCAGAAATACATTTAAAGAACTAAAAAGCACTATTGCAAAAAATCTTAAAATCGTTTTAAAGTAATCAAAACAAATGACATATGGCATATAAATGTTATTTTCAAAAAGACATTAAAACATGATCACAGAGTTATTAAAACACTTTCAACAGCGATATCACATATTTATACATGGTGATTTATAATAATAAAACATCAAGTCATAGAGTTTCCCCTGTAATTGTAGCACTTATAGTAAATAATTCCAGATTCAAAATTTAAGTACACAGAATGTGAAATTGTTCATGCTCTAGCCTTTGTTAGTCTTGTATTATTTTTAATTTTAGTTTCTTGTGTACAATTTGGAGTTTAGTATGGCGTTCATTATCACTGAACTAGTATATATATTTGTTTAGGGGCCAGCTGAAGGACGCCTCCGGGTGCGGGAATTTCTCGCTGCATTGAAGACCTGTTGGTGGCCTTCTGCTGTTGTCTGTTCTGTGGTCGGGTTGTTGTCTCTTTGACACATTCCCCATTTCCATTCTCAATTTTATGTTAATAATATACACATAGAAATGATAAAGCAGTTCGATGTAGTGACTTTGTAAACACAAAACAATTTCAATGTTCACATTATTACCAGATGAAATTGATATCGTTATCAATTCTGAATAGCTTAACGTTTATCAATAAGTTATTATACACATATATGGGTTGGTCACAGTAAATAGAACAAAAGCGTGTATGCCAGTTGACCTGTACAACAACTGAATATACCGTTTTTACGATTTTTCTATTGACATTTAAACAACACAACATTTTGACAATTACACTTATATTAAATTTTGTGTTTCTTGAATGGATAACATTAATCAGCTAAGAACTGCCTTCGTCGTTACTCACTTACGTACAGAATCATCTTTCGTGGACTATAAAAGGTTTAAAACAATTCATATTTACAATCTTAAAGTTATTTCATAAAATGTGATAAATTTTCAATTATAGCAATATGTACTGGTAATTATATATAATATTTACATTCAGACATGTTTTGTTTATTTACATGAAGTTTTGTTTGCATATTTCAATAGAGTAGAAATCAAATATTATTTCACAATGCATTAAAACAAATAATGTATCAATTTGTCTTCTCCATTAAACATATTAGGAGATTGAGGTAATCAATAGATTGGCAATATAAGCATTCCAACTTGTTTGGTTTTAAATGCATTTGTTACATTGCAGTCAGTTTGTCCTTGATCTCCTGAGCTATACAATCGTATATCTTTAGCTGAAAAAGAAAACAAAAATAGGTAATGTTTTCTCAACAATTACAGTAGTTAGCTAATACTTCTTCGATGTGTCCATACCAATTGATATCAAGTTATAACTACGCTGTTTGGGTTATGATAATATCAAGACTAACAACAAAGACAAGAGGAACACTCGATAAGAGGCAATTTGATTTTGGATGAAGATCATGCATTAACAATGTTAAAAGTAAAGGAGGGCTAGCATATCCTATTCACTTTCTTGTAGTTGAACAAAAAATCATTCACAATCATTTCCACTAACAAATTAAACTCAAGTTAGAACATGACCAATTATAAATTTAGAAATATTGTCCATCTCTTCAGGTTCTTTTCGACAAAGTGAAGATGGGAATTTTCAATTCATACAATTTTCACGATAAGCAGATCGATCACAACCTCTGAAGTGTCAAGTCAAATGTTTAATGTAATGAGTGTTGTAATTTTACTAATAATTGAATGACAAACTGGTTTTACTGATGCCAGGATACGTAGTTTGTCAGACAATGACTCTCATATAGGAACTTCTTGTTTGCATGTAGTGTATATTTTTCACAGTTTTGTACATATTTTAATGAAGTTGAAATTAAAATCCGAATAACAAGCCTAAAATTTGAATTTCATGTTTATTTTGCATGGTCGACAATGGGGATTACGGATCTCGACATGTATGTATATTTTTTTCCTCCCAAATTTATATGCTTACCCAATAATATCACTAAAGAATGAATACAGATAAAAGCTCAAAACCAATATGAATATATGTTTTTTTTATCTTGATATATTCATCAGTTATATTATTGGATGAATTTATTATATGAATTTTCGGGTGTATGATTACATTTTTACGTTTTGAAACGTAAAAATACACACGCTCTCAATATTGAATTTTGTTCTATAAAGTGAAAGAGTATAGACTAAATTTCTTGTTTGTGTAGTGGTTGTTTGTTTTTTTAAGATTCTTATATCTATATAGATATATGCACATTATATAATTCCATGTCACGTGTGCACTTCGCTTCGGGGATGAAGTTTAGTAGGTGCACTCGTGATTGTTTACAGCTATCTATAAAATAAGCCAATAACAGCATGATTAATTTACACTTAACAATGTATTATTACGTTTTTGATACTGCCATCAAGGTACTGAATGCCATTAGATGTAGGTTTAGTAAGTGGCCTGCCAAGTGCAAAAGTTGGGCCTTTTAATATGGATCCTACAAATAAAAATGAAACTCTTTACTGCATATAAAATAAAAACCAGAAGCCCGTATGTTCTAAATAAACGAGTTCAGTATAGATACTTAAGGATACAATGTCGACTAAATGTTATATATACCCTTTACTAAAGAATGAATACAGATAAAAAGAATTTAAAGTGTTTACTATACATTTAAAATTAAAAAAAACACCAATCAATTTATCAAAGTAATTATTACTTTGTGCAAATAATATGATCTGACTTTCCGTAATTTTGTATTTTATGATCCGGTGTAGAATATATTTATTTTCGTGATGACCTACATGCCGACAGGCCTCATTTAGTAATTATCACACGTAGGACATGCGCTAGGTAAAATTCGGGTTTGATTGATGTATATCCATAATAATAAATTTATAATCAACATCAATGATATATGTTGTAGCTTGAATAAATTACATATAGAAATCTATTTTTGCGTTCCGGCATAGTGATAAACCACAATCAATCATATGTCAATCTTCATAAAGCGAAGCGGCATAAGGCAAGTATGTCCATAAGCTTTTCGATAAACAAAACGTATACTTAACAACCAACATCAACCTCGTTCGAAACCTTGTTACATTTCTACTAACAAAACTATGTGACATACAAAAACAACTGAAAAAAACATTTCACATTCATGTCAAATTTGATAGAGAGGCTTGCTTTGCGCTTCGGGTTAATTATTTTGAGAAATATACGTAAAGCCTGAAACGCAAAACGTGAGGAATGAATGCAGAAAATCTATTTGGAGAAAAACAGAAAGGACTTACTATTACATAACGCAAGATACGATTTAGCAGTTCATGAACAAATAATATTTAAATTACAATAGGAAAAATTGCAAGCATTCAATTAATTTGAAATGCATTCGACGGACAAAGGGTCAACAGTATTTGCATAACAAAAAACATAAATGGCAATACCATTAAGTTCAAAAGCTTTAAAGTTAGGAAGAATTATCAATATAATATCTGTATCTTTAATTATAGTCTGAAGCATGAATATTGTTTTAAAACATACATGTATGATCATACGATTCCTTGTGCTAAAATAGTGGTTAATTGGTAGTACCATATTTACTCAGGATAAATACTGACCTGTCAAGGCGATGGAACTTTCCTGTCCATCAACATTTAGAACAAAGACGTTTCCATCATAAGCCATTGTTACGTCAACATAAGCAGAAGTTGAGCTTGTTACCGACTAAAAAAATTTGAAAGGTTTACATGCATATTCCAACAAATTTAACTTATTCCAAGGGTTTGGAAGACATGGAAGGTGTTGTAATATATGATACAGATTTTAATAATACATATATGTTTTTAAATAAATCCCTGAAGCTCATATTGTAATTATATTGCTTTAATTTCGTTCAAGAAACTGTTTTGTGTTTCCTTGTTTTGAAAATTTTTCTTTTTTTTACAAATATTTTTTACCATTTCGAATTCAACTGTTTTCCAATTTCAATGAATTACACTGTAAAATGATAACTGTCTAGTAAATAAACGTTATTCCCCACAAATTGTCAGATGCAATAATTTCGTATCGTTACATCAGTTACTACAGATCTTATCGGTAAATTATTCGTTAAAATTTCAATACTTCTATTCTTATATGTAACAGAAACTGTTAACCCTTCTTTTAACAATTTTCCTCACTCAGATATAGTGATGGATATATATGTGCTTCTAAAACAGCAGTTTGTCTGTATTATGTGTAATTGACGGTAGTTTGACTGTAAATGTCTTTAAGTTTTAGGCACTTGTTAATCAAGGTTGTCGTACTAAACGAATATTTTTTTGTGATAGATGTACATTTTTGTGTCTAACTTTTCGTTGATTGTTTGTTGTTTGCCCATCTGTCTCAATACTTTTGCTTTTTTTATTTGATTGAAAGTTCCCACTAGATCCCTTTTTTATAACTTACCGCTTAAAGAATATTTTCCCACTGTTTTATAAATATTGATATTATTTATATCATTAAACAATGTCAAATACATTTAGTTTTAACACATTTTATTTGTTAAATGGTGTAATAAGGATTAGACACAAGACAAATATTTGAAGTCTTCCCACAAACAGGATTGACATTGTTTACTTCGTAGTCTGAGGATTTAATTACTTAATTCGAGGTAGCTGTTCAAGAAGGTTATTTTTTTATGTTTAAATTTAAATTTAGGTTAATGTACCGTCACTACTGATTATTCAAATTTACTTAAAACCAATAAAATAGATTGCATTACAATTATACTTTAAATGCATATGTTGTTTTTTCCATAATTTTTTTTTTCGGTTTTGACTTTCCGTGAAGTCTTATATATTTCACTTCCCGTATATTGGTATTCAGCGTACCAGAAGAACCATATTTTAAGAACAATTGTTATGTGTACTGAAATCGCTATCAAAATGATATATCAAAAAAAACCCATCAATGAAGCGTTATTTGTGCATGTATTTTTTAGAATAGATATTATTAACAAATATAACAAAATAGAGTGCAGTTCAATAGGAACTAGCTAAAAACAACACAAAAACAGACGTGTTTATGGTATTGATACTACAATTGAATCTATATAAATACTGGAAGACTATCTTAAAGTTTTCATATAAATATAATACAACATGCAGAACATTTACTTAATACAATAATAATACAGCATTTCCGAAATCTGATAAAACCCGATGTTAACCAAAAATCTTGTTTGAAATCGTTGAAACACGTGAATATTATTTTAGTGCGGGTCCCTTCAACAGATGATTTTCAAGAGATGAAGAACATGAAGATTAATACTTATTCTACAAATCAAAACGGAAAAGAATAATTTTTTTTAGGCGGATATTTAAAACAACGAATAAACCGTTCCGTGTCGGCTTTTGTTCATTTAACTGAAATTATCTTTCAGATTTTCCAAACAGACTAGGTATTTTCAACCAAGCGATACATCTATATGGAATAAGAACAGGGTGCGATATATCATTATCGATAAGAACTGATTGCAATGTATCTATATCAATACGAGCTCATTGCGATATATGTATATTGATAAGAACTGATTGCGATATATCTATATCAATAAGAAATTATTGCGATAGATCTATATCGATAAGAACTGATTTTTAAGTCAGCATAAGGCATGATGAATTAACCCTAAGTTACTGATATCAGAAAGACCATTTTTTACTTACCACGGTGATGATTTGCATTCCGTCTGTTGTCTGCAACTGACTGAAAAAAGTATAGTCGCCTGTTGGAGATTTGCCCACTTGTATAGATATCGATGGCGTATCAATCAAGGCTGTTGCGGTGTCAGGATATATACAGTTTATAAGTATTTGTTGCAAGCCACTTGGGCTACTTGCTGATAGCTGCAGTTTGAAAGACACTGCAAAGGCCTGCTGGAAATCATAATTAGCCAACCGATACATTATAATATGCCCGTCTGGTGTGAGTTTCATTGCATCTGGATCCGTTTGAAAATCAACAAGAGCATTTGAATTGATGCCATATATTAAGTCACTTGTCTGTTTGAAGGTAAACACGCCATTTTGACCTTGTTCCACCAATGCCTGACAACCTGGAACAGAAAACTTACTTCAATCTTGATAATTGCATAAACCAAATGATCAACAAAAATCGAATGTGATATATATGTATTACAATTCTTGTAAAACGTTTGGATAAAATATTCATACCCTCTAAATCATAAAAACATTATTATTACTTCATAATCCTGTTGAAGCATTAAGTAATTTAAGTTATTCGCATCAATCATATTTATTAAATATATTTCTATTTCAGTAAAATAAATACAAAGTATAATACAACTTTGATGACGCTGTTACTTCAGAGTGAATTGAAATGGTTTATTTTCGTACATCCCATATCAAACTACGCACATCTTTATAAAAAAAGATCAACGTGCATCGCACCTTGCATCAACATTGTGTAGCGGTGATTTAGAGCTATATATATATGGTATAAACACCTTTGTCGCACACATAATGTTCACCTTTTGACGTATTTTCTGGTTTTTGTTTTATGTTGTTTCGTTACTGTCTCATTGAAGTATACACAAACAATTTCAATTCACAATAATTGCATTCTCTGCTTAAAAATAAGAAACATTATTTTTCATCGATACATCGATATTTCGGATTGTTTGTTTGATTATCTTTCATTGTTCTATGATACGAAAACCTCCTTTGTCGCAGTGTTTTCATCTATTATTCTTTTGTTAGAACAAATGTCTGTAAGTCTTTTATTCTGTGAATACGGCTGTTTCTCTTTAAAGCCCAATATCTTATATTTCTGTCATGCAAAGAATTACATTAAAAAACTAAGGCTGGGCAAACCGAACAAAACTAAATAAAACGGGATGATTTCGGGTGCTCCGAACCGGTAAGCAGCAGCGAGATAATAGTTGTTTGCAAAGACAGATGTTGGTGAATTGTGTAATAACCTAATTTAAGGTAAACATATAGTTACTTACCTGTAGGTAAAATAACGATATTTGTGTCATGTGTAGAACATGAACACTTTGACTGGTCGTAAAGGGTTCCTGATGCACATGTCTGATGAATCATGATAACTGAACCATCTTGAGCTTGTTGCTTCACGAAGTATTTAGACGAGTCGGTTGGGTCCTCCTCAAAATTACAAGTTTCTAAAATATAAAACAAATATGAAAGGATTATTTTTATGATATGTATTAATAGTCGAACGCATGTACAATATCTACTAGTATACAATGTAACACTGAAACCTGAAAACAGTAAGATATGATAATGTTGCTAAAAGGACTTAACATTTGATAACTATAGACAGTAATTATTATCTTTAAACCATTTTATGATTTTGTAATTAAAGCAAGCATAAATGATATAACAAAATATTTTTCATTAAGTGTAAGAGATTGTAAATATGAAATGTTCAGCTCGAATTTATACCATTAGGGACTTTTACATATCTAAGAAAGAGAATAAGACAATAAAACAAGGAAACAATCAAAACCGATAAATTGAGAAAAAAGAGAAACACCATAGCCGACAGAAGAATAAATGAAAAAAAACCAACCGAACAAAAGTTCAAAAATAAACCAGGGAGGAACCAAGTTGCTCCGAGGTGGTAGTATTTTGATGGAAAGTTACTATTTTAGTAATGTATATCCCAATAAGTTTTGAGCAAATAGTTGTATCATTTGTGATGGTTGTGGCAAATACATATTCGTTGATATAGATTAAAATAAACCCTTATAAATACTTCTGACATTTGAAAAGTTATAGTTTTGTTCTTAAATACTTACTGCAAAAGATTTGTCAAGGATTTTCTGCAATACGGGAAAACTTTAAAAATTACGTTCAATTTGATATTTTGACACAGAAGTCAAGAATTAAAATATTAATTATGTATGTAATATTCAAATCGTATCAGAAACATTTTGCTTAATGTTTTGTAGACTTATCAAGATCTACCACCAAAGCCATATCCCAAAACGACAAGGATTAAGATCACCAAAGCCATATATTTGATATTTGATATTTCCTCCTATCTTTATGAATTCAATACTTACGGAGAGTGGGACTAAAACAATTAGTTGTTCCGGGATCTGGTATGCATTGCAGGGTGTTTGCATCAAATATCCTATTGTTTGAGCAAGCCATTGGCAGCGGTATTCCACCTTGACACATCCAGTATGTTTCGCAACCTAGATACGGCATAAGGGTCCCGTCACCCTGACCAAAACATTTATCTAAATGACAAAATATTAATCAATTGAATAACTGAAAGTAAATACAATATTACAAATTATTTGTATGCATGTGTATTTTATTTATCAAAGTTCAAAATACTGCATACTGTGGTTTGTCTTTCGATCGTTTTTCGTTTTTCGCATTTGCGTTTTCAGTTGGTTTTCGACTTATGAGTTTGAATGTTCCTTCAGTATTTTTCGCCTCTCTTAAGCATGGTCATCACTGGAACTTGACTTTGTGTGCTTGTTTCTACGTTTCTATTTTAGAAAAAATCGTCTTCTGGATGTAATTAAACAGGCTTTTACAGTAGTTTTTACAAGATATCTAAAAGGGCAGCAAATCCTTAATGGCCACATTACAAAATAATTTGTCTAAAAAGAAATAAATACCCTTGCATATCGACGCTAAATTCTAGTTCTATATAAGATACTGGATATTGTAGAATGAAACACAATCTAGAAGATTTCAAACAATGCGGGGTACATTACAGTGTGAAGTTAAGATATTCGAAAGACTGGGAAGGCGAATGAATATAATTTCTTAAATGGGAAGAAGACATAAACATAAACCAAATTCACAAGACAACGAAGACAGAAAAAAACACAACATTATACAGATAATTAAAGTTTGAACCAGAACAATAGCCAACTCATAATAAAAATCGGGATTCTTAGCTTGTTTCACATGTCGTGTCAACGTTGATAATATCTGCTGATTGTTTCATCAGAAAAAAGCTGGACGTTTTTAAAAATTTTCTTAGCGTATTTACAAAAATGTTGGAAGACAAATTTATGAATCAAATCCTAAGTATTTTCATTATGTTTAACGTTTATTGTTAAGCAAACTGGATATTAGAAACCGATGTAGAACAAACTAAACGATTGAAATCGATGTAGAACAATATAAATGCTAGAAATCGATGTAGAACAAACTAAACGCTCAAAAGCGATGCAGAACAATATAAATGCTAGAAATTGATGTAGAACAACTTGTACTTGTACGATACGTTACGCTCGTACATGTTCATGCTATACGGACTTTTTAAGGAAGGTTTTGCCCCTTACACAAAAACTACTCCATCAGAATTTTTAGGAAGGACACTACATGGTTTTACGGTGACCATCACGAATAGGTTGTCATCTTACCTGTAACTATATCGATTGTGTCTTCTTATCGATTGTGAACTATTCCCGATTATGACATTTTAAATGCGTATGACTTGCATCGCGGATGATGCATGCATTGCAGGAGACGTTTACCCTCTTGACGCACTCGGTCTGCATTTTGTGGCGTTCATGTCATTCCCAAAGTTTTTGTTTGTTACCAGTATTTGTCTTCTTAATCGATTTATGAAATATATGTATAAGTTGGTTAGTCGTTGCTTAAAAGTTTTTCGATTTTTTGTTTTTAAAATGTTCGTTTCCATAATTATAATTTAAAAGTATCATTTAAGAAGTATCATATACGCAAAGATCATGATAGCAACAGACATATGTTTTATCTGACGATAAACAATATTCTCTTTTGATACTGCAAACATTGTCATTAATAATTTGTAAATTTAAAACACTTTTATCATAGAGTATATATTACACATTTTAACATTTGTATGCGGTACTCACTCAGTGGGTTCGGGCAAACCATATTCTCCCATGTAACACATGTCTTATGTTCCTGGGACCAAAATGTTTTAGCGGCACAATTTTCCTCCTTAGCTACCATGATTTCATCACCATTGGTGTCGTGAGTTAGATAGCAGTGATAGAACTTTGAACAATCACTATCGTGTCTGACATAGGCATGTCCATCAACAATTACACAACCTTCACATAATGGATCAGTTACAACTACAAATACAATATTTACACTCTTAAGATATTATATAAAAATGAGAAGATTTGGTATGATTGCCAATGAGACAACTCTCCACCAGAGACCAAATGACATATAGGTAACAATTACAGGTCACCGTACGACCTTTAACAGCGAGCAAACCCCATACCGCATAGTAAGCTACAAAAGACCCCGAAATGACAAATATAAAACAATTCAAACGAGAAAACTAACAGTCTGATGTATATACAAAATAATGAACGAAAAACAAATATGATTTACTGCAACAAGCGACAACCACTGATTTACAGGCTTCTGACTTGGGACAGACACATACAGAATAAGTATAATTAAAAACTAATTGACAACAATGTATTTGAATGGTTAATTGTCTTTACTAATGAGTGGTTAAAATATTTACTTTAGACTGTAAATTCAGGTGACAGAATTAGTGGCAGATATAAGGCCGGGGGCGGGGTATAAGATAAGAAAACAAACTATTTTGCATAAAATTGACCAAAAAATATTCGACTCGCTCCGCTCGGTGGTTTAAGCCATATATATTACAATTTCGGAAATTATTTTCCTCTTTATGGTATCTATGATGAGTTTACTTTCAAAATTCATGGATCAACTCCTTAGAATGTAGCTAATACATTTTCAATGTTGTTGTAAGTTAGTGTGATAAAATGCTATCTCTTTTTAAATCAGTTTGTTATGTTTTCTCCTTTCAGTATGTTTTTTTCATTTAGTTTACACAACAAAACGATACTCTATCATGAATTTTTCTCTATTTGGCTCACAATTACATGTGGCGGTATTGTGTTCCTAAACTAATAATGCAATGTAACATATTTAATACCACATAAGACGTCGAGTTCAACTGCAAAACTAGATTTAACTGTGCTATTTGCTCAGTCAAATTACATTTACCGTATATTCACTTGTGATGAAATACAGTCACTTATCGTATATCGACTTGCTCATGGCGTTAACAATGAGTGTCAGATTTTTATTTTTGAATGTCAAATAATTAAACAGGTTCTCCGATGTTTTACGTAGTCCGCATAAAATTCGAAAATGTTGGTTTTTACCCAAACTATTTCACTTGGAACAGTTGCAAAAGTTGCAGTATAAAGAGAATTTTCATACATTGCCTCGAAATTAAACTCTATCCGTACATGGCTAGACACAACCTCGTATTGTACCTGTTTCTAAGCCAAATATTTGTATAAATAATTAATATATTTCGAGACGATGTATAGTTATTTTATATATACATATATAGTAAAACATACTTGGATCGGTTTTCAGCGTTGTCGTTGCCGGTGCAGATGTTGATGTTGTAGTAGTAGGTGTAATCACTAAAATGAAAAGTAAAAAATGTTAAAGGCGTTGTTGTGTTGTTATTGTAAATGGCAAAATAGAAAAAAACATGTATCACTGAGGTGTAATGCAGTACTCTTTACAAAACTGGCAAAATTAACAATGATTTAGTATAAGTAAATCAAACATTTATAGATCACCAGGAAATCATTATACATAACAATTCCTCCTTTAAAGATGACTTAAATAGAAGGGAACTGTTTTATATACAGGCAAAATTTGCTCACGTGAATTTCACAAGTCATGAATCTCAATCTTTTGCCTGATTTTAATTAAATTTAAAAATCTAGATGTTATTTGAATTTTTTATTTGAAAAATTCATGTGAGCTTCACATGAGATTCACGTGAAACTCACATGAACTGATTTCACATGAGTTTCACGTATAAGCTCGTTTGGGGTGAAATTCACGTGAAATTCACGCGAGATTTGCATGAATTTAAGTTCATGTGAAATTGATGTGAGTGAAATTTCCCTGTGTATGCATTCAAATGCATTTGGTTAAAAGTCTTCGTCTTAAATTTTTAAGTGCTATTATGCAAAACTATATTGAAAAATAACAAGGGATATACTGTTGTAAATACAATTAAAAATCTGTTTGATAAGTTGATTTAGAAGAATGGTTAGTTGATTGGTTCAAAGATCAATATTGAACTGTCTCTTAGTGTACAAATATTGGGATTTATTTGTATAAGAATAATATGTGGTATGATTGCAAATGAGACAACTCTTCGCCACAGACCAATGCCACAGAAGGTTAGTAACAATAGGTCACCGTATGACCTTCAACAATGAGTAAGCACATACCGATTTCCAAGCTATATAAGGCCTCAAAACGATAACAAAGAACCGCCAGATTTATGTTCAAAACAATAAACGAAAAATAAATATGATATACAGCAAGAAACGAAAACCATTGAATTACAATGACGAGGAACAGGCACATACAGAGTGTGGCGGGTTAAACAAGTTTGCGGGCGCGCCAAACCTATCATAACCTTTGACAATTGTGTAACAGCACAACATAAGAATAAACTATAAAAATCTGTTAAAAAGGGTTCAACAACTAACAAAAGCAAATAAGACACAAAGTACAGTTCTAAGAGTTATCGCAGGTACTGAAAACTAGTTATACTAGCCAATAACAACTAAAAAAATCATCTATCTAAGACTGCGTTATATTCATTATACATACCTTGACACAGTATATTTTTAATCATTGTTATATTTGTTATAAGTGAATTGAAGGTATCAAACAAAAACACAAGGTCAGGTGAGCTGGCGATTTTGTTCAGTTCATTAAATCCATCGGATCCAGGTTTCATATCAATTCCAAACACAGCAATAAGCATTCCTTGCTGTTTTGCTAAATTTGCTTGTATTTCCGTTTGGACTTTGTCATATGACTCGCCATCCGTAATAATGATAGCTACACGTGAACGAGTGCTTGGCAGATTAACCATTTGTAAACGAATGGTTTCCAGAGCTTTATCTGTACGAGTCCCATCCCTTGGTTGTATAAGTTTGCTTTGAATTTCCTGAATTAGGTTGGCCTTGTCACTCATTGGATTAATAGCCGTCACATCACTTCCATACACTAAAGCCCCTACCATAATATGATTTTGACCAAGGTTGAATGAGTTGATATTGTTTATTGTAAAGGTGATCATAGTCTGGTAATTATCATTAGATATACTATCTGATCCATCTAAGGCAAACACAACTGTGGCTGGTCCCTGACAAAGTGAGTCTGTACCTAGGATTATTTTTTTTTCAATTAAAATTCTACTTTATCAAAATGATACTTTTCTTTGACAAAGTGAGCTTGTAACTTTGCAATTATGATCTAAATTTTTGTTGACAATATATATTTATTGATTTTTGTTTCTGTAACATCTAGTGAATTAATGCATACAAAAAACAAAAAATGACTCAAAAGGAAAAGTTACAATTTGAGGTCATATTTATCTAGGTGTTGATTTATACACTAAAATACAACATTAGTTTTTTTCATAATAGTATCATGCATTGTATATTTTCAATACATTTACAGAGCTGATGAAGCCCAAAATGTACTTTTACTTTTTATTAATCATTAAGCAAATCAGGCGTTTTTATAAATAAATTCTTTATATTCAAATATCGGTGTGAAATCTCATACTCTTTAACTTTTAAAATTGTAAATTGAAAAAAAAAAATTCTTTATTCCTCTACAAAACACACAGAAAAGTTTAATACATTAATACATTTTTGTGTAATATGATAAATCACTTAATCTTGAATTTTCATAACGAAATTTGTTCTACGAATATGTTATTTTAAAAAGAATAATTGTTTATATGAACCTCTTCGCTACAATGAAATAGTATATAATTATTTTTTTAGCTTGGTAATTGTGATGATATTTTACATAAATTTAGAACTAGAACCAATCAAAAAATAAATAAAGGAGATTTTAAAAACTAAATTGACATAATTAATCTGTATAATTTTGTCATTACGTAATGTGTTTATGTTTTTTTGCACATGTGAATCCATTGATAATCAGTTTTCACTATGCCATCTCAAACAAATATTATGCTTTTCATTGAATATCAATTTTTATAATTTGAATCCATTGATGATCAATTTTCACTATGCCATCTCAAACAAATATTATGCTTTTCATTGAATATCAATTTTGATAATTTCATTTTTCATTCCCTCATTTGATTGGTTTGTTTTGTGTTTAATCGCCATCAAATCAAAACTTTCATGTTACATGCCTTTAAAGCGATCTAAATTCGTATAATAGAAAATAACGCCAATAATTTTTGGTATATGCTTCGGCAATGCAGTAAGAAGCAACTTGTCATTTCGCTATTACAACATTTAAGCCATTTATAAATGAAATACGTTTTATCAAAATTTCAAATGAAGAATTTGCTTTTCTTATTTTCTTAAATGAAAGGGAAATATATACCTTGTACAACAATCGTCCGACATGTTGACTGGGTTGTTGTTAATGCAGCATGATAAACCTCACAACATATGCTTTGTCCATTATTGAGTGCTGTTGGGGTCATGGTAACGGTTTGACTTACAGTCCATGTATTCAGGCCTGGATCCTGTGTTTCCTGAGTATAAATACCGCTCATTATGGTAACACCATTCAGTTTCATTATCATGTTAGATTTTGGATAGCCACCTAATGATGTACATGTCCATTGCGATTGCTGGCCAGTTATAACTGTTTGAGGACCCGAAATTGTTGGAGTTTGCGGTGCAACTGAAATTTGAAAAAAAGGATTCAATCAGTAATATAGATATAAAGATTGTTTAACATTTGGAAACTATTTTAGATTTTCAGTACATCTGGTTCTGTATGAAAGGGGTGTTGTCGAATTAATAGGAATTTAGAAGAAGTTATCAAAGTTATACACTAAAATCAACCCATTTATACTTGATGTTATAAATTGATACTGTGCATAAAACCTTTCAAACTTATATTCTAGCATCTAAGTTTCATTTGTCGTATAATTGATTATAAACTAAAATCGAATTTCATAAATATCATTCTATCAATTATTAGTTATTGAGTGTTTGCACTTCTAGCCTTTAGCGATAGTAGCAACATTTGTATGTAGGTGGATATTACTTTGTTATAATTATATATACATATTTTTTTCTGGGAGGAGTATATGCAGTGTTATGAAATGAAATGATCTCGAAATCGTAAACAAATGAATAGCAATTATATATTTAGTGTGGATTACTGATTTATTTCAAAGTAAGAGATTGACTAAAACACAAGACATTAGATGAAATGAAAGCAAAACTTGTGATATCGATTTCGTGCATTCGACATGTGATATAATGACCATCATCAGATATACTCACAACTGACATTTATAGATTGCTATCCTAAAAGATTGGTTGTTTGATTGCAAATTGGCTATAACCGGAACAGCCAAAACCATTTAACGAATACTTTGCTTTATCTAAATGCAACCAAAGTTAAATTGCAAAATAGTAAATTTATGAATGGTATTTAACAAATTAAATATATAATTCAAGTCATGCCAATCACAAATCACTGGGAGAAGTCAAAAGTTGACTCGATGAAACAGATTGATTAATTGAATAGTGAAAACTATGTTTTCCATTCCATGGAGCATTTCTTCCAGCACAATTTCACAGTTAATGATAATGTGATGTATGTTTACACAGTTTAGGATGCTGGATCCCAATTATTGTCACATTTTTTAATTTTTTTTAATAGGTACTTGTTTATTCCAAAAATTATTGTCACATTAACCTATCATGTGTGCTTTTGGGTTGCTTAGTTTTGTGAATATAACGGAACTATAAACTATAAACAACTGTCATACAAGTGGGAGGTTTAGTTAGCTATAAACAAAAGGATTACTCTATATTATGATGCAATGTGCATCTGGCTTGTGTGTCGCAAAAAAAGTGTACACAAATTCCTATAAGCATAGTTCTAGTTTTTCTTCAACATGTTCAATAATCTTAACCAAATTATACAACCATCATCGTTTTTCTTCAACGTTTAACTGTTTGACAAATCGTAAAGCAACTATATTATTTATAAAAAGAATTAGTTTATTACTTTGATGATATCATTAAAAATCAAAACTTAACACATATCATCAACAATCCCTTGTAATACATCGGTAGACAAGGTTGAAATGATGCCACATAGCTATATATAGGTTCACAATGAACTGGAATTGAAATAATATAACATATGATTCAAAATGTCAGTTACAGAACTAAATGTGTCTGAAATTATATATACTTTGAAAGTACATTTGTTCGTGGGGTACCAATTTTCTCGGTTTTCATGGATGGCTTTATCCACGAGTTTGAGTGTCTAACGAAATATAAGAACTGTTGTCCAAATCAAGACATGGAAAGATCCACATGTAGGTTCCAAATCAAGACATGGAAAGATCCACATGTAGGTTTGACTACATGAATACGGGCATATAATCTAGAGAATACATGGAATAACGGTAAATGCGCCATGAACTATATATACAACTGCAGGCAGGCTTTTAAACATTTATTCTTTAAAAAACCTAAACTGTACGACTTTTAACCTTTTAATTCTCATAAAAAAATGTTATCGATAGATGAAAGCCACATTTCCAGTGATGATATGTTATGATGAAGTGTTCATTTTATCTCCTCATACAGAAAAAAATAATTTCATACTGGAATTATTTCTTCAATTCAAAGTACATTTAAAGCATTTGTTTATGTTACCATTTTCTTTAAGTGACATGTTTATGGCCCAATTAAGTAACAGTTAAACACCGAGGGATAGGTGTGTCTGGATAAGAAACCCCGACGGCCGGAGGCCGGATGGGTTTCTTATCCAGACACACCGTATCCCGAAGTGTATAACTAACTTACACCCGATGCTAAACCCTATATTTGTTTGCATTGAATATTAAATGAAAAAGAAGGGATAGCATTTTTTTGACAATATCAAACCATGATTATTAAGAATTTTTTTTAAATGAAACCCCACTAGTAACCTTACTTTGACGGTCTTCATTCGAACTTTGACAAGTGAGTAGATTTTACAAATGTCAAAGTTGCCGTTTTGCATATTCCCGTTAAATCCATGTGTTAATATGGATCAGCAGGTCAAGGTTGGCCATATCGTGCATTCTTAATACAAAAAAAATTACATCATGCTCCTTGTATGCAGTTGTCAATATGGACGTGTATGAGACGGACGACATTTTGAGTCAGGCGTTGGATTTGGCAGAAGAGTCTAAAGATAACGCAATATTTATAACCCATAAAGGTAATCATAAATTTATTTTACATGTAACTTACGGTTATATAAAAAAATGCCCCCCCCCAAACCTCTTCTCAACATTAAACAAACAAACATTCATTTCGAACATACTGAGGAATAGGTGAGTCTGGATCGGAAACTGGACGACCGGACACGCTTAACATACAAAAATACAGATTGCATATGTAGGAACCCCCCTTTTTTGGGGCAATCCAAAAGGGGGGCGAGCGTTGAAATCCCCCTTTTTTACGATAAATTTTTTTGAATGAGGACATATGGCTGGAACACCCCCCCTCCCCCTCTTTATCCTGGGTTGGCACCCCCTTTTAAAAATGGCTGGATCCGCCCCTGGGTGCCATCATTATCTTCAACAATCCAAAAATTAATAAATTTATTTTTATCATTATGATTAAGACTTAGTCCAAATGTAAACTATATGTTTTAATGTATAATTTACATAAAAGTTCCAGGAGTATTTAAATGATTTTTTTTATTCAAAATAGATGCTAAAGTTTTTTTTCTCTATTGGAATTTCCTGAAATATGTTTTTTTTTAATATGCCTTGAAACAACTTGTAGTGAACACTATTCGTAATCTCTTGTGTTCATGCTATTAAAAAAAAACCAATTCATATTGTTATGAATAACAATGGACTGTGTTTCGGGATGTAGAAGAGGGGTTTCCAGAAACCCCGCTCGTCATACCCTGTGGTCAAAATCCATTGTTATTCGTTACAATAGATCTATTCAACTTACACTTGTTTCAGAAATAGAAACTGTGAAGTAAAACAATAGAACTGGAGTGTAACACCTTTGATGATCTATAATCTGTTGATCATTCGATCTCAAGTTAATAAGTGTCACCATTTCTGATTACACGTGTGCAACAATTCAAATGTTTACTTTGCAATTTCCTTCAATCGAGACAA